ACACACACAACGTACAAACAACCACCCCCATGTCACACACACACTACGTACAAACAACCACCCCCATGTCACACACACACAACGTACAAACAACCACCCCCATGTCACACACACACTACGTACAAACAACCACCCCCATGTCACACACACACTACGTACAAACAACCACCCCCATGTCACACACACACTACGTACAAACAACCACCCTCATGTCACACACACACTACGTACAAACAACCACCCCCATGTCACACACACACTACGTACAAACAACCACCCCCATGTCACACACACACTACGTACAAACAACCACCCCCATGTCACACACACACTACGTACAAACAACCACCCCCATGTCACACACACACTACGTACAAACAACCACCCCCATGTCACACACACACTACGTACAAACAACCACCCCCATGTCACACACACACTACGTACAAACAACCACCCCCATGTCACACACACACTACGTACAAACAACCACCCCCATGTCACACACACACTACGTACAAACAACCACCCCCATGTCACACACACACTACGTACAAACAACCACCCCCATGTCACACACACACTACGTACAAACAACCACCCCCATGTCACACACACACTACGTACAAACAACCACCCCCATGTCACACACACACTACGTACAAACAACCACCCCCATGTCACACACACACTACGTACAAACAACCACCCCCATGTCACACACACACTACGTACAAACAACCACCCCCATGTCACACACACACTACGTACAAACAACCACCCCCATGTCACACACACACAACGTACAAACAACCACCCCCATGTCACACACACACAACGTACAAACAACCACCCCCATGTCACACACACACAACGTACAAACAACCACCCCCATGTCACACACACACAACGTACAAACAACCACCCCCATGTCACACACACACTACGTACAAACAACCACCCCCATGTCACACACACACTACGTACAAACAACCACCCCCATGTCACACACACACTACGTACAAACAACCACCCCCATGTCACACACACACTACGTACAAACAACCACCCCCATGTCACACACACACAACGTACAAACAACCACCCCCATGTCACACACACACAACGTAAAAACAACCACCCCCATGTCACACACACACTACGTACAAACAACCACCCCCATGTCACACACACACTACGTACAAACAACCACCCCCATGTCACACACACACAACGTACAAACAACCACCCCCATGTCACACACACACAACGTACAAACAACCACCCCCATGTCACACACACACAACGTACAAACAACCACCCCCATGTCACACACACACTACGTACAAACAACCACCCCCATGTCACACACACACTACGTACAAACAACCACCCCCATGTCACACACACACTACGTACAAACAACCACCCCCATGTCACACACACACTACGTACAAACAACCACCCCCATGTCACACACACACAACGTACAAACAACCACCCCCATGTCACACACACACAACGTACAAACAACCACCCCCATGTCACACACACACAACGTACAAACAACCACCCCCATGTCACACACACACTACGTACAAACAACCACCCCCATGTCACACACACACAACGTACAAACAACCACCCCCATGTCACACACACACTACGTACAAACAACCACCCCCATGTCACACACACACTACGTACAAACAACCACCCCCATGTCACACACACACTACGTACAAACAACCACCCCCATGTCACACACACACTACGTACAAACAACCACCCCCATGTCACACACACACAACGTACAAACAACCACCCCCATGTCACACACACACTACGTACAAACAACCACCCCCATGTCACACACACACTACGTACAAACAACCACCCCCATGTCACACACACACTACGTACAAACAACCACCCCCATGTCACACACACACTACGTACAAACAACCACCCCCATGTCACACACACACTACGTACAAACAACCACCCCCATGTCACACACACACTACGTACAAACAACCACCCCCATGTCACACACACACTACGTACAAACAACCACCCCCATGTCACACACACACTACGTACAAACAACCACCCCCATGTCACACACACACTACGTACAAACAACCACCCCCATGTCACACACACACTACGTACAAACAACCACCCCCATGTCACACACACACTACGTACAAACAACCACCCCCATGTCACACACACACTACGTACAAACAACCACCCCCATGTCACACACACACTACGTACAAACAACCACCCCCATGTCACACACACACTACGTACAAACAACCACCCCCATGTCACACACACACTACGTACAAACAACCACCCCCATGTCACACACACACTACGTACAAACAACCACCCCCATGTCACACACACACTACGTACAAACAACCACCCCCATGTCACACACACACAACGTACAAACAACCACCCCCATGTCACACACACACTACGTACAAACAACCACCCCCATGTCACACACACACAACGTACAAACAACCACCCCCATGTCACACACACACTACGTACAAACAACCACCCCCATGTCACACACACACTACGTACAAACAACCACCCCCATGTCACACACACACTACGTACAAACAACCACCCCCATGTCACACACACACTACGTACAAACAACCACCCCCATGTCACACACACACAACGTACAAACAACCACCCCCATGTCACACACACACTACGTACAAACAACCACCCCCATGTCACACACACACTACGTACAAACAACCACCCCCATGTCACACACACACTACGTACAAACAACCACCCCCATGTCACACACACACTACGTACAAACAACCACCCCCATGTCACACACACACTACGTACAAACAACCACCCCCATGTCACACACACACTACGTACAAACAACCACCCCCATGTCACACACACACTACGTACAAACAACCACCCCCATGTCACACACACACTACGTACAAACAACCACCCCCATGTCACACACACACTACGTACAAACAACCACCCCCATGTCACACACACACTACGTACAAACAACCACCCCCATGTCACACACACACTACGTACAAACAACCACCCCCATGTCACACACACACTACGTACAAACAACCACCCCCATGTCACACACACACTACGTACAAACAACCACCCCCATGTCACACACACACTACGTACAAACAACCACCCCCATGTCACACACACACTACGTACAAACAACCACCCCCATGTCACACACACACTACGTACAAACAACCACCCCCATGTCACACACACACTACGTACAAACAACCACCCCCATGTCACACACACACTACGTACAAACAACCACCCCCATGTCACACACACACTACGTACAAACAACCACCCCCATGTCACACACACACTACGTACAAACAACCACCCCCATGTCACACACACACTACGTACAAACAACCACCCCCATGTCACACACACACTACGTACAAACAACCACCCCCATGTCACACACACACTACGTACAAACAACCACCCCCATGTCACACACACACTACGTACAAACAACCACCCCCATGTCACACACACACTACGTACAAACAACCACCCCCATGTCACACACACACTACGTACAAACAACCACCCCCATGTCACACACACACCACGTACAAACAACCACCCCCATGTCACACACACACTACGTACAAACAACCACCCCCATGTCACACACACACTACGTACAAACAACCACCCCCATGTCACACACACACTACGTACAAACAACCACCCCCATGTCACACACACACTACGTACAAACAACCACCCCCATGTCACACACACACTACGTACAAACAACCACCCCCATGTCACACACACACTACGTACAAACAACCACCCCCATGTCACACACACACTACGTACAAACAACCACCCCCATGTCACACACACACTACGTACAAACAACCACCCCCATGTCACACACACACTACGTACAAACAACCACCCCCATGTCACACACACACTACGTACAAACAACCACCCCCATGTCACACACACACTACGTACAAACAACCACCCCCATGTCACACACACACTACGTACAAACAACCACCCCCATGTCACACACACACTACGTACAAACAACCACCCCCATGTCACACACACACTACGTACAAACAACCACCCCCATGTCACACACACACTACGTACAAACAACCACCCCCATGTCACACACACACTACGTACAAACAACCACCCCCATGTCACACACACACTACGTACAAACAACCACCCCCATGTCACACACACACTACGTACAAACAACCACCCCCATGTCACACACACACTACGTACAAACAACCACCCCCATGTCACACACACACTACGTACAAACAACCACCCCCATGTCACACACACACTACGTACAAACAACCACCCCCATGTCACACACACACTACGTACAAACAACCACCCCCATGTCACACACACACTACGTACAAACAACCACCCCCATGTCACACACACACTACGTACAAACAACCACCCCCATGTCACACACACACTACGTACAAACAACCACCCCCATGTCACACACACACTACGTACAAACAACCACCCCCATGTCACACACACACTACGTACAAACAACCACCCCCATGTCACACACACACTACGTACAAACAACCACCCCCATGTCACACACACACTACGTACAAACAACCACCCCCATGTCACACACACACTACGTACGAACAACCACCCCCATGTCACACACACACTACGTACAAACAACCACCCCCATGTCACACACACACTACGTACAAACAACCACCCCCATGTCACACACACACTACGTACAAACAACCACCCCCATGTCACACACACACTACGTACAAACAACCACCCCCATGTCACACACACACTACGTACAAACAACCACCCCCATGTCACACACACACTACGTACAAACAACCACCCCCATGTCACACACTCGCCCACACCCTCACCTCGAACCAGTGGATCCACTTGGCGCTCTCGTAGCTCGTGGCGTTCTTGTAGACGATCGATCCCACCAGGATGGCGACCCACGCGAACAGCAGCATGCCGCCCACCAGCGGCGACACGCCACGCCCAGCCTCTGAATCCCCCATCACCACACTCACTCGCTCGCTTACACCCCCACCTCGAACCAGTGGATCCACGTAGTCACCCACCCACCTCGAACCAGTGGATCCACTTGGCGCTCTCATAGCTGGTGGCGTTCTTGTAGACGATGGAGCCAACGAGAATGGCGATCCACGCGAACAGCAGCATGGCGCCCACCAGCGGGGACACGCCCAGCCTCTGAATGTCGCTGCGCTGCGGCGGGATGGGCTTGTTGCGCTCCGTGAAGTACGTGACCACGCCTCCTGGGAGAAGGAAAGGGGGGGAAACCGGGGGGGTAGATTTTTGAGGCGCCTCAAAATTGAGTTGATTTTTTAGGCGCCTCAAAAATCAACTCAATGCACGTGAAGTAGGTGACCACGCCTCTTGGGAGAAGGAAAGGGGGGGAAACGGGGGGGGTAGATTTTTGAGGCGCCTCAAAAATCGTCTCAAAAATCTTTTGAGGCGCCTCAAAAATCGTCTCAAAAATCTTTTGAGGCGCCTCAAAAATCGTCTCAAAAATCTTTTGAGGCGCCTCAAAAATCGTATCAAAAATCTTTCGAGGCGCCTCAAAAATCGTCTCAAAAATCTTTCGAGGCGCCTCAAAAATCGTCTCAAAAATCTTTCGAGGCGCCTCAAAAATCGTCTCAAAAATCTTTCGAGGCGCCTCAAAAATCGTCTCAAAAATCTTTTGAGGCGCCTCAAAAATCGTCTCAAAAATCTTTTGAGGCGCCTCAAAAATCGTCTCAAAAATCTTTTGAGGCGCCTCAAAAATCCGTGAAGTAGGTGACCACGCCACCTGGGAGAAGGAAAGGGGGGGGAACGGGGGGGGAACGGGGGGGGGGGTAGAGAATGTGCTTATGTGCTCCGTGAAATAGGTGACCGCGCCGCGTGGGAAGGAGAAGAGGAGGAAGACAAGGGGACAGAGCGGGTGGTGGTAAGGATGGACACGCACAGAGATGAACAGGTGTCCTCTGATGACAGCAGAGGCCACACACAGCTTCTTCCCCTGCACCACTTGTCGCGTTATTAACACCTAGCCGGTGGCTAAGGTGTGAATTACACAGCAGCCAGGTAATGGTGCATTTCTGGTTATGTACTCTAATTTCTTTTTGTGTGCGTGGTATGTACTGTATATACGCTACAGAGCCGAGTGCAGGGGACTACAGGGAGGTTGGTGTGGAAGGAGGAATTCGATTCCAGCTGGGGAATTCGATTACAGCTGGGAATTCGATTCCAGGTTGGGAATGCAATTCCAGCTGGGAATGCGATTCCAGGCTAGGAACTCGATTCCAGCTGGAAGGCAGTGCATGCCTAGTGGGCCAGTGGGGCCCAGCTAGCACCTTGGAACCATCGCGAGCAGCTCAGCTGACTCGCGTTTGGCACTAGAGCTAGCGAGGGAAGGAAGGCTCCTAGGCAGGAGGAGGAGGGAATGTAGTCGGGGTAGCACTCTGGCTTCTCGCTTTTTGCTTGTATGTTTCTCTTCTTACTGTAATCTTGTTTTCCTAAGCCAAAGGAAGCTAGCAGTAGGGAGAAGCAGGAGCAATCTGACTGAGCCCTTGCGAGGGAGTTAAGACTTGTTCATCGGGTCGCCTGGTACACGTGAGGGGAGGAGAGTAAGCTCATTACATATGTCAGGAGGAACAAGGGGCGGAATGGATCACCTGCTGGGGGGAAGGGACAGTAAAGGAAGGGGAAGGAGGGAAGAGGAGAGAAAGAGGATAGAAGGCTGCAATGAGGATGGTTCGGCTGGACCTGCATCACGACACACTGCTGCCTTCACACACCCGCCACCACCGCCAATGGTGTCCCTCCCTCCCTCCCCAGCATCATCACATCACATACCAAGCAGGATGACGGTGGGGAAGATCCACTGGGTGGCATAGTAAAAGGTAATCACGGCAGAGGCCACACAGAAAATGCGAGTCACTTTGTTGCGACACATCTTCTTGCCCAACACCACCGCTGCCACCACCCACCCACCCATCACCATGTTGCATGCACGTCCAGGTTTGTCGTACCTAGCAGGATGACAGTGGGGAAGATCCACTGCGTGGCATAGTAGAATGTGATGACAGCAGAGGCCACACAGAGCACGCGAGTCACTTTGTTGCGACACATCTTCTTGCCCAAAATCACTGCTGCCTCCGCCACCAGCGCCACTGCCACCGCTGCCAGCCCAGCTGAGAGCGCCGACAACCAGGGCGCTGGGTCGATAAGAAACTGGGATAACAGAAACATTTGGGGGTGAATGCAGGTACAGAGGGGTGCAGTTAGGTGCGGAGGGGCACTGGTGGTGAGAGCCCACATCTTCTTGCCCAGCACCACTGCTGCCTCCGCCACCAACGCCACTGCCACCGCCACTGCCACTGCCACTGCCACCGCCACTGCCACTGCCACTGCTGTGGCAGTGCCAGTCCTGTTGAGAGAGCAGAGGCCAGGGCAAAGCCAGCAATGGCCATGATGAGCGCCCCTGGGAACTGGAAGAGCACGCCTGAGAGCAAGCAGCAGCAGCAGCAGCAGCAGCAGCTCCGCAGAGTTTGAGGCACCTCACTCAGCGCTCCTGGGAAGTGTAACTATGATCCCGAGAGAGAGCAGCCCGCCTGTGATGCCCTTGTGGAGAAAGAAGCATGAACGCTTCTGCGCTTGTGCACTTTTTGCTGCTACTCCCGACATGAATCTCGAACGTTTCTGCGCTTCTGCACCTAGAGACTCGAGTGCATGCAGGCAGGCAGGCACTGCCATTCTTAGCCACGTGTATGAAGAAGTGTTTTGAGACGTCTCAAAACGCTTGTGCACCTAGAGACTCGAGTGCATGCAGGCAGGCAGGCACTGCCATTCTGCCGCATGTCTCACCTTGGCGACACCAAAGCCAGCTATGGCCATGATCAGAGCTCCTGGGAACTGGAAGAGCGCGCCTGAGAGCAGCCCGCCCGTGATGCCCTTCTGGAGGATGCCGATGGAGAATGACATCTGCGTGCTGGATGGACCTGGTACTGCCTGGGTGAGCGCTAATAGCTCGGCAAAGACGTCCTCTGACATCCATCTGTAAGGGATGGGAGGGAGACATGGGATGAGCATGAGCATGAGCATGAGCATGAGCATGAGCATGAGCATGAGCATGAGCATGAGCATGAGCATGAGCATGAGCATGGAATGCCGATGGGGAATCACATCTGTGTGCTGGATGGGCCGGGCACTGCCTGGGTTAAGGCCAAGAGCTCCGCAAACACATCTTCTGACATCCAGCTGTAAGCGATGGGAGGGAGACATGGGATGAGCATGAGCATGGAATGCCGATGGAGAATGGCATCTGTGTGCTGGATGGGCCGGGTACTGCCTGGGTGGGCGCTAATAGCTCTGCAAACACGTCCTCTGACATCCATCTGCAAGGGAGGAAAGGGGATATAGGGGAGAAAAAGGCAGGCGAAGGGATGGGATGGGGGTTCGGAGGGTGCAATGAGGGGCTGAGGGGCTGAGGGGTGTTTGCAGTGGTTGGTTGGGAGAGAGCAGCAGCCCGCCCGTCGCTTTTGAGAATTCTCAAAAGCGACTCGGATTCAGCCGGTGTTTGCAGTGGTTGGTTGGGAGGGCAGCAGCCCGCCCGTCCCGTGATGCCCTTCTGAAGGATGCTAATGGAGAATGACATCTGTGTGCTGGATGGGCCGGGTACTGCCTGGGTTAAGGCGAGGAGCTCAGCAAAGACGTCCTCTGACATCCAGCTGTAAGGAGGGGGGTGGGAAGAGAAATGCATTGAGAAGACTCAAAGCTCGGATGCCGATGGAGACGGACATCTGCGTGCTGGATGGACCTGGTACTGAACAAGATCCAAGGGCTCCGCAAAGACGTTCTCTGACAACCATCTGGGAGAGAAGTGAGGGAGACACGGGGAGGGGAGGGGGGAAGGAAAAAACGGGGTGAGGGAGGGGGTCGGGATGGGGAGCCAAGCGGACGGGCAAAGGGACCTTCAGACCACCCTCTATCGATCCTATCCATTTACCTCCAAACCAGCAAACCCCCACTACTTACCCGCGCAGCTCAACGAATTGCTTGTGGTACATGGCGATGTGGGCGGACGGGCAATGGGCCTGACTGTATTCATTTCATCCCACCCTTCCCTTATACCTTGAACCAGCACTCCCCTACTCACCCGCGCAGTTCAACGAATCGCTTGTGGTACATGGCGATGTGGGCGGACGGGCAATGGGCCTGACTGTATTCATTTCATCCCACCCTTCCCTTATACCTTGAACCAGCACTCCCCTACTCACCCGCGCAGCTCAACGAATCGCTTGTGGTACATGGCGATGTGGGCGGATGGGAAATGGGCCTGACTGTATTCATCTCATCCCACCCTTCCCTTATACCTTGAACCAGCACTCCCCTACTCACCCGCGCAGCTCAACGAATTGCTTGTGGTACATGGCGATGTGGGCGGACGGGCCGCCGAACGCCGTCCACCCGAGCAGGAAGAACGCCTGGAAGACCGCCCAGTAGCTGCCACGTGGCACCTGGCCATTGGGAGGTCAACGAGACGATCCATGCAAGTAAAAGCAAGCGATAGGAGGGAACAGTAGACAAACCAGTACTCAACACGGGGGCTAATAGAGCGAAGAGAGAAGAAGAGAGTGGGGGGGAGTGGCGAGGACGAAGGGGAAAACAAGGATACTCTTTGGGGGGGCCGGGGGAGGGAAGGAGGTGGGGAGTGGAGAAAGAACGAAACGGGTAATGGAAGAGGAGAGGTTTACCAGGGGAGGGTCTTCAACGACGACTTGTGGCAGAGCAGGCACGCCTGCTGCTGCAGCAGGCACAAGCGCCCTGCTCGAACCCTCGTCATCCCCATCCCCTCCCTCCCGGTTCTCCCCCTCGCCATCCGGGCCAGTGACGGCACCAGCATCGCCAGCACTGGCAGCAGCGCCAGCACCGGCAGCAGCGCCAGCACCAGCAGCAGCGCCAGCACCAACAGCGGAGGTGGCAGCAGTGCCAGCAGCAGCAGCAGCAGCAGAAGCAGAAGCAGTGGGTGCGGCAGCAGGGACTTGGGGAGTGGTCTTGGTCTGCAAGGCAAAAGAGTCCAAGGAGAATGAAAGAGAGGATGAAGAGAGAGCGAAACGAATCAAACAACGAACGGCGAATCACGGTGCGGAAGAGAAAAGGTTCCTTCCGAGTCGACTCAAAAGTCATAATGGTGCGGAAGAGAGAAGGTTCCTTCCACAGGCATGAAAACCCGTTCTCAGTTTTGAGGTGCTCAATCAAAACTCGTCTCATTTCAGAAAGTCTCACAGGACATGGTGCGAGTTTCGATATGTCTCCATCTCAAAGTCCCCACATGGTTGGTTTGTCAGACTGCCTGCCTGCCACCATGCTTCGATATGCCTCATCTCAAGTTTCCACGTGAAAGCGCACGTAGTAGCATAGCATTCTTGAAGCGTGGCAGTCCGACCGACGCACCTCTACTCCAACAGAGGCGCTGCACGGCACCAAGTCTCAAGAAGCTTTCGCCCCCTTGCTTGCCCTCACCTCACCTCACCTCACCTTTCCGCGGAGGGCAGGGAACAGATAGCCCACCCCCCGCCCCCCATCCGTTAGACATATTTCAGCGAGCAGCAGTTAAGGAGAAAGTTCAAAGGAGAAACAGTTGTAGAATAACCTAGCTGATTCGCGAAGCGTTTTGTAAAGACGCTCTTCACTAAGCAGTGATTAAAACCTTGCCCTCACCTCACCTCACCTCACCTCACCTCACCTCACCTCACCTCACCTCACCTCACCTCACCTCACCTCACCTCACCTCACCTCACCTCACCTCACCTCATCCACCTCACCTCACCTCACCTCACCTCACCTCACCTCACCTCACCTCACCTCACCTCACCTCATCCACCTCACCTCACCTCACCTCACCTCACCTCACCTCACCTCACCTCACCTCACCTCACCTCACCTCACCTCACCTCACCTCACCTCACCTCACCTCACCTCACCTCACCTCATCCACCTCACCTCACCTCACCTCACCTCACCTCACCTCACCTCATCCACCTCACCTCACCTCACCTCACCTCATCCACCTCACCTCACCTCACCTTTCCGCGGAGGGCAGGGAGCAGATAGCCCACCCGCCCGCCCCCCCGCCACCCGTAGCCACGATGTAAGTGCTTTTGAGTCGACTCGAAAACAGATAGCCCCCCCACCCACCCGGCCGCCATCCGTTGCCACGATGTAAGTGTTGAGACATGTGAGGACTCGACTCAAAACATCTGCGCCGCCCTCACCTTGCCAAGCAGCCCAGGGAACAGTCGCTCCGCCTTCCGCCGCCACGTAGCGAGCAGCCCAGCCGGCTTCGCAGGACCGTTACCATCACCGCTCCCATTCTCATTCGCAACAGCAACAGCAGCAGACGCATCAGCAGCGGCGCCAGAATCTTCTTTCGCAAAGGCAATCCCATTCGTGCTGCCATTGCCATTAGGAATTGCCTCCGCAGTTTCCTTAGCGCCCTGCTCTTCCTTCTCCCTGTCCGCAGCAGCACCCGGTGTTCCCCCCCCACCCTTCTCTTCCGAGGAGTCCCTGTCGTTGTCGCCCTCCTCGCTGCTGTGGTCCGAGATGTCATGCAGACTCGGCACGCCTGCCTCCTGCCCCTGCGCCGCTTTCTCCGGCGCTGACGTGGCCGGCGCGGCTGACGTGGACGACGCGACCTCTGGCGCAGCTTGGTCAGCGGTACCATGCGTTGACTGGGTTGAACTTGCTGCACCGAGGGCGTGGCCCTGTGGCTCCATAGCAGCACACGGAACGGTAAGGACAAAGAAAGTAACACACATGTACATGCGCGCGCGGACACGCACGCACACACACACACGCACACACACACGCACGCACACGCACACGCAAACAAGTCGGAGATTGGCGGTTGTGGGTTCAGAGAGCATGGAGCTCGCCCGTCTTAACTGACGGCTCCCCAAATCACGTGGACATCTGCGGATACACTACTTCAAACAGTGCTTCATATACATACAGCAATACCAGACTTAGTACTGCTATTAAAAAAACCTTTCGGGCGATACAGCGCTTCAAGGTCCTACCACTTCGAGGAGATCTATGACGGCGGAACTATTTTAAATCCTCGGTTCAGAACCAAGCGGTAGGAATGCTTGTCCTCTGCTATATGAGCGGCGGTTCGTAGAGGACCTCATCATAAGCAGTCTCTAATGAAGCTCAAGCATAACGGAAGCCGCTGCTCTATGACTGGATGGACTTATAAAGCTCCTCTCGTTAAGCTCAAGCATAATCGGAAGCCGCTGCTCAATGACTGGGTCGACTTTTAAAGCTCATCTCATAAAGCTCATCTCAAAAAACTTATCTCATCAAGCTCAAGCATAATGGGAATCGCCGTTCTATGATAAAGCATCCACGGTGGATTCATAAAGCTCATATCATCGAGCTCATCTGATGTTCTCACCTCAGAAGCCGCCGGCGCGGCCATAATGCCGAGCGGCTGCGCTAGACCACAAGCGGAGATAACACGAAGAATGCGTTCGATTCTGAACGCCGGAGCTGGTATGGACTTTCCCTCTTCAAGCTAAGAGCATTTATTGTCGACACAAGAGGATCTCGAGCAGCTATGGTAGCCACTTGCTGCTTTTCAGCTACCGCTGTGTTGTTTCTCAGATACTCTCAGATACTATGGCCCTGTTCGATAGCAGGGCCTATGAAAGTACAGTATCTCTCGGCAGAGCAGCGAGAAGAGAAGAGAGAAGAACCCGCTCCGAACAGGTGCGTGACTATTTAGGTCTACAATGCTTTCCCTGTGTCTGTGTGCCTCCAACGGGCTCGTTCGAACGTCGCGGTCTCGCGGACAGATATTTGTCGAATATTCATTGCATATGCATTGAACCAAGACGACACTACCGACACAACCGACGAGTCGCAAATTCTCGCGCCACGTCGCCCGTTGTTGTCCTACGCGCAAATGCCGCTGCTTCATCCGCAACTGTGCTTGCAGAGCAAGCAAGAGGCTGGAAGAGCCAGATGATGATGGCCTGAGCAGTTCATGAGCCATGATACTTGCTCTACGAAGGAAATGAGTGAGCTTGTGCAACAGTGGAGGAGGAAGCATGGTGGTTTGGTAACTCTGTCTGGGAAAAGCTAGTTCTGCTGTGCAAAAAAATATCGGGGAACGGCACAATACCTTACAGAACGTTCTGTAACCTGAAGAATCTTTCTTAACCGTACTCAACGGTCTGACACACCGTGACAACGGGGATTTGGAAGGCAGGTGGGTTTCTGCTGGTGCTTCTTCAATCTGATCCCGCGAAAGATCGAGCGAACAAGAGACAGGGTGACAGGGACGAGGCAGGACAGGTCATAGAGCACGAGTCACACACAAGAATGCGAGGAACAAGATGCGGTGAATCGAGACAGCGAGAATGACGAAGGCGATTCGATGTATCTGCGCTATGAGGAATCTCGTTCTAGCACCAAACAGTATGGTTAGATGAAACCTGCTGTGTTTTGAAATGGCTGTCCAGGCACAGACTGCAGCACATCACTACTGAATTGCAAGTACATTACTTACAACATATAATACTATACACGGTTCCGTACTTCAGATAGTGACCAAACAGCCATAACCCCTTGCAGGTGCAAACAAAACAAATCATGTCAAATTGCAGACGTGTTTCCGAGTATCAGTTTGGATGCCGTGGGTCAAGAGTGGGTGAGCGATGATGCACATTCGACAGGAACCGTCGGATGGATCGAAGACATGCCACGGGCTTCCTCCACAAACGAATTTGCCTTTCCTCCTGCTCCTGCTGCTGCTCGTGTTGTGATCGGTGGTGCAATTGCTGCTGCTGCCCCTGCTGCTGCTGCCGACTGTGAATTGGAGAAAAGTAAGCCAGAAAACCTGACCTCCTCCTCCCAGCATTCAAATCTCCACTCCTCGCCACCGCACTGCCTACCACCACCACCCTGCCCCTGCCCCTGCCCCACTCCCTGCCCACCCCCTGAATCTCAACCCGCACGCAGCTCTTGGGCAGCTGCGGAAAGCATCCGGGCAGCTGCCGCCGGAAAAACCTGCCTGGAGAAGCCGAAGGAGAGGGGGGTGGAGTGCGAAGGCTGGGAAGACCGATGAGGGAGAGGGAGGTGAGAGAAATAAGGTGGTCCAGTCTGGGTGTGAGAGAGGTGAGCTTGCTGCACCAGGCGATTTTGAGTGAAGAGAGGGTGGAGAGAAGGGAGAGGGAAGCGGGCAGTGAGACGAGAGATCTGCAGCTGCGGATTTCAAGGTACGAAAGTTCGGGCAGCTGCCCAAGGTTTTCGGGCAGGGAACTGAGGGCCGGGCAGGAGAGGAGGTATAGGGAGTGGAGGGAGAGGAGAGAGTGGAGGTCGGAGGGGAGAGAGGAAAGGGATTTGCAATTTGCAACGTGGAGGAGATTTAACGATATGCACTGGGAGAGAGGCGGAAGAATGGTGATTCTCGGGCACCCCTGAATCTCAAAGGACTGGAGCTGTGACAGCTGCCCGACGGATTCGGGCAGCTCGACGAGTTTGCAGAGACAGGCGAGCCTAACAAGCTTGAGAGCTGTCAGCTGCCCGAAATCTCTGGGCAGGGATGTCAAATTTCCGCACGATGACAGGTCCAAGGATTGGAGGGAGGACAGGTTGGGAAATGAGTTGGGCAGCTGGGATAACGCCGGGCAGTTTCGAATCTCTAGGTGCTGGAGAGAAGTGAGCTGCCCGAAATCTTCGGGCAGGGATGTGAGAGAATTACACTGATGTATGTGGAGGGTTTGGAGAGAGGGAGAGAGGAGGGGCAGGGAGGGTGGTAGCTGCTGGAGGCTCCAGCACGAGGAGAGGGTAATGTGTTGAAGCGAGGGTAAATAACCCAACCAGGGAGGGAGTGAGGTGCGTGTGCTGCTGAGCTTGAGGTATTTCAAGAGAGTCAATGGCTTGTTGTTTGTGTCATCTGCCTTGGCATCTGCATCGCTCCTGAAGCTGCTGCTGCCGCTGCCGCTGCCGCTGCCACTGCCGCTGCCGCTGCCGCTGCCGCTGCCGCTGTCGCCGCTGCCACTGCTGCCGCTGCCACTGCTACTACCACTGCTGCTGCTGCTGCCGCTGCTGCTGCCGCTCCCGCTGCCACTGCTACTACCACTGCTGCCGCTGCTGCTGCCACTACCTCTGCTGCTGCTGGCGGTGGTTGTTCCACCCTGACCCCCCCACCTCACCTCCAAATTCTGTGGCAGCCCAGCGAACATGCTGCTGCTGCTGCTGCTGCTGCTGCTGCTGCTGCTGCTGCTGCTGCTGCTGCTGCTGTCAGCACCACCGCCACTCCCACTGATGTTACTCCCGCTGCTGCCACTGCCACTGCTGCCGCTGCCGCTGCCGCTGCCGCTGCCACTGCCGCTGCCACTGCCGCTGCCGCTGCCGCTGCCGCTGCTGCTGCTACTGCCGCTGCCGCTGTCGCTGTCACCACCACCCGCACGGCTGGTGGCAATTCTTCCCCCCTGGCCGCCCCTCCTAGCAGCCTCTGGGTTCTGCGGCAGCCCAGCGAACATATGCCCGTGATCAAACTCCACATCCAGTGACTCGATACAGGACAGGCGCAATAACGAGGACGGCAGCGATGCGATTCTGTCACACCCCGATACTGTCACCTCCCGTAGAGTCACCATCTGCTGGAAGCAGTCCGGGAGGGGCGCAAGGCGGGGGCATTCGGAGACTCGGAGTCGCTGTAACGAGCGGAGCCCGCTGATAGACTCGGGCAGAAGCTGCAGCAGCTGCTTGCATGTGACTAAAACGAGGGACGTCAGTTTGCCCAGGTTTCCCAGGCTGGCGGGGAGAGATTCCACGCCGCAGGACTGTACTAGGAGGTCTTCTAAGGAGGTAAGTGCGCCTAGGGTCTCTGGAAGGGAGATTAACTCCGAGGCGCCACGTATGCGAAATGTCTCGAGAACAGGTAGGTTGGAGAACAGCGCGTCGGGAAGGCTCTGGAAGCCGCGCTCCGCGTTAATATCTAAGAGGCTGAGCTGGCGCAGGGTGCTGAGCGCTTCGGGCAGGCTGGAGACGTTGCTGACGTGGAGCTGACGTAAGCAGGTCAAGCGGGGAAGCGCGGGGGAAAGGTAGCTGAAGTGATCGGGGTCTGACACGTGGAGGACATCTAAGGCGGGCGCAGGATTGTTGTCACGCGGAAGAAGCGCACCAGAATATCCGCGCGAGCGACTCCCCTCCGCGGAACTGGCGCGCGGAGAAGATAATGCTTCGGCGGCGGCTTCTGCGATGGCGGAAGCGGCGGTATTATCAGCGCAAGTGCGCGCGGCGGAAGTGATCAGGCGGAGATGGGTGAGCGCGCGGCAGCGAGAGAGCGCAACCAATAGGTCGGCGGAAATCACTGGCAACGCGTGGGTGTCCGCGGGAGACGACTCGGCGCGCTGCTCTTCCGCCTTGCGGAACGAAGGTTGCTCCGCCACGCGCAGGGAACGGATCTGCGGGCAGGCAGCGGATAATCCGCGGATTAACGAGTCGGCGGAGTCAACGGGGTCAACGCAGTCAAGGCAATCGGCAAGGTTAAATCGGTCAACGGATTCAGCGGAGTCAACCGAGTCAACGATCGCGCCCCGCGGAAGGTCCAGAAACGTGAGGTACGGCAGGCGGGAAACCGCGCGAAGAATCTGCGCGGAAGTCATGGCGCGCGGAGCGGAGAAGGCGGGAGAAAGCTTGCGCCAGCGCTTGCAGACCAGCGCGGGCGGAGAAGGAGAAAACGCAGCGGGATGGGAAGGGGAGGCGGAAGTGGGGGGATGGCGGGCGGACGACGAGGCGAAGTCAGGGGGGCGATACGCGGAAGAGACTCCTTCGAGAGTGGAGTGCGCGGGGAGCAAGCTTTGCGGAAGGCGGAGGGCGGAGCGGAAAGGGGAGAGGGAGGGGGAGGGGCATGGCGGGCGGAGAGAGAGGAGGAGAATACGCGCAAGAAGCTCGTCGGGTAGTGTGTGGATCGGCGGAAGGAGGTCGACGTCTGGCGAATCCGGAACCGCGGACTCCAGTAACGGATCTACGCTTAACGAGTCCTTGACTGGCGAATCCATGCTTGCGCTACTGGAAAAGAGTGACGCGGTGAACGCAGTAACGACTACTGGGACGGTTGCCGGAGGATATGAGTCGACGCAAAAATTGCTCGCCGATATATGATGTCAGGACTTCAACGTCACGCGAGAGAGAGATTACAAGATTCTTCTACGACGAGCGTTGGGCGATGATACTCAGCAAGACTCGAGATCAACTGCTCTTGAGGCGCGGCGTCAAGACGCACAGGCATCGTCACGGGTAATGACTGGTGACGGTGTCCTCTTGGCGACTCCAATTGAGCCGCGCGCGACACAAGAGGCACAGGTCGTGTCACGGGTAAAAGGCTGGTGACTGTGTCCTCTCGGTAAGAACTAGGCTAACTTCTGAGTCGACTCAAAAGTCAAGACGCACGGGCCGTGTCACGGGTGACAGTTTCCTCTAGGTAGAAACTAAGCTTTTTGAAGAAGTCGAACTCCAGGAAAATAGGAGGGGATTATGCTCCGTCCAAGGCGACGCGCACGACGACTCGCAGCTTGCTTGCCCGCTTTTACTGCAAGAAAAAAATATGCTAGTCGCAGTAGCTGCATGCGCCGCGCCGCGCCCCACTACGACGTTGCCCCAGGCTCAGTCAGGCTCGTAAGGACGTGTATGGCGACGATACGCAAACCTGGGCCATGAATTCTTGTTCCTGAAGTGCGGTGACAAGTCATCCCAGCCAGATGATCCCAAGCCAGCAAATGAGGATGTGAATCCGCCTTGCTGTGCGGCTGGTCTTGTGTTTCCGCAGACACAAGCGAACTGCTGCTGCTGGAATGGAGTTCTCGGAATTCTTCCCCACAGTTTTTGAGTTCCCTGAGTTCTGATTTTTTAGTTCTCCAGTTCCTGGCTGGCATTGACCTCCAGCCAGACAATCGTTGGCTTGTGATGTCTCTTCTAAGGATTTCAGGGACCCATTCCACCGCGAAGACCTGACCCCGCGCTTCAAGTTTCCTAGTTTCGAGTCTTCATCTCAACCAGCTGATATTTGACGGAAACTCTTGTGTTGTTGAACGATATGATTTTCGATGGACTGCGGGGCTTACCGCCAGGTGCCAACCCACCATTGGCCAGAAGCAGGGAGCTGGAGGAAGATGGGGGTGAAGGGGAGAAAGGGGCTTTTGAGGCGCCTCCTATTACCGCTAAAGTTCTCATAAAAAGTCATAGGTGTTCTGTCCAATCAGATGTCGCTCGCATGTTGAAATCTTAGCGTTACGAAAAAACATGTATTCGTGACTTTTTGTGATTTCACGAAATTCCAGCGGGTGCCCGAATTTCGGAGGGGAAGGGCGGGAAAAACGGGTTGGGGGGGTGGGGGGAAAGGCGGTCCATTCAATTAAGAAAAGCGCCCACGTGGCGAAGTGTGAGCAATTTGGGTCGATTCTTTTGAGACAAACGCGATTTTCGCCGATGCGCGCGATTTCGCCCCTCAAATGTGTACGTACACATGATGCTCGTTTGAGCCACTCCCGGTCGCCTTGTGAAGGTGTTCGCCTTAAGGGGGCGCTTAAGCTGTTCTTAGGGTTCGCATAAGTTTCGTCCATTCGCAGCTAGCAAAAAAGGATTCGTCAGGTGCTTAAAAAAAATGTAACTTATCTGTTGACATTTTAACTTCAATCTCTTCAGTCTGACTTCAGTCTGCTCGTTACTATTGGTTTAGAACCTCTGCAACTTGCGCAACATGGCTGTAACGTGGGTGTGGCTGGGGAAAAAACTCGGGTGCAGAGTTTCCATCCGGTGCGGAGCGAATTCACGAGCAGAGGCTGAGCAACATGTGTACTGCACAGTGTGCCAGTTGTACGGGTCCCAGAGAGGTGGTGGTGTGGTGGGCTGGGCTCCCTCCCGTCCATCAGGTGAACCCAGCAGCAGCACAATACGACGAAAGCTCACATATTGGCTGACGCGTTTGTCGCCGGAAACACAAACCAAAACACCGAAAACACCAAAAAATAAACCAAAAACAAACCCAGAACCAGAAACACCAATTTTCGCCTGTCTTGTAAGCAGCTCAAATCATACACTTCAGGACACAATACTGACAACGTATGAGGACAGTATTGTGACCAACGCCAAAGAAACTACTTAGTCGACCACAGGGAGATTTGTTCGGGGGATTTCATATTGGATGTTTCCTAGCATGATTCGTATAATCGTATTTCCTAGTACAATCGTATCCTTCCATAGATTACATCTTGAGTCAGCGTACATCAAAGCCAGGGAGCAATAACACGCAATAGATGTAGTATTTGTAGAAGCGCATGTTCCTTAGAAGACACTGTGCCTAGGGAATAGCCATCTTACACCAGACATCAATATTTGTAGAATACGGTGATACATCAGTAGACAATACTCAAAATACCTGGAGATTATCCGTCCCAGACATTGTTGTGCCTTGTCACCATGGCACCTTAGCAAAACTGGACATCATCCATGCTCATACTTAGTAACAGCTACAAGAGATCCTACAGCCTGAACTCCACCCTGGGTGGTTCATAGGTGTAGGCCTCGGTGTTAATGGGCGCCCCAAGACAAGACAGCTTCAGGAATGCCCCAATCAGATCAACCTAGTGGTGGGATACATGCACACAAGAAGAATGTAGGGGGAAACAGAGCAGATGATTACAAGGGGAGGATAGGCATGCTTTGTGTCTGTTGTGCACAATCATAATGGTCGGCTGTCTCCGTGCAGAAAACCTTGGTCTGGATGTTCTGCAGCACAAGAGCATTGGTGGGGCAGTGTCTGGCTGGATCCATTCCGTGTGTACCAAGAGTGACTCACCTCATAGTCAGTCTGGGACACGGTGGTGCGGCTCTTCCTGTACTTGGCCACCCACCCCATGAGCTCCCCTTCAGCTCCCCGCACTGCTCCTCACAAACCAGCATGTGTTCACCCCAACAGTCCAAGCTCAGCGCCTTCTCACCTCATAGTCGGTCTGGGACACGGTGGTGCGGCTCTTCCTGTACTTGGCCACCCACTTGCTCATCTCCTCATCCCCCGCCAGCTTCGCCTCCACAGCCTCCAAGTCCCGCCCCAGGAACAGCGCCAGGGTCACCACTTGGCGGGGCCTCAGCCCCAAGGCAGCAAATTTCTCCTTGATCTCGGCGGCGCTGAGCTGCTCCCAGATTGGGACTCGCCCCGCCGGGTCTACTTGCTCCGCATCCGCGCGGCCCAGCTGCTTGTCAAAGAAACCCCACTGCGATTGAGGGAGGGTCAGGTGGAGGGGGAACAGCTGGGGCATTTGAAAGTGGTCAGGAAAGTGGCCAATAAGCAGCAGGAGGGTGCCCACCTGCCGCGGCCTCAGCCCAAGGCGAGCGAGGCAATGCTTGATTGACCCTGCACTCAGCTGCTACCATTACGGTACCTCCACCTACAAAGCAGATACTGAGCACAACCTGCTCCAGAAGTAATCGCCCCAGCAGCACCTGCTTCAGTACTACCTGCCTGCCCCAGCAGCACCTGCTTCAGTACTACCTGCCTGCCCCAGCAGCACCTGCTTCAGTACTACCTGCCTGCCCCAGCAGCACCTGCTTCAGTACTACCTGCCTGCCTGCCCCAGCAGTACATGCTGGCCGGGGGAGCCAATGGCGAAGTAGAGGTTGAGCCCCTTGGTGTCATCACCCCCTGCCTTGCGCACAGCTGCTGCCAGGAAGGTGGTCTTCACGGCCGATTGGGCTGCACGTACAGGGTGGGGGGGATGGGGGGGAGAGAGAGGGGGCGAATAGCTATTGCGAGCTCCTTGGTGTCATCACCCCCTGCCTTGCGCACCGCTGCTGCCAGGAAGGTGGTCTTCACGGCCAATTGGGCTGCATGGGAGAGATGGACAATAGTGCAAGCAGTGGCACGGGGTGGGGTTTGGGAGGGACGACCATTGTTTAGAGCGCCAATAAGTCGTTCCCTGCATTCCACATGGCAGTCTTTGAAAGGTGGTCCTATCCTCCACGTGACTGGGCTGCATAGAGGGAGGCCATGTGGAGGGAGGCCATGTGGAGGGAGGCCATGCAGAGACCACCAACTGGGATGTCATGTGATGGGAACGAACGCACATGGTGCTGGGAGGCTATGAGCTGGAAAGTGGGTCCTTCTCGTATCACTCAACTCATTGGCCATGGGCTGAGAATAAGTACCACTCAACCCTGCACTACACTGCACCTCAAAGGCAGAGCAACCTCACCTCCGAATTGAATCAGGTCAGCGTAAGACAGAGGCCCGCCCTTGGCGTCTTTGTCCACCCGTGCCTTCACCCCCTCCAGCAGCTGCAGGGCCGCCTTGAGGCCCTTGTTCTCTGGGCGTGAGAGCTCCTCGCTGGGGGGAGGAGGGGGGGTAAGGGGGTGGAGAAGAAGGCACAGCACAGAGGACCGAAAGGTAAGCAGCCCCCTCCAGCAGCTGCAGCGCCGCCTTGAGGCCCTTGTTCTCCGGGCACGAGAGCTCCTCGCTGGGGGGGGGGCGGAGAGGGGGAGATAAAGAGACGGGTGTTGAGGGGAGGGAGGTGGGTGAGCGGTGTCGTTTTCTGTACTAAAAGGGAAGGGGGTGCTTGACCCCCTCCAGCAGCTGTAGAGCCGCCTTACGGCCCTTGTTCTCTGGGCGAGAGAGCTCCTCGCTGGGGAGGGAGGACAGGAAAGCAGGGTCCAGAGGGGACTTTTGAGTTGACTCAAAAGTCTCCTCGCTGGGGAGGGAGGACAGGAAAGCAGGGTCCGGAGGGGACTTTTGAGTTGACTCAAAAGTCTCCTTGCTGGGGAGGGAGGACAGGAAAGCAGGGTCCGGAGGGGACTTTTGAGTTGACTCAAAAGTCTCCTCGCTAGGGAGGGAGGACAGGAAAGCAGGGTCCGGAGGGCAGGGAGGTGGGGAGACGGTGTTTTTGTGATGCACTCGATTAGAAGCAAGGGATGGGGGATTGTGAGGCCTTTGTACGCCTCGCCAAGGGGAGGAGCATGGAATGGCATGCTATGGCATATGGCATGGCATTGATGGCACGGCATTGATGGCATGGCATGATATGGCATGGCATGATATGGCATGGTCTCGCAGATGGTGTTATTACCTGAATCGGATGGACCCGTTCGCTCCTCCTGTCCTGGTCTCCTGTTGCGAATCAAGGCAAAGAAATATCGCGGAAAGCACCATAGGGAGGGGGGATGAGAGGAGAAGATAGAGACATTGAAGGGAAAGTAGAGGGAAAAAAAAGGGATTGGTGAAATGCATCAAGGTTCCGGAGGCACAGGATACAGGCAAGAGAGAAGTGCCTGCCTTGAATCCGTGCATTATATGTGCTACATTGGATTCGCTTTCGAGAAATTCCCAGTGCTGCATCCGCGCATAATGCATTCACGAGAAGCGCGCTTCAGTAGTAGCAGCATTCCACCTGGCACGAACCTTGTCATACGTGACCGCAGGTGTGTTTGTAGTTGACTCAAAACACACCTGAAGTGAGCTTCAGTAATAGCAGCAATACACCTGGCACGGACCTTGTCATATGTGGCCGCATCATTGAGGGCCAATCGCAGGATGTCGGGCACAAGCTCCTTATTGGCCTGCCACGTGGAAGAGGGGTTGGGTGGGGGAGAGGAGGGAAGAGGGGAAGAGGGAGGGCGAGGCGAATACGGGTACACGAATTAGCAAGGATGACGGTGGTGATCTCAATTTTTGGATTACAATACTGTGGGAAAAAGCGTCTGGAAGCACAGGAGGAAAAGTTGGAAGGTTGAACATGATACAAGCGGACCAGGGGGAAGCATAGGGGCGACGGGAGAAGCAGAGATGCGGTGGGAGGGGCGAGGAGAGACGCAGAGAGAGCAGGGCTGATGGGATGAGAGGAGAAGAAAGTGGCTTACACTGATGGTGTTGAAAAGGTCCTCCTTGAGGCCCTCTGGTAGTGTCACATGCGTTACATGTCACGGTGGGGAGTTGGGAGAGGAAGGGAACACGAGAAAAAGCGTTGTCAGGAGATCAGCCGGCTACTGCAGCTCCGCAGGTGGCCCGTGCAATGCACTCATTTTCTCATGAATGTTTTATGGAGTTTTCGGCTGGCATCACGTTCAAACACTCGATACGTATGTCCTTCAACATCAGTCGCCCCGTCCGGCCTACAGCATAAATTCGGTGCACTCACTCAAGTAGGCTGCCAGCTGGCCGCGCTGAGCCAGGTGCGGCGCTCACTGGCTGTTAAGGCTCACAGTAACAGTAGGTGCGAACCAGTCCGTGCGAATCAGTCGTCCCGTGCGTCCTACAGCGTGAGTTCGGTGCACTCACTCAGGTACGCTTTTTGAGACGTCTCAAAAATCATCTTTTTACACGGTGCACTCACTCAGGTACGCTGCCCGCTGGCCGCGCTGTACGATGTTGGCTGCAAGCGCGGGGTCGGACGACGTCAGCAGAGGCACCCACAGAGGGCTCTGGGGGAAGTGGGAATGTGAGAGGGGAACGAGCGGAAGGGGAAGGGACAATAGGCGATCGTTGAGGCCCTCGACTTCCCTTCCCTCACAGGGCGGGATGAAGGGGGGGATGGAAGCAGATACGCCTGATGAGAGGGAAACTGGGAAGAAGGCAGGCAAACTAGCGAATATCGCAGAGAGGAGCAGGCAGCGCGAGAGACGGTAGCAGGCGGAATATAGAGCAAGGGGAGGGGATGAATGGCCAGCAGAATCACGCGGGGAACATTTCGAGTACATAGTTCACAAGGCGGCCTGCGGCGAGATGAGCATGCATGCACTCACGGAAGCAGCGGTGAGCGCAGAGAGCATAACTTGGCGTCGGGGGAGGATGAGAGCAGAGGAGGACTCAGAGGAGGAACAAGAGGAGGACTCAGAGGAGGACGAAGAGTCGGAGGATGCCCGGCAGCGAACTGCTGCACGCTGCGACCTTTTATCAGAGCAGAGATGGCAATACGGCGTGCGGGGAGTGAACTCACGGAGGCAGCGGTGAGCGCAGTGAGCATCGCTTGGCGCCGGGGGATGACGAGAGAAGAGGAGGAGTCGGAGGAGGGAGACGCGTCGGAGGATGCCTGGCAGCGAACTGCTGCACGCTGCGAGAGGTGGAACGACGGAGAGGGATGCAAAGGGATAAAGCGAGATATTACGGGGTACACAGAGATACAGAGGGATACGGGGGGAACAGGCCAGGGAACACAAGAAGAGCGGTACGGAAGGAGAGTTGCGAGAGTGAAATGACACGGCGGGGGAAGAGAGTAGCTTCCTTCACACTGCGCATGGCCACTTTCACGCAACGTGCTTCGAGAAAAATGTAGCTTATGGGGTTCATCGATAGACATTTTCGCTGTTCGAAGTATAGTTGAACTGGAAATGATTTTCTGCGGAGCTCTTTCTGAAGCGGTACCTGATAGGACTTCACTGCTGCAGTCTTGGCAGTGCCTGTGTGCAGATGGTATGGTGTGGCATGGGATGGCACGGGAAGGGACGGAAACAAACGCATGGGATAAGAATGACACACAAGGGCATTGACAAATATTGACATGCAGACCCTTGGTGTGACAGGTCAGGAAATTGACACCGGGAAAATTAAAATTGCTTGAGAGATTGCGAGTGCGAGCAGAGACGAGATTCGTGAACCGTCTGCCAGCTCATTCCATCCGCTCTGCCTGGTGTTCTTGCAGCAGACTAGCACGCACGACCTCACATAATTTGTGCAACCTAAACCATCCTTGTTATGAGCTTACCAGCAAGGGCCTTTCCCTGCACGAAGGAAGACGACTCCGCGGAAGAGAGAAGCGGAGCCTGATGAGGGGGGGACAGCGGGCGAATGAGGGAAGAGGAGAGGGATTAGATGGCAATGTTGATACGAATGGGGCGGGCGAGGGGGGGAGGGGGGTTGGGAGGGGTGGGGGAGGGGAAGTGAGGAAAATGAGGGACAGACTGTGAGCTCTGCACTGAACGAGAACTCGAGCAAAGAAGTTTGACGCGTACGCAAAATAGATTACGAATGCAGAGAGCGAGAATCAAAGGACGCAGAGGATGACGAACCGTGGCAACAGACGACATGGCGAGCGAAGCCATTGCGACTACCGACTGCAGCGAGTGAAGCAGGAGTAGCGAGCGGGAACGGCAGGAAATTTAGCCAAGGATTGTCGTACTAACGCTGGAATTCAAAATTAGTACGCGGAGTGAGGGATATGAGTCTCACTGGAATCTGGAATCTGAAAGGGGGTTCCCTGAATCTGCACAATTGTGCAGAAATTTTCAGGCTGTGGGGGTGAGGGGCCATTCATGGTGCTGGAGCTGAGTCAGCGGCCAAAGATTTGGGGACGCGATGCGATGTGACTGGGCGTGGGGATCGAGGAGCCTTGTACGATTGGACAGGGCGAGGCCGGTACTGCCACACCAGCAGATCGAGAATCTTGAAGGAGTCCACGTGCTGGTAAATGACTGCGCCAACGAGGCAAATGCTGGACACCCATTAACACTCTATTGGACACTCCAGTTGTCTCAGTCTGTTACACATACTGATTGTACAATTAAATGCTTGTTATTGTTGGATAGAATTCTTGGCTCGCAACAAAAGCACAACCATCCTTACTCCCTGAAAATATGATTATGTTAATTTAAATGATTAATTAAGGATACTATTCGACTGAAGCAGAGCTTGTAGTTGTCATGAAGTAGTAACGCTCTTTCAGAGCTTGATGTGGACCAAGAAATTGTACTACTATGTTCAAATCGAGCTGTAACGCTTTCTTCTAAACGAAAGTTCCTGACTGAATCAGCCACCGACCAATGGCATCGAACTCCCACCTCGACTTGACATTCCCAAGAAACGGCAGCACCACCACCAACCGCATCAACCTTGAGGAAAGCGAGCAACACACAACCATCACCAGCACCAGCACCAGCATCAGGAATGGCTGACGAGACAACTCGTCTATGTTCGAAGCCTCCATAACCCCACCTGGTGAAGCACAACTAAAGGTCGTTACGAATCAGACGCATTCCCCGTCGCCGATAGTTAGGCGATCCCCGGTTGACGTCATGATTCGCGATACAATACAGCAAGCATATACGAGTGCAAAGATTAGAACCGTCTTGTTGTGAGGTTCTTTCCTAGGAAGCCCTTCGCTCATTGTGCGATTTACCGAGTATTCATGTCAGCACAACATTCGGTTGTACAGCGAAGTCTTGGAATCTTTATTGAAGACGTACTCTTAGAGGGCCAGTCGTGGTTACGACCCTAATAAGATCTTAGAGGGTCTGTCAAGTTCACCTCTTCGAACCCTACGCCATCGCGGCATTCCCATTGTGCTGCACTTACAACACGCAGTAATTTTTTGCTTTCTGTAGGGGTGATGACGACCGGCGAATACTTACCTTTCGCAACAACATAGTAACTCCTCGCACACGTCAGTATGGAAGGCAGCAGCACTCATAAGGATAGCAGCGCCAGCAGCAGTAGCAGCAGTATTGTCAATCGAGGCGGCACTCTGTGGTTCCTGCAACCCGCCGAGCCGACTAGCTACGTACTTGACGACTCAGCGCCTGCCAAATCCCGCGCGGGCAAGAGCGCGCATCAGAATGCAGCAAAGAGCGCGGGCGGCGGGGTAAAGGGGGGTTTCCCCTTCCCCCGGGCAAGATCTGGCAGCCCGCTTGCTCCCTGGGGAGGGGCACGAGGAGGCGGAGGCGGAGGGTCGGAGACTTGGATGCGCGGTTTCAGCGGGAAATTAGGGCGGTACCGGCGGTGTATGCTGCTGGTGGGGGGTGTGACTTTAGTGAATGGGATTTTGTCTGTGATTCTACTGGAGCTGATTATTAACGGTGCAAGGTCGTGCCCTGGGGGTAACTGCCATTTGCATGTGACTGAAGCTGATTCGCAGCTGAAGAATTATGATATGTGAGTTGACTGATCACATTTGACATGCGAGTTGATGACTTATCACATGTGAGTTGGTGACTTATCGCACATGACGTGGGTTGATGATTCATCTCATGCGAATCTAAACTTTCTTTCTGACATGTAGAGTGAGATTAACTTCTCATTCGTTACTCGTAGTCCCTGTTACCCCATTTCGGGCTGCTCTTTGGTCCAGTGCGGAATCTCAAACTTAATCGTTCCTCCCCCCACCCTCCCCCCCGTCCCCTCTTCTCCCCTTTCCCCCCCCCCCTCCCCCCCCTCTTTGCGCCCTCGTCAGCCATTCTACCCGCCAGCTGTCGTCACGCAAGGCACAGTTCCTCTCGGACGACGCTGACGTGGACAGTGACTTGGATGTAGAAGCTGACGTGGACGATGGGTCTGTCGTGGATATAGAGCTACCCTCCCTCTCTGTCTCTTCCACCTCATCCTCGTCTCAAGCAAGAGGGAGAGGGGTTCAGGCGGGGAGGGGGGGCAAGCAAGGTAGTGAAGGGAAGCAGGGGAGAGTAGTGAAAGGAGGGAATGTGGGGAAAGGAAGGAGGGGCGGAGAGAAGGGAAGAGAGGGAGGAGAGGGAGGGAGAATGGGCAGTGCTAAGGCCAGAGAAGGTTCAAGAGGCGCAAGAGGAACAAGAGGAACAAGAGGTGCAGCAGGGGAGACACGCCACATGGTGAAAGGCGGATTTAGTAGTTCAGGGTCCGGGTCTTCCTTCTCTCACTCCTCCTCGTCAGATGAAACTCCAGATGAAACCACCAAGGTTTCATCGTCCGTTTCATCTGACTCGCGGTTCAGCTTCTTCGCCCATCTTGATGCTGCTGCTGCACACCTCTCTGCTGGCCGTAAATCAAGCTCCGGCCGTGTTGTTTCCTCCCGTTCTCGCATATCCCCCACCCCCTCTACTGTCTCCTCCCATTCTCATGTCACCCCCTCCCCCTTTCATTCAAACCGAGCTGTCACCAGACCGAGGCCTGTTGTTACAAAAGCCGTTCTGCCATCGCCTGCTGTTACCTCACGTACTGTTCCTTCAGCTGCTGTTACCACACCTGCTGTTACCACACATACTGTTACCACAGCTACTGTTACCACACCTGTTGACACCCCCACAGTTCGGACAAGCAAGGGGAATGCTGCTTCTGCTGCTGCCACCAGCAGCACCCCCAAAATCATCACTAAACCAGCTAGCACTCTTAAAGACACTGATAGTAACATCCCCACGACCGTTACTGTCACTCCCACACCTGTTACTGTCACTCCCACAAGCACTACAAGCACACTCACAGTAGCTTCCAGCACCCCTGTTTCTACCACCAGTGCCAGCACTGGTGCAGGCACAGGTGATGCCGCTGCCGCTGCAGCAGATTCGGTCTCTGCTGATAATGCTGGTGCTGGTGCTGGTGGTGATGCTGATGGTGGTGCTGGTGCTGGTGCTGCTGATGCTAATGCTGCTAATGATGGTGCTGCTGATGCTGGTGCTGCTTCTGATTCTCGTGCTGTTGAGGCTGGTCAAGAAGGAGACAGTTCAAGCAGTAGTGAGTCCGGCAGTAGCAGCACTGGTGACAGAAGCACGAGCAACAGCAGGAGCAGCAGCGGGGTAGACGGCAGTAATGACAGGAGGCGGCAGCGGCAGCAGCAGCGGCAGCAGCAGTGACAGTGATGATACTGCATCAACCGCTCCCCACACCTCTTCACCTTCCCTTCCTACCCTCGTCCACCAGGACCAGATCTCCCCCTCTCCTCCCTCGCCACTCCCCGTGCAACCCCTCTCCACATCTCCTGTACTCCCCCCTCCTTCCTCCTCCCCCCCTCCCACCATCACTCCAGCGAGACAGACTGCCGCCCAAGAGAAACAGGTAGCCGCCCAAGAGAAACAGGCTCGTTTTCAACAGCAGCAGAGGGAGGCAGCCGCCCGGCAGAAGGAAGCAGCCGCCCGAGAAGCTGCCGCCCAGCAAAAGGAAGCAGCCGCCCAGGAAGCAGCTGCCCAACAGAGACAAGCTGCCGCCCAGCAGAAGGAGGCTGCCACCAAGCAGAAGGAAGCTGCCGCCCAGAAGGAAAAGACTGCCGCCCAGGAGCAGCAAAACGTTGCCGCCCAGCAGCAACAAGCAGGCCCCAAAACCCGAACCCCCAAGCCTTTCTACGAACGGATGAGCGCCAGGTGGCACGTAACACCGTTACCGCGTGTGCACGGCGCGTACCTGTTACAGCAGAAGCACGACTACTCGTGCTTGTTACTGGTACAGGACCTGTGTTACCTGTTCATGGCGGGTAAAGGGGCGTACCATAACGCGTACACAGGTGTGTGGTTCGTGAGGGAGGCTATGAGTGAGAATAGCTCGGAGTTAGTGGGTCCATACTCGCCTGACTGGAAGAAACCAAGGGGAACGACCAAGGGAAGCAGCAGGAGGAGGTTGCTGAGCAGTGAGGAGGTTGGTGAAGGAGAGTCTGAGGTAGTGGGGCCATATTCGCCTGATTCGCAGGAAGAGCAGGAGGGGCAGGCGAAGCAGGAGGTGGGGGAATGGGAGGAGGAAGGGGATTGGGTGGGGAAAGGGGAGGGAGAAGGGCTACATGACAGCGAGTTTTTGAGTGAGGGTTCAGATCACGGTGTAAGTAGGCAGAGGAGGAGGCTGCTGGGAAGAGCAGCAGGAGAAGGAAGCAGCAGCAGCGGGGGGGGCTGGTTCAGCCGTTTCGCAGGGCTCAAACAGGGAAGAGCAGGAGCAGGGGGGTTCATGAATACAGGCCACTACCGGGACCTGTCTAAGCTAGACCTAGGCAAGAGTATGTGCTCTGTTTTCAAGCCAGGGAAAGACCTTGATACGACACCCCTTTTCTCCGATTCCCACGACCTCCCGATCCTGAAGCTCCGGCAGAATAAGACTTACGGGAGATTTTTGGGGCACCCGGCGCTCGGGCAGTTTATCGCGGAGAGCAGCTCGACTGCCCGGAAAAAGTTGCGGAAGAACAACCCGAACGATTTTCGGAGACGGGTGGGGATAGTTGGGAGGTACGACACGCACATAGGGCATTTCGGGGAATCGGCCATGGCGATGTGGGAAGTTTCTCGGCACTTTCCTAAGGAGGGGCCGTTTGGGGAGGATGAGGAGGCGGAGTGGGGGGATGCCAAGGTGGGAGGGCCGAGAGCGTTGGGGGAGAAATGGAGTGAGAAGGAGAGGTCTAGGAGGAGGCAGCGGTGGAGGAGGAGGGAGAAGGAGGGAGCGGAGCTCTCGCTGTTCTTCCCCAGCGAGAAAACAATCAGGAGCAAATGGACGGCTGGGATCGCTCAGATGCTTTTCGGGCCGGCGTCGGAGGTTTTAGCCGGGCACAGGGAGGGTCGGCCTGTGTGCTTCGACCAGGTGGCGTTTGTGCTGAATTCCCGGCACTTAAACTCGTCTGCGCAGGGGTTTAGGGAGGACGCTTGGGGCCTGGCAGAAGTGGCTGCAAAGGTGTTTCAGCGGAGAGAGGAGAACGGAGTGGTTGGGGACGGTAACGGGGATTTTGAGGTGGAGGAGGAGATGGAGATGGGGGAGGAGGAGCAGGAGAAGCAACGGCGAGCCGAAGCCGGGTCGGAGAGTCAGCAAACCAAGAAGAGCCGAGAGGAAAGCCGGGAGGAAAGTGAGAGGAGGTTTCGGGAGGAGGTGATAGCGCGAGAGAGAAGGCACGCGCTCGCACGCGTGGTGATCCGGCAGGGCGACGAGGTTTTGAACGCGGCTTTAAGGGGGTATGATTTTGAGAGGAAGCTTGAGGTGACGGTGGTGGAGAGGGAGGAGCAGCGCACAGTGAGCAACATGGGGGAGGTGGCGTGGCATGTGAAGGACCTCTTCCCCCGCCAGCTCACCAACCAGTACCACCTTGCCGACTCACCGCTGCTCGAGCAGATGGCTCTGTTCCAGGTGGGCTCCCAGGTGCCTTTTCAGATGGCTCTCTTCCAGGTGGGTGCTGTTTCATGTGGGTGCTGTTTCAGGTGGGTGCTGTTTCAGGTGGGTGCTGTGTCAGGTGGGTGCTGTTTCAGGTGGGTGCTGTTTCAGGTGGGTGCTGTTTCAGGTGGGTGCTGTTTCAGGTGGGTGCTGTGTCAGGTGGGTGCTGTTTCAGGTGGGTGCTGTTTCAGGTGGGTGCTGTTTCAGGTGGGTGCTGTTTCAGGTGGGTGCTGTTTCAGGTGGGTGCTGTTTCAGGTGGGTGCTGTTTCGGGTGGGTGATGTTTCAGGTGGGTGCTGTTTCAAGTGGGTGCTGTTTCAGGTAGGTGCTGTTTCAGGTGGGTGCTGTTCCAGGTGGGTGCTGTTTCATGTGGGTGCTGTTTCAGGTGGGTGCTGTGTCAGGTGGGTGCTGTTTCAGGTGGGTGCTGTGTCAGGTGGGTGCTGTTTCAGGTGGGTGCTGTTTCAGGTGGGTGCTGTTTCAGGTGGGTGCTGTTTCAGGTGGGTGCTGTTTCCGGTGGGTGATGTTTCAGGTGGGTGCTGTTTCAAGTAGGTGCTGTTTCAGGTGGGCGCTGTTCCAGGTGGGCGCTGTTCCAGGTGGGTGTTGTTCCAGGTGGGTGCTGTTTGAGGTGGGTGCTGTTCCAGGTGGGTGCTGTTCCAGGTGGGTGCTGTTCCAGGTGGGTGCTGTTTCATGTGGGTGCTGTTTCAGGTGGGTGGTGTTCCAGGTGGGTGCTGTTTCAGGTGGGTGCTGTTCCAGGTGGGTGCTGTTCCAGGTGGGTGCTGTTTCATGTGGGTGCTGTTTCAGGTGGGTGCTGTTTCAGGTGGGTGCTGTTTCAGGTGGGTGCTGTGTCAGGTGGGTGCTGTTTCAGGTGGGTGCTTTTTCAGGTGGGTGCTGTTTCAGGTGGGTGCTGTTTCAGGTGGGTGCTGTTTCGGGTGGGTGATGTTTCGGGTGGGTGATGTTTCAGGTGGGTGCTGTTTCAGGTGGGTGCTGTTCCAGGTGGGTGCTGTTCCAGGTGGGTGTTGTTCCAGGTGGGTGCTGTTCCAGGTGGGTGCTGTTCCAGGTGGGTGCTGTTTCAGGTGGGTGCTGTTTCAGGTGGGTGCTGTTCCAGGTGGGTGCTGTTCCAGGTGGGTGCTGTTTCAGGTGGGTGCTGTTTCAGGTGGGTGCTGTGTCAGGTGGGTGCTGTTTCAGGTGGGTGCTGTTTCAGGAGGGTGCTGTTTCAGGTGGGTGCTGAAACCTCATCTTCCTCCCTTCAGGGAGCACCATTCTCCAGCTCTTCCCTCTCAAATTCCACTCCCACGCCACCAAGAACCTCATTTGACCTGCCGCATAGGAACCGCACAAGCAGAGCCTAACCCTCTCAAGAGGTCTGTGAGGTGACTTTTGAGTCGACTCAGATCAGATGTCACCGCATAGGGACTGCACAAGAAGAGCCTAACTCTGTCAAGATGTCTGTCTGAGTCGAGCCTTTTCCATCAGTTTTGTCCCCCACTCACCTGCTCCCCTTCTCCCCCCTGCACCCTGCAGCTCACGGCGCTGTTCATCAGCATGCATGGCGCCTCCCTCAGCAACCTCATCTTTGACCTCAACCCATCCCCAACCTCTCTCTCCGTCTCTCACGCCCTTCGAGGCGACTTTTGAGTCGACTCAAAAGTCATCTCCCTCCATTTCTCACTCCCTCCCCCTTTCCCTCCCCTGCAGCACACGGCGCTGTTCATCAGCATGCATGGCGCGTCCCTCAGCAACCTCATCTACAGTGCACCTTAACTCATCCCACCCCCCACTTCTCCTTCTTCGTCTCCCCCCACCGACCCCCTCAGCACACGGCGCTGTTCATCAGCATGCATGGCGCGTCCCTCAGCAACCTCATCTTCCTCCCCCCAGGCAGCACCATTCTCGAGCTCTTCCCCTTCAAATTCCACTCCGACGCCTACAAGAACCTCGCCCTGCGCACCGGAATCAACTACTTCATGTGGGAGAACACGCACCCGGAAGCTTCTACCTACACCGACGATTGCTTAGCTAAGGGCGGGTGGGAGAATCTGGAGGAGAAGGAGTGTCGGAACGTGAGGGGGTGTTTTCTGTGTGCGAGGGATCACTCGGTTACGAGGGTGAATATGGAGGAACTGGATAAGGTGCTTTTGAAGGTGCAGAGAGCGGTGCGGAGGTTTTTGCACGAGGAGAGCTTGAAGAAGCTGCATGGGGTTACAACAGCAACAGTTACTGCTTAATGAATCGATTGTACCTGAATATTTAGGAGAAGGGGTGTCGGAATGTGAGGGGGTGTTTCCTGTGTGTGAGGGATCATTCGGTGACGACTGTGAATAAGGAGGAACTGGATAAGGTGCTTCTGAAGGTGCATAGAGCGGTGCGGAGGTTTTTGCACGAGGAGAGCTTGAAGAAGCTGCATGGGGATACAGGGGTTGCTGCGGCATAGACTGCTGCATAGGCTGCTGCACAGGCTGCTGCATAGGCTGCTGCTGCTGTGGGTGCAGCAGGCTGTGATGAGGTTTCTGCCTGAGGAGAGATTGAAGGAGATGTATGCGGGTGCGGCTGAGTGGGTAATGTAGCTGCTGCTGCTGCTGAGGTTGCTGAGAGCAGTAAGGGAGTTTGTGCACTTGAAGATCCTACTAGTGGGTTTGGATGAGGGCGCAACAGTCTCTGTGGCACCGCTTAGGGTTGGTGTGTGGACATCATTGCAATGCACCAGCGTCGTAGTATTGCAAAGCCTGCTTGGTCTGGTCGCTGGCGCTGCTGCTTTGGGTTGGGTGGTCTTTGATGGGCTCCTTCAGAATGGGATGTCTAGGGTATATTTTTGCTTGCAAATGCGGCTGATTGGCTGAAGGTGTTTTTGTACAAGCTGGCGTGTGAGTGTATGAAGAAGGTGCAGTATTCATCTGGATAGTGGACCCGGGGTTTGATGCTGTCATCCCCATTTCTCAGGGTGTGCTGTATCCTGCTTGCAAGGCTGCTGATACGGTAGTGCTCTTGAATGAGCTGGAGTGTGAGAGTCTGACGATGGCGGCACTGCTGTGTGTGTGACACTACCAGACCAGCAGTGCAGTATGTGATGGCTTTAGAGAATTCGCAAAAGCCACTACCAGACCAGCAGCCTCTAGCGAGCTGTTGATGAACTCTTGTGCAGTGTTTGCAAGGAATCTCAGCTTAGCATGCTGCAGTTTGATGCAAGCAACCTACTGTTGCTCAACTGCGAGTGGTGTCTTACAGAGAATGAAGAACCCTCCCCCAAGGGATGAGGAAGCACATGTTTGCTGCAGGAAGGGTCCCAAAGCAGGCCTTACACTAGAGCTCTTCCACTTCACACCCTTTTCTCATTTGGAGCTCATGATATGCACACAGCCCCGTTTCTCTTTGCTTCCTTGCCTCCCTCCCACTTTGTAGATTCCATCTCCTCCCCTACTAGCTTCCCTCCCTCCCTGCCCATTCCTCGTTCCACCACATCGCAAGCAACAACCCTCGCTCTTGTAAGTACCGTACTCAACTCATCCATCCATCCATGCCCAGATCGTCCCGTACACCCCACCCCATCCCCACAACCAACCACGCACACACCAGATGAGACAACAAAACCGATATCATTAATTTTGCGATACATGTACAAACGCACGAGTCAAAATTGTGGGGGGTGGTGGGGAAAATTGGTTGAAACACAACACACCCCCCCGAGGTCATTTCATCAACCCATCAGCGGAAAGCTAATTTCAGCTCTCCGAGTCTCCTTGAAGCCGAGAGTACGGTACTACCAGCGAGCGCTTGAAGCTCTACGTACTACCTCTGCACTACCAACCAGCACTTATTCCTAGTCTTGACGCGCTTCGAGACTTCTTACGCGTCGGAAAAACTGTCGACTACTATCAGTGGTCGACAGCCGGAGCGCTAAGTTCGAGGGCGAACGTTCTAAATTAACTACCTCTAGTAACCACGAAACTCCCCCACCAGCCCTACTATGCGACAGCTGCCACGACCGCAGTTACTTCAACGCCAATGTCGCTATCTCTTCGCAATACCACAGCTTCTAATTGTGCCGGCGACCCGCCATTACCACTCTCAACTATAACCCCGCTCTCTTCTCGCACGACGATCGTGACGATCCGCTCACCAGCCTCGTCAGCTTCGCTCATTCTCCGCGGGGTTCGCGAACCCTTATCGCACGTTTCGCCGGCCGTTACCGGCGCTGGACGAAGGTCCTTGCGACAAATCGGGCACGTGCTTTTCGACGACAGCCACAGGTCGATACAGTCCGCGTGAAAGCGGTGGCCGCATGGCGGAAGCAACTTGATCCGTTCCCCTTCGTCGTAGTCACCCAAGCACACCGCGCACTCGCGTAAACACGCGTTTTCCTCGTCCAAGGTAACAACCACGTGATCAGGAGCGGGATTGGCGGCGGAATTGGCGGCACATTTGTCGGCCTCAGCAGCCAGTCTGGTGAATTCTGAGGCGGCATCAGGAGCTTTGAGCTGAGACGCTACGATCACCGCGGTAGAATTCCCACTTCTCCTGGCATGGTCGACATGTAGATCTTGCGATTTCCGCGACACGAGCTTTTCTGTGAGTCCCGCCACGGAAAACTCGGCTTTATCCGAGCTGAAAATTATCACTGGGAAAGAGCGAATGAGCGATGCGTCGAGGCCTACAGATTTCGTCGAGCTGCTGTTACCACCGCCGATGCGAACCCACACGCGATGCGACGGCCGTGGACTCGGAAGGTCGCCGCCGATTGGTTCATGGCATTTCATCCGCCGCAGGATGTAAACGAGGAGCGAGATGACGGCGGTGACGATGATGCATGCACCGACGGCTGCGACGAAAGTGAGCGGAGAGAAAGCGGTTGTCGTCGAAGGGCCGGATCCTGCCGGTATTCCCAAGGTCGACGCGTTTGCTTGGGAGTTGAGTGCGCTGCCGCTGTCGGTTGTTGCGACGGTTGCGAGGTGCGGTACTTGCGCAGGAGAAGACATAGTGGTAAATCAAGAAAGCTGAATATCAAGTTTCGAAGGTGAAGTTCACAACTGCATATATTCCGCTTTTCTGGCGATACGTACTGACTGAACTTCCACTCCGCTTCATCCACCGTCTAATGCTTCGTAGATGAGATTCTACGCGGCAGAACTATATTCTCAAAGAAAACGGGCAGGAGTCTCCTTGGTTTTTGCTGTGGCGAAACTGCTAGTTATGTTAGCAAAACATGCTCTCCTCTCATGAAGTGTGGGCTGTTGAAGAAGTGTGTGGGAGCGGGGGAGGATGCTGGGAATTGGCCAGACATGGCTTGTTGTCGCGCCGTAGTGTATCGCTCTGAACACCTCAAGAAGTTGTTTACCGTTAACTACCGATTTGTTTATTCTACGAACCTTACTCTTTCTTGTGTGGTGTTTCACTGTCCAGCCATGAGTTTCCTCTCCCTCAGTTCCCCCCTCCACTTCTCATTTCTTCCTTTCAGTTGCCCATGATGCTGCCCTTCGAGAAATTGACCAATCAATGGGTGCTTCCGAGACGCGGAAGACAGACAACATAGCGTTGCGCGAAAATCACTGCGTGGCTGGAGGAGGTTGTGCCACTGAACCGAAAGCAGTGGCCCTCGTCGGTGGAACGAACGAAGCTCGCGAAAACCAAAAAGCGAAGGCCACATTCGCAGCCAGAAGCGACAAAAAATGAAGCACAGACTCTTCCTGTGATGCGAGGAAACTGAGGCATAAAAGATCCTCAATGCTCCACTGGAGGTTCTGACTCGACATCTACCTCAAAGGGACTCCCGGATTGGTTGCAAATCTTGCAACGAAGACACGTGATTGGTGATCTCGAAATTCGACGCTGGAGGATTATGGACCACTTCCATCGTGTGGCGGCTGTGGACCTTGTTTTCGATTGCGCCGCAATCGCAGTGGCATGACTTCCGAAAGGTTGAAAAGTCGGAGGCGCTGAACTCCGCACCACAGCTTATTAGGGATGTGATAAGTAGTCGTAATGAGTGGAGGAAGTGTGCAACAACCACCCTTGGGCGAACGAAAGGTCCCAGCATTTCGGGTTTTGCCACGTGATCTTTATCACTTCGAAGTTCCCGTTCTGGACCTCATGTTGGTTGATCCCGTGGAAAATTACAGCCAATAACACCGTAGCCACATGGTTGGTGAAATCTACCCACGTGTACTACCCACATGGTTGTTTCATGTGCGGGGAATCTTGAAGTGGAGTTACAAGAGTAGCTGGCGAAAACATTTTGCTCAACATTATATCGATATGGCTGTACAAGCAGTACATACACAAGTGTTCATTTATCGCCATAGACATGACTCAGTGCAAGGAGACATGTGAAGAGTACGGCTTGCATATACAAAAATTTCATAAAGCAGTTAAGGACGAAAATTAGTCACAGGGTTGCTCCTTGCAACTTCAGCGAGAGCATCCGCAAAGCCAGAGAGCCATGGAACATTTACTGATCCCACTGCACACATGCAACAAAAACAAATCAGGTAAACAAGAAGCCAATATTGAAAACACAACCTAAAAAGTACAAGGCAGCGACTGTAGGTAAACGAACTCACAGGCAGCTTGTGGGAGTGCTGCAATGCTTTCACGAATGGCTGTTGCAAGGGAGAGGAGGGACTGGGGATTGGGAATGCCTGAAAGCAGGAACTGGGGGTTGGGGATGCCTGCGGCAGGCATAGGGAAAGGGAAGGGAAGGGATGTACATATAGAAGTCATGCAGAAGGGGAACAAGTGATCCACGTGAGGGTGAGGTTGGGGATGCATGAAGAAGGAATGATGGAGTAGTGTGGAACAGAAAACAAAGGGATTCAGAAAGGTGCAGGTGCAGTTGGGATCTAATAAAAAAATGTGGAATTGATATCATCTGCACAAAATGCCAGGAGACAAGGACGGATGACATAGGAAACACACAAAAAAAAAAAAAAAAAAAAAAAAAAAAAAAAAAAAAAAAAACTGAAATTGGGAAACAGGAGACATGCTTGAACAAGAGAGATTCCTTACCGAAACTGGGTTGGGAAGGAAAACGAGGTGGCTCGGGAATCAGCGAGCCAAGGAAGGGGATGTTCCGAGCCAGATCGATAGGTACGGCCTACGGAAGGAGGATGACAGGACAACAGAGGGGACCGGTTGGAGAAGGAGAGAGAAGAAGTGAAGGGGCGAGGGAGCGGGTTGGGACAGGCAGTAATTTGAGCGAGTTGGGAAGAGAGAAATTTGAGAAAGAGAGAAGGGAAGACCAAGTCAGTAGCAAGAAAGTGGTCCATATAGAAGGGTGTTTTTGAGAATTCTCAAATAGAAGGGGATTTCCCAAGATTCTCAAGAAGATGGTATCCAAAACACTCACCACGAGATGGCCCGCGAACGAGGAAACGTCAGCACCATTCCCAATGGAAAGCCGCAGCTGGTACTGACTCAGAATATTCACCAGTGCTGCTGTTTCTCTGTTGTTTTCAACACTCGCAGTCTGCGTTCTCGCAATAGTGACACTCACCACAAGACGGCCAGACGAAAGTGGAAACGTCAGCACCATTCCCAATGGACAGCCGCAGCTGGTACCGGCTCGGATCCCTCAGGATATTCACCAGCGCTGTTGCAGTTTCAGATATGACATTGTACCTATGACTGCACTCACCACGAGACGACCAGCAAAGGACGCCGCATCAGCACCATTCCCAATGGAAAGACGCAGCTGGTACTGGCTCGGATCCCTCAGAATATTCACCAGCGCTGCTCCTGGCACTGGCACAGCTCCCCATAACCACCCCGAACCACTCCGCACCACTCCCTGCGCTGCACCCACTGCTCCATGTGCTGCCCCTGCTGCTGCAGCTACAGGGTTTACCCCAGATCCAGATAAACCCCTGCGTGGCCCCTGTGTAACTGGCGCTGTGCTTGCTGCTGCTGCTCCTCCCAAGCCTTCCCCCGCCCCTGTTGCCCCCGCTGCCCCTGCTGCCCCTGTAGCGGCTCGGGGTCCTGCTGTGGCACCTGAAGCTCCACCTGATCCCGCCATTCCACCTGAAAAAACTCCTGGCTCTGCTGTTACACCTGGCCCTGCCGTTACACCTGCGGCAGATGTTCCTAGCCCCCCCAAAGCACCTGCCGCACCTGCTGCTGCTGCAGTTAGGGGATCAAGGGGAGAGGACGAGGAGGATGCTGACGTGGCACGTGTGGCAGAGGCAGCAGCAGGAGGGGTAGAGTTGGCAGTGATACCCACGAGGGGAAGGACGAGACGAGGGGACGATGCTGTGTGGGGGTGGTGGGCAAAGGAGGGGGGAAGGGGAGGGGGGAAGGGGATGAGTTTGCAGTGATACCCATGAGGGGAAGGACGAGACGAGGGGACGATGCTGTGTGGGGGTGGTGGGCAAAGGAGGGGGGAAGGGGAGGGGGGAAGGGGATGAGTTTGCAGTGATACCCATGAGGGGAAGGACGAGACGAGTGGACGATGCTGTGTGGGGAGGAGCAGGAAACGAAGGGGAAATTGGAGGGGTAGGGAGGGGGGAGGAAGGGGGGATGGTTAGGTGAGTGAGCTCGTACTTGTGCTGCGCGTACTTGACTCTCCTGTACTTGTATGCGAAAGAGTCAAAAGCAAGTCAAGAATGGGAGGAAGGACGGAGGGAGTGGATGGGAAGAGACGGTGTCTGCTCCCTGCCTGCTCCCTCCACCCGTTTAGAATGCACAACAACTCACAGCACCGCACTGCACCCACAGCTACTCACCATTGAGCATATCACTGACAGCGTATATTCCTGCCTGCACGTTCTCCCCCGCCCCCTGCGCCCAGGGGAGGGCGAACCCGAGCGTCCCATTAACTGCATTTACAAGCAGCGTAACCACTGATGCGCCGCCACCTGGCAGCACTGGCGCATTACTGGGGGTAGCGCCAGCGGCAGTTGAAGCAGGAGCGGGAGTCGTTGTGGGATTGAGTGCGGTGGAGGTGGGTGTGGTGGGAGTGCGAGTGGTGGTGGTGGGACTGAGGGAGGTGGAGGCAGGGAGGAGGATGGGGGTGAGGTTGGCTTGCAAGCCGCCCAGGAGGAGAGGCTGGAAGGGCGAGACGGTGGATGGGGAGGGAGGGGAGGAGGAGGGAGAGGAAGAGGAGGCGGGAAAGGAGGAGGAGGAGGAGGAGGAGGAGGAGGAGGAGGAGGAGGAGGAGGAGGAGGAGGAGGAGGAGGAGGAGGGAGTGGAGGGGAGGAAGAAGAGGGAGGGGAGGAGAGGGAGGAGGAAGAGGGAGGGGAGGAGGAGAGAGGTGGGCGGATGGATGATGACTGCTGACCGGGTGTGGGCTGTGCATCTGCAAGATGAGAGAACAAGAGGAGGACGATGAGAGGAGGGGGAAATGGACGAACAGAGAGAGGCGAACGAGGAGGGGGAAATGGACGAACAGGGAAAGGGGAATGAAGTGGGAAAACCGCAAATCAAAGACGGACTCAGCTCAGAAACAGACTCACCAACGCCAGTGACTTTCGAATCTTCTCAAAAGTGACCTCAAATTCTCCATATAGTGGCAACGCAACTACGGAGTTAGCTCAGGAATAGACTCACCAGTGGCAGAGAAGAGCAGGAGAAGCGCTGCAGCAATGACCGTGAGGCGAATCAGTGAGGTCGGCAGCAGCGGCAGCAGCAGCAGCGGCGGCATGGGACGATTTTAGAGGCGCCTCAGAAGCCGCATAAGACGGGGAAAAAGAGAAGCTTGACGAGCGCGACATCGTTCCCACCCACGCACGCGTGAAACCCGTTGATGCGTAAGCAAGAGCTGGGTAACCCTCGTCAAGACGTTTCTGATCGGCGGAAGAGTCAAAAAACGCACTCGGGTGAATTTGCTCTTGCGTCGATTCGGTAGTCCGACTGGTGATGCGCAGATTAAGACAAGTCGTCTCCAATTGATGATGCTCAATCGCTCTCACACTTCCGAAAATAAGTACTTGGGAGAAGCCTGCCTGCGATTCGGCCTGTCAAGGCACGCTCGCAGATGTTTCTTCCGCGAACGTTCCTCAAGGGGATTGACGGTCAGGGGTGCCGCGAATTGACGGCCAGTCAGCGCGCAACTTGTCGGACCGACCGATTGGCCAGTCACCGGTCAGCCCTCGCCTTCCCCCTTGTCTTGCCCCTTTCCCGCTTCTCCAACCATCCCTCCCTCCTCGCCATTCCATTCAAAAGCGCGACAGGTGCGACAGGTGAGTGACGTCACTGACTCAGCTGCGATGGACCATTGATGACTGCTGACAGGGCAGTGGCCGCAAGTGGGACTCGACAAGTACGAACCGTCCCTTGACACCTCTGCCGGCCCGCGACTTCCTCTCCCTTGCTGACGCATTTCCTCGAATTCGTCGCGAGGACGTGCGTGCTGTTTGGAAATAATTCAAGAAAATGTAAAGAAGCTGCGTGCGAGGTGCAGAGATGCACAGATGCGCTGGTACAGCCGCCATAGCTGTCAAGATTCCGAATCGGCACTTTCGAGGCGAATAGAAATGCACCAATTGAAAGCTACTCTGACGACTGCTGGTGTGAAATTCCAGGTAAAAGAGGTCACCTGGGCTGGGGGATTCACACCGTTTCTCTCGTTACAAGCAGCTCGTTTATTCAAGTGTTCAACCTGCCTACAAAACTGCCCTCATAGCACACTAATGGAGCATGCTTTACTCCACTTATCTGTGAGGCATGTGTTTCTTTTATGTGTGTAAGAAAAATAATATCTATTTTATATTTACATCAGGGGCTCTATCGATACACATGATATAGTAAAGTACTCACTATTCATCCAATTACTGAGCTGTGAACAAGAGAATGGTGCAAGTAAAAGTTTCTACATGCAACAGTTGAAGGCTACAATCGAGGTGGTTTATGCCGGAGTTTTGCTTCAGAACGTTGCTCCTAGACCTTCTCCTAGGTTCGGAATAGCTATGAGAGCCGTCGATAAGAATCACATGTTGCAAATCTACGGCCAATTGCTACCTCGTGGCTCCCTTGGCTCAATTGCTGCTCAAACCTGCCGACGTGGTAGGTGCGAACCACGTGTTGGCAGGCTCGGGACTCTGGGCTTAACTCCAAGCCCAGATCAGGCCTGTCACATACCAGCAGCAGCCAAACCCTGCTGAGTCAGCCCGTGGGGCAGCCAGCAAACCAACCAGCTCACGTCACGATGGCTCGTTTTGATTGGTTCGCCGTGTGACCACAATTCCAATGTGGTTCTGGAGGCCGAGCCGTGCCTTGGAGTCTCGATTCGCTGCATTTTTGCGACACGCGTCTTGGCGATGGATGCGGAGCACGCGACCCGAAACACAAACACCATTCCATTCAGCTCACTTGGCGAGAAGAACGAAGCCCAAGCTTGCCTTGGGGGTTCAGTGCACGCCCACCATTCAAAAGGACGGCCTTAGGGTCTAGCCACAAGACCCCAAGAAACAGAGAACCTGCCCACTCCCAACCACTTGATCTCCTCGTTGTGCGTCTCTCTTCCAAGCATTCCTCGACTTTCTCCCGTCGCTGTTGCATCCTCGCCCCTCCATGGCGTTCCCTTCCAACTCCTCCGCCTACGGTTTCCGGCTGCGGCCTTGGCGTTGGCGCTCCAAGCACAGAACTAGAAACCTCGGGATTCAAGAGGGGGCCGGGCAGGTTGCTACGAAATCCCTAGGTCGTTCCTTGGTCGTTGGGTCAAAGAGTCAGTCGTCTGTGATGAGTCATCACCCAACCATCCATCTCCCGCGCTTCCCGTGCTGAGTTGGAGCGGCTCGTACGACTTACACATATGTGCAGCTGGACATGCCACACCCACCATCTCCAATTCAAGGCCTCTCGACGCGCTTCCACTACATTACGTTTTCTCCGCTTCTTCTCCTCTCCTCCCGCTGACTCGGCAGGATTAGGAGGAGCCCGCACGGGGTACAGTAGTAGGTAGGTGTCCTCCAATATTCCAAGTCTCAAAAGGCGTCTCCCTGCAGTGAACGCACCGTCCGAGGGAGCAGGAGCGCCGCATCCCGCACATATCTCTGTCCGCTCTCCGCCGGCCCTTTTGACACCGCTCACATGTGGTGGCAACCACTGGTTGGTTGAGCAGCGGGTCCCTCCCAACTGGCTTACAGTACAGAGTCGATTAGTCAGCCGCAAAGCGCGGCCAGCCATAGGAGGGAAAGTAAAGAAGCCTTACGGTCCCTCCCTCGGGATCACTCACCCTTTGGAAGTACCGAGTATCGGCCACGCAACGACCCGTCGAGAGGAGGAGCACGACGATGCACCGAGCACCCATTGTGGCACAACGAACGACTCGCTGAATCCGATACTTCGTGACGGAGGCAACGACGAGACTAGAGCCGCTAGGGCTAGCCAGTCGTGTCACGCGGAGGCGGATTATTCATCACCATTGGGTTGGGTTGGGAGAGCAACTGCAGCAGCACGCCATTCGTCAGTTTTTTGCCGACACCTGTTGTTTTTTTCCGCGCGCGCGCGAAAACTCGAATATTCCGCTCAACGCCGCGGCCTTCCGACTAGAACCATTCACTGCATCTGGAGGCGAGATCGTCGGATGGACAAGCTCAGGGAGTAGCGTTGATCAGCCGAGTCGCGGCCTTGGGAAGCGGAGTACCGATCTCTTATCATCGCTTCGTTAGCGGGGAGTACTCGATTACTACTAGTCTGATCGTGTGAGCCATCTGTATCGTTCTTACGTCTTTGTCAGCACACGGACCTATTACCGTAGTAATAGGTGACTGTGACGGTGACTACTTGAACACTCGACCGTGTCTATCGAACGACAGCATACTAAGCTTTGCTGAGAGGCAAGTCCAGAGGCGAATAGTTTTGATAGTACTCTTCGTGCTACGAATTGCAAATAAACAGTACTAGAGACGATATAATTCTGAAATTATCAGCGCAGCCACAGATCACACTTTAATGCTGCCATGGCTGCCGTCGCGCCACTAGACGCCGCCGGATCCGGCGGCTTCGCTACGGCTCGTGACGACGGAAGGAACGAGTTTAGGGTGGACGCGATGCGCGGCGCGATGGACGGCGCGATGCACGGCGCGATGGACGGCACCAATCAGACTGATTTGGAGCCGCGCGGGTCATGCGGGCGTCGATTCGAGAATCTTGCGAGAGTCCTCCGTCCCATCCCTCTCCGCCGCCTCCCCCTCTCGCTAACTCACGGCCTATCCCTGCCAGCAACGCCACTCACACCAGCAGTATCATCACCAGCAACGGCCGCAGCGGCTCTAGATCTCGCCCTGTCTCTTAATGTTCCCTCGCCACTACCTTCCCCCCTCCCGTCCACTGTCTCCTCCTCCTCCTCCGCACCTCAGTTGCGCCTGCTCCGCATCCCGTCCCCACTCTCGCGCCCCTCTGCTTCCGCAGCGGCATCCGCGGAGGCTACGGCGGCGGCGGCGGCGGAAGCGAGCTCAAGCCTCGCCTTATCCCTCTCACTGTCCGCTGACCGTCCGATTCGGAGCGCGACCGCGGCGGCAGACGCTACTACCAGCACCACTGGCACTGGCGGCTCGGCGATTGCTCTGTCGCTTGGTCTAGGAGTTACTACGGGCGGGAAGCGAAGACGGGCCACGTCGGATTCGATGCCCGACGACGATGTTACCCGGTGCGGTTGGCAACTCCCAGGTTTGACGAGGATGTCTATGTCGGAGAATGATGACGTCATAACGATGACGGAGCGGAGCGGGGACAGTCCACGTGGGGCGGCCAATCCGCTGGTGGCTGTCAGAGACAATGGCGCGTGGACCAAGTGGGGCGTGACTCAGCATGACGTGTTTCGGTGCGACGCTGACGTGGCTGGCGATGGTGCTGACAGAGGCTGCGCGGTGCTGATGCCGCCGCTGAGATTGACTGGCGAATCAGAGGAAGGCGAAGGGCGGCACGAGATCGCTGAACGGCCGCAACTGACGCTTGCCCTTTTGGGAGAAGGAGACAGCGGACTGCGATGTGATTGGTCCAAGAGGAGACGGCTGGAGGCGCTGACGTGTCATCAGGGTGAGGAAGCACGTTCAAGTTATGACTTTTGGAGTAACGAGTCAGTGGTTATTGAAGAGCCTCTTAACGAGTCCCTTAGTGGGGAGCCTTCCGGGCCGCATCATTTCAAGTCGACTTCAGTGGTCAGCGAGAGCGGCTCGAGCCGCTCACCCGACTCGCCACGCGAACCGCTTGTCCTATTCGGAAAACCGTTAAATGCAACGGACGACCGGGGCCATGCAACGGGTGCCACAGCAACCGACGCCGCTGCTTTTCCTGCTTTTGCTGGCGTTACAACCCCGTCCACTCCTGCTTCTGCCGGCTGCACTCGGTCGTGCGGGCCTGACGTGGCTGCAGACGTGTGCGACGCTGAGGTGGCAGCTGACGTGTCAGCAAGGGAGAGCGAGCCGGATGCGACAGCTGCCGCTGTTCTCGGTTCCCCATCAGCGCCTGAATTAACGGTTGGAGCAGCAGCAGCAGCCGCCGAGGAGAATCACGCCGTTGATCGTCGAACCAGCTCGAATCCGCGCGTCGGCAGCGCCCCCGGCGGCGGCGCAGTGCGCGGGATCGGAAAGCTAGGGCGGCGCTTCCGCGGGATCCGCCAGCGCCTGTGGGGGCGGTGGGCGGCGGAGGTGCGCGACCCGTTCGCGCGGCGCCGCCTGTGGCTGGGGAGTTTCGACTCCGCGGAGGAGGCCGCGAGGGCGTACGACGTCGCGACGCGGCGATTAAGAGGTCCGTGGGCTAAGACTAACTTTCCGCTGGACCCGCGCGATCCGGAGGATAAGGAGCAGCTTGCGCGGATGGCGGTGGCGGTGGCGGCGTGCGCCAAGGGGCGGTACCGCACGAAGCTGGCGGCGTGGCGGAAGCTGTGCGGGCCGGTAGAGGTGGCGGGGGTGGTGGTGACGGGCGGAGACGCGGAAGAGCGCGCCGAGGTCGGGGGGGACGCGGAGGGGGAGTTGGAGGGGGGAGCGGAAGACGGGGGTGCGGAAGAGGAGAAAGCGGAAGACGGGGGAGCGGAAGAGGAGAGAGCGGAAGAAGGGGGAATGGCGGAGAAAGAAGCGGAGGAGGAGGAGGAGGCTGTGGGTGGCGCGGTGGTGGCGGAGGGGGGAGAGGCGGAAGGGGAGGGGAAAGGGAAGGAGGGGGAGAACGAGAACAAGCAGGGGGAAGAGGAGGAGGAAAGAAAAGAGGACATTGTTGGTGGTGATGAGGGTACGGCAAGGAGTGGCACCAACACCACCAGCAGCAGCACCACCACAACCACAACCAGCAGCGCACGTGAGATGGCTGACGTGGATGTCATGGAAGTAACGCCTGCGGGAGAGGCTCCTGCCAGCTCAGCTCCTGCCAGCTCAGCTCCTGCCAGCTCAGCTCTGAAGTCTGATGCTGCGAGGACTGAAGGTGATGCCAAGGATTCGGCTATCAATAACAGTCAGATTACCATGGATCCAGTTGCTGTGAGCACGGCGTCAACCAATGAAATGTCTCCACCTGTCCCTTTTAAAAAATCTGCAGACTCTCCTGTACCTGCAGATGTGCGTGCAGTGCCCGCAGATGTGCTTGCAGCTGTACCTTCAGTGGCAGATGTGCCTGCAGCTGTGCCTGCAGGTGTACCTTCACCTGTTGCAGCCTCAGCATCAGCAGCCACGTCACCAGCGGTTCAAGCCGTGTCCTCATTACCTGTACTCCAACCAGTGCCGCCACCCTTAGTGGCAGCGGCAGCACCACCAATGGCGACACCAGCAGCACCACCAGCAGCACCACCAGCAGCAGCACTACCAGCAGCTGCAGTGGCAGCTACTCCCTCTTCCACTGCCACTGCCCCATCTGCCGTAGCAGCTCCGTCTCCAGCTGCTGCAGTTGCTGCACCGCCCGGCTTCACCCAGCTTCAGCTTCCACTGCAGCAGCAGCAGCGCCAGCAGCGTCAACAGCCGCAGCCGCAGCCACAGCCGCCGCTGTCGCAGCAGCAGCAACGCCAACAACAACAACGCCAGCAGCAGCAGCAGCAGCAGCAATCGCGACAGCAACCGCAACTGCAACAGCAACAGCAACAGCAACAGCAACAGCAGCGGCAGCACCAGCAATACACAGTCCCCCACTGTGTGCCGCACCACCACAACGCTTTCTCTCACCCCCCTCCACCATCAACCTATCACAGTCCGACACCTGGCATCACTTACCGACCTATGGTGGTGATGGTACCAATGGCCATGGCGCCTACCCACCCTCCACCTCCCCCTCCACCAATGGTTGTAGCACCCGCTTTCCCACCTCCTCCTGCGATCCCTGTGACTGGAACACCCCTACCTGCTCCCCATCCCCCTCCTCCTCCCCCTCCATTTCCCATGCCCGCAGCTGGGTTGCCGCCCTACCCCCCGACCTCCCACGGGCAGCATAGTCAGAACCAGTACCAGCAGTACCAGCACCACCAGCATTATCATCAGCATCAGCATCAGTATCAGCATCAGCATCAGCATCAGCATCAGCAGCAGCAGCAGCATCAACAGCCGAAGCAGAACCTGTTACATGTGTCTCCTGTTCAGCTCGCTCCAGCCGCAGGAGCACCAGCAGCTGTAGCTTCTGCAGCAGCCTCAGCTGCAACCAGCCTTGACACTTCATCCACTGTTCTGAACTCATTTCCCTCAATACAGTCACATCTCAGCACATCCTCTGTACAGTCCCAGCTCTTTAGAGGCGTGCGTCAACGACCTTCAGGAAAGTGGGCTGCGGAGGCTCGGGACCCGACCACGAAGCGCCGGCTGTGGCTCGGGAGCTTTGACACGGCTGAAGAGGCGGCCCGAGCCTATGATGCTGCAGCAAGGAAAATGAGAGGTTCAGGTGCCAGGTGCAATTTCCCTACCAAGGAATAAGGTTATGTACTTGCCATGATGAGAACACTGTACACTAATTGCATGTACATACAATCATACTACTCTATGTTTTTTTTCAAAATGAGCTGTGATGTGCTCTTCCTCCTGGGAGGAGGACAGGGTTGTGTAATCTATGTTCAGCATGTGCACCTTGGAAACATTGAGTACAGCTACCCCCTAGTCCATCGGAGTCCTCGTGGGTTCGAATCCACCGGGCGCGCCCATGGGCGGAAGCTGTCTGCCCGGGGCAGAAAAACTAAATCCCATCGCGACCTGCATGCCATTCGGGAGCCTCAACCCTAAAATTGTAGGGTTGATGCCTCCCGAACCGCATGCCTTCCGAGCGGGTTTTACTTTTTTTTTGCCCACGGGCAGATCGCTTCCGCGAGCGGGCAGAGGCGATCCCGCATTCGCCCGTGTTTTACTGTAGTACAGGTGTATGAACCTTTGAAAAACCTGAACTGACGAGCGGCTCTCAACAACAGCCCCAGTTCCAAACCTCTGTCCTAGGGAAGATCACGCCCGTCACCTCCAACATTTGTTGCCTATCTACAATATGCAAATTTGTGAAAAAAATGAAGGCGGGTCACGGTTATACAGATCTGGTTACGGTACGTTGAACGAACCAGGCTCGTTAAACCATGACCCGCCCTGACGTCACCTCTCTACATCGCTTCTCTTCATCATAATGGAGGGACAGTGAAGCATGTCATTAACAGCAAGGACATGATATTAAAAAACGAGTCATCGCTTCTCTTCTTTTCAGAGGGATACATGCTTATGATCCATGTAAAATATTTACAAGGGTAAGATAAATGCACGAGACAAACCGCGACGATCGTACCTGCATACAGAGAAAGAAGCTGTTAGTCAACGATTAACTTAATCTAAACTGTTCCAGCACTGCGAGCAATCTCAGCAGAATAGCAATGTCAGCAGAATAAAGTAGCAACCCTGGGATAGAACACCAGGACCGCGTCGCGTCTGCCTACTATCTCGGCAAGGATTCGAAGAGTCAAATCCATTAAATAAAGGATTGGACCTAGATACCACTTGCCAGAAAATCTGGCAAAAAAAAGAAGAGAAAAAACGAGACACAAGGCACTAACCTGGGAAGGGATTGCAGCTGGCTTTCGTAAATCATTTTCCACCTGTAATCACAATAAGGAACAAAAAAAAAACGGTTCAGACGACAAGAAACAGAAATGTTGTGCATGTGACTCGCATGGTCTGTCCAAAAACGTAATTGCAGCGAAGCCGCTCGTTATGGCGATGGAATATGCGAAATTCGAGCCGGGAGAAAGCACGAACCCGAGGCTCGAACCCGTGAAGGAACGAGCCGTCAAGGCTCGAGCGATCTACAACCGGTCGAATCAGTCTATGACGTTTGTGCTGGATTCTGAGGCATGGAGAGAGCCACTCCAGAAGCACGGAGGAGAGCGACAGGCTAGTCGCTCGGCTCCCGTCAATAGCGGCCGATGAAGCCAAGCAGATCAAATAGGCAGGAGGCAGAAGGTGAAGCACCCACCTCGAAATAGTAGCGATTCTTGCAGCTGGTCGAAAAATGCTGATCTACTCCACACGCTGGTTTCCTGAACCTGACAGAACACCAGCTGCTTCGGTGGGTAACTCGTCAACCTATTTATGCTCGCTCACCCAAATATCGCTGCTGGGTTGTGATGTGATGTGAAACCTTGAAAACCCCAAGCAGGGGAGGCCACGAGAAGGTTTTCACGCTGCTACTTTCCACTCACTGTGGTTCGTGCTTTCGAACACCCAAAACGTCAAACTGCACTTGTCCCCCTGATCGATAAATGACACAAGCGTGTAATTTGAGACACCAACTGAGTTAACCAGCGTCTATGTTGCACTACAACTGTTTTGGAAGGCGAAGAAACGCGCACTAGATTCCGGAGGGTCTTTTGCGCCAAGGATGGTGGTCTGCCACCCCAATATTCAAACTTCAAGACGTGATAAAATGGAAACCGCCTACACGAACACAACATTCACTGCACGAAGTCATACGGGACATTCATATTAGACATTCCTGTGTACCCCATTCAAAGCTATTACCAGTACCCCTACCGTATGTAGTCAAACACATTGAAAATCGATCAAAGCAATGAAATTTGTACATAATGGCATGCTGCTGAAAATACATCATGTTTTATTTGAAGCCAATTCGTGTTGCACTTTCATATTCATATTCTATGTGCCATCTGTGCCTGTCTTGCTTGTGGATCAGCCTTCATGGGCGGCAGCTTGTCGCAGTTCCCACCAATCACAAACGACCCTGTGGGCCGCTTGGCCACATAATGTGCAGTGGTCGAGTCAAAAGCGTCCGTGGGTTCACACGGATTCTGCTCCCTCGTCCACATCTTGCAGGCACCTGGGAAAGAAGAGTTGGGAATGGGTGTGTGGGCAATAAGACAGGGCAGGGTGGGCTGTCTCTTCATCAAGTGGACCGCATGATGCACATCCAGAAGGCACAGTTGGGAGTATTCCAGCACAGCAAGCACAAGAGCACACACTCCATTCAAACCACCACAGCACCCCACACACCTCGCTTGGACCGCATGTTGCACATTCAGAAGGCGCAGCAAAGCACGCGAGCAAACACTGCATTCACCCCACCACAGCACCCTCACGCACCTCTCTTCGACCGCATGTTCTACATCCAGAAAGCACACCCGGGGGTTTTCTGGCACAGCAAGGCACACGAGCACACACTGCCTTACATCCCACTGGATCACCCTCACTCACCTCCATGGCACCCCACGCACCTCGTTTCGACCGCATGTTGCACATCCAGAAGGCACACCCGGGGGTTCTCCGGCACAGCAAAGCACACGAGCACACACTGCCTTACATCCCACCAACACTGAGTCCCACACACCTCGCTTGGACCGCATGTTGTACATCCAGAAGGCACACCCGGGGGTTTTCCGGCACAGCAGGTAGCACGTGTGGGGGCGGGCAGGGCCGATGCCCGTGTAGGTGAAGTTGAAATGGCCTTTGCCCTCGTGGTCGAACATGTAGCCACGCGTTACTGTGTTACATGTCAGCTTGGGACACTCGTTGGTTTGCACTGCGAGCAGAGGAGAGGGAGAGCAGAGGGGTGGAGAGTCAACTCGATGAGTCTAAGTGAAGGCGGGAGGACGCCCGTGTATGTGAAGTTGAAATGGCCTTTGCCCTCGTGGTCAAACATGTAGCCACGCGTTACCGTGTTACACGTGAGCTTGGGACACTCGGTGGTTTGCACTGTGAGGGACAGTGGGAGCGGGGAGCAAGGAGGGGGGAAAAGGAAGCGGAATGGGGAGAGTGGGGTGGGAAGGGGATGGGCAGACCACACTGAGTGTGAGTGGGAAGCGGAGGGAGCGAGGGGCTGATGCCAGTGTAGGTGAAGTTGAAATGGCCTTTGCCCTCGTGGTCAAACATGTAGCCACGTATTACCGTGTTACACGTGAGGTTGGGACACTCGTTGGTTTGCACTGGAAGGAGGGGAGGACATGGAGGGACAGGGTCCCAAAAAGGGTGAAGTTGAAGTGCCCTTTGCCCTCGTGGTCGAACATGTAGCCACGTGTTGCACGTGAGCTTGGGACACTCGGTGGTTTGCACTGGAAGGAGGGGAGGACATGGAGGGACAGAGTCCCAAAAAGGGTGAAGTTGAAGTGCCCTTTGCCCTCGTGGTCGAACATGTAGCCACGTGTTGCACGTGAGGTTGGGACACTCGGTGGTTTGCACTGGAAGGAGGGGAGGACATGGAGGGACAGGGTCCCAAAAAGGGTGAAGTTGAAGTGCCCTTTGCCCTCGTGGTCGAACATGTAGCCACGTGTTGCACGTGAGCTTGGGACACTCGGTGGTTTGCACTGGAAGGAGGGGAGGACATGGAGGGACAGGGTCCCAAAAAGGGTGAAGTTGAAGTGCCCTTTGCCCTCGTGGTCGAACATGTAGCCACGTGTTGCACGTGAGGTTGGGACACTCGGTGGTTTGCACTGGAAGGAGGGGAGGACATGGAGGGACAGGGTCCCAAAAAGGGTGAAGTTGAAGTGCCCTTTGCCCTCGTGGTCGAACATGTAGCCACGTGTTGCACGTGAGCTTGGGACACTCGTTGGTTTGCACTGGAAGGAGGGGAGGACATGGAGGGACAGGGTCCCAAAAAGGGTGAAGTTGAAGTGCCCTTTGCCCTCGTGGTCGAACATGTAGCCACGTGTTGCACGTGAGCTTGGGACACTCGGTGGTTTGCACTGGAAGGAGGGGAGGACATGGAGGGACAGGGTCCCAAAAAGGGTGAAGTTGAAGTGCCCTTTGCCCTCGTGGTCGAACATGTAGCCACGTGTTGCACGTGAGCTTGGGACACTCGGTGGTTTGCACTGGAAGGAGGGGAGGACATGGAGGGACAGAGTCCCAAAAAGGGTGAAGTTGAAGTGCCCTTTGCCCTCGTGGTCGAACATGTAGCCACGTGTTGCACGTGAGGTTGGGACACTCGGTGGTTTGCACTGGAAGGAGGGGAGGACATGGAGGGACAGGGTCCCAAAAAGGGTGAAGTTGAAGTGCCCTTTGCCCTCGTGGTCGAACATGTAGCCACGTGTTGCACGTGAGCTTGGGACACTCGGTGGTTTGCACTGGAAGGAGGGGAGGACATGGAGGGACAGGGTCCCAAAAAGGGTGAAGTTGAAGTGCCCTTTGCCCTCGTGGTCGAACATGTAGCCACGTGTTGCACGTGAGGTTGGGACACTCGGTGGTTTGCACTGGAAGGAGGGGAGGACATGGAGGGACAGGGTCCCAAAAAGGGTGAAGTTGAAGTGCCCTTTGCCCTCGTGGTCGAACATGTAGCCACGTGTTGCACGTGAGCTTGGGACACTCGTTGGTTTGCACTGGAAGGAGGGGAGGACATGGAGGGACAGGGTCCCAAAAAGGGTGAAGTTGAAGTGCCCTTTGCCCTCGTGGTCGAACATGTAGCCACGTGTTGCACGTGAGCTTGGGACACTCGGTGGTTTGCACTGGAAGGAGGGGAGGACATGGAGGGACAGGGTCCCAAAAAGGGTGAAGTTGAAGTGCCCTTTGCCCTCGTGGTCGAACATGTAGCCACGTGTTGCACGTGAGCTTGGGACACTCGGTGGTTTGCACTGGAAGGAGGGGAGGACATGGAGGGACAGGGTCCCAAAAAGGGTGAAGTTGAAGTGCCCTTTGCCCTCGTGGTCGAACATGTAGCCACGTGTTGCACGTGAGGTTGGGACACTCGGTGGTTTGCACTGGAAGGAGGGGAGGACATGGAGGGACAGGGTCCCAAAAAGGGTGAAGTTGAAGTGCCCTTTGCCCTCGTGGTCGAACATGTAGCCACATGTTGCACGTGAGCTTGGGACACTCGGTGGTTTGCACTGGAAGGAGGGGAGGACATGGAGGGACAGGGTCCCAAAAAGGGTGAAGTTGAAGTGCCCTTTGCCCTCGTGGTCGAACATGTAGCCACGTGTTGCACGTGAGCTTGGGACACTCGTTGGTTTGCACTGGAAGGAGGGGAGGACATGGAGGGACAGGGTCCCAAAAAGGGTGAAGTTGAAGTGCCCTTTGCCCTCGTGGTCGAACATGTGGCCACGTGTTGCACGTGAGCTTGGGACACTCGTTGGTTTGCACTGGAAGGAGGGGAGGACATGGAGGGACAGGGTCCCAAAAAGGGTGAAGTTGAAGTGCCCTTTGCCCTCGTGGTCGAACATGTAGCCACATGTTGCACGTGAGCTTGGGACACTCGGTGGTTTGCACTGGAAGGAGGGGAGGACATGGAGGGACAGGGTCCCAAAAAGGGTGAAGTTGAAGTGCCCTTTGCCCTCGTGGTCGAACATGTAGCCACGTGTTGCACGTGAGCTTGGGACACTCGTTGGTTTGCACTGGAAGGAGGGGAGGACATGGAGGGACAGGGTCCCAAAAAGGGTGAAGTTGAAGTGCCCTTTGCCCTCGTGGTCGAACATGTAGCCACGTGTTGCACGTGAGCTTGGGACACTCGTTGGTTTGCACTGGAAGGAGGGGAGGACATGGAGGGACAGGGTCCCAAAAAGGGTGAAGTTGAAGTGCCCTTTGCCCTCGTGGTCGAACATGTAGCCACATGTTGCACGTGAGCTTGGGACACTCGGTGGTTTGCACTGGAAGGAGGGGAGGACATGGAGGGACAGGGTCCCAAAAAGGGTGAAGTTGAAGTGCCCTTTGCCCTCGTGGTCGAACATGTAGCCACGTATTGCACGTGAGCTTGGGACACTCGGTGGTTTGCACTGGAAGGAGGGGAGGACATGGAGGGACAGGGTCCCAAAAAGGGTGAAGTTGAAGTGCCCTTTGCCCTCGTGGTCGAACATGTAGCCACATGTTGCACGTGAGCTTGGGACACTCGGTGGTTTGCACTGGAAGGAGGGGAGGACATAGAGGGACAGGGTCCCAAAAAGGGTGAAGTTGAAGTGCCCTTTGCCCTCGTGGTCGAACATGTAGCCACGTATTGCACGTGAGCTTGGGACACTCGTTGGTTTGCACTGGAAGGAGGGGAGGACATGGAGGGACAGGGTCCCAAAAAGGGTGAAGTTGAAGTGCCCTTTGCCCTCGTGGTCGAACATGTAGCCACATGTTGCACGTGAGCTTGGGACACTCGGTGGTTTGCACTGGAAGGAGGGGAGGACATAGAGGGACAGGGTCCCAAAAAGGGTGAAGTTGAAGTGCCCTTTGCCCTCGTGGTCGAACATGTAGCCACGTATTGCACGTGAGCTTGGGACACTCGGTGGTTTGCACTGGAAGGAGGGGAGGACATGGAGGGACAGGGTCCCAAAAAGGGTGAAGTTGAAGTGCCCTTTGCCCTCGTGGTCGAACATGTAGCCACATGTTGCACGTGAGCTTGGGACACTCGGTGGTTTGCACTGGAAGGAGGGGAGGACATGGAGGGACAGGGTCCCAAAAAGGGTGAAGTTGAAGTGCCCTTTGCCCTCGTGGTCGAACATGTAGCCACGTATTGCACGTGAGCTTGGGACACTCGGTGGTTTGCACTGGAAGGAGGGGAGGACATGGAGGGACAGGGTCCCAAAAAGGGTGAAGTTGAAGTGCCCTTTGCCCTCGTGGTCGAACATGTAGCCACATGTTGCACGTGAGCTTGGGACACTCGGTGGTTTGCACTGGAAGGAGGGGAGGACATAGAGGGACAGGGTCCCAAAAAGGGTGAAGTTGAAGTGCCCTTTGCCCTCGTGGTCGAACATGTAGCCACGTATTGCACGTGAGCTTGGGACACTCGGTGGTTTGCACTGGAAGGAGGGGAGGACATGGAGGGACAGGGTCCCAAAAAGGGTGAAGTTGAAGTGCCCTTTGCCCTCGTGGTCGAACATGTAGCCACGTGTTGCACGTGAGCTTGGGACACTTGGTGGTTTGCACTGGAAGGAGGGGAGGACATGGAGGGACAGGGTCCCAAAAAGGGTGAAGTTGAAGTGCCCTTTGCCCTCGTGGTCGAACATGTAGCCACATGTTGCACGTGAGCTTGGGACACTCGGTGGTTTGCACTGGAAGGAGGGGAGGACATGGAGGGACAGGGTCCCAAAAAGGGTGAAGTTGAAGTGCCCTTTGCCCTCGTGGTCGAACATGTAGCCACGTGTTGCACGTGAGCTTGGGACACTCGTTGGTTTGCACTGGAAGGAGGGGAGGACATGGAGGGACAGGGTTCCAAAAAGGGTGAAGTTGAAGTGCCCTTTGCCCTCGTGGTCGAACATGTAGCCACGTGTTGCACGTGAGGTTGGGACACTCGGTGGTTTGCACTGGGAGGATGAGTGTGCGAGGGTTGAGAGGACAGGGAGAAAGGAAGAGGAAGAGGAACGAGGAAAGTGGGTGGGAAGGGTAGACAGCACTGAGTGTGAGTGAGGGTGGGGCAAGCAGGCGGGGCCAATCCCCATGTAGGTGAAGTTAAGATGGCCTTTTCCCTCGTGGTCGAACATCTAGCCGCGCGTTACCAAGTTACACGTGAGCTTGGGACACTCGTTGGTTTGCAGTGCTAGCAGAGGGCGGGACAGGGGTAAGAGGAAGGGTAGACAGCTCTGGGGGAGAGAAGGGAGGGGAGAGAAGGGAGGGGAGAGAAGGGAGGGGAGAGAAGGGAGGGGAGAGAAGGGAGGGGAGAGAAGGGAGGCGGAGGGCAAGAGGGGCCGATCCCTTCCCCTGTGGTCAAACATGTAGCCACGCATTACCATGTTACTCGTGAGCTTGGGACACTCGTTGGTTTGGTGTGCTGGCTGGTGGTGGCTGGCTCCTAACTCCTCACGCATTGCTGTTGAACTTCTAGGGAAGCGTGTGCTGGCTGGTGGCTGGCTCTTGGTGGCTCCTAACTCCTCACGCATTTTCTTCAATTCCTCCTCCTCCGGTGGTGGCGGGGCCGGCGGAGGAGTGTGTTCGTGGGGAGAGAGGGGGGGTGGGGTTGTTCGTGGGGAGAGAGGGGGGGTGGGGTTGTTCGTGGTTTGATTTCTTACTCCAAGCAAGCAGGAGGTAAGCACACAAGCACTCAACCACTCACAGGCGCCATCTTCCTCGGCCATCCTCTTCAATTCCTCCTCCTCCTCCGGTGGCGGCGGGGGCGGCGGGGGAGCGTTTCTCTTCCTCCGTTTCTCCTCCAGAGTCTCCACAGTGCGACAGTACCCCCCCACCACGTACTGGTGGCGCACCAACCACGTGGTTGAAGAAGTGGGTTGAGACGTCTCAAAACACACTCGTCGCTCACCCAACGTGTTTGAGACGTCTCAACCCACTTCTTCAACCACGTACTGGTGGCGCACCAACCATCGCTGAGCAAAGTGTGCTGCCCGGCCTAACAACACCCAGCCCCTGGCCTCGCATGGGTTTTGGTCCGACGCCCACAGCTTGCAGTAGCCTGGGGGGAATGGAAGCACGCGGGAGGGGATGAGTGGAGAGGGTAGGGGATGAGTGGAGAGGGTAGGGGATGAGTGGAGAGGGTAGGGGATGAGTGGAGAGGGTAGGGGATGAGTGGAGAGGGGCATGACACTATCCCTTACCAAGTACTGGTTTTTCCACTGCATGTTTTCCACAGCAGCATATCACATCCTCTTACACCTCAACATATAACAGGATGTGAAACGCTTTAGCCCCTGTTTCACCTTTCACGCTGCTCATGTCGTACATCCAGAAGGCACAATCCAGCACATTTCTACAGAGCTCCACGCAGCACCATAAGCTACCCTTGTAACCTCGTAGACCTCCAGACCTCGTACTTTTCACCTTTCACACTGCTCACGTCGTACACCCAGAAGGCACAATTCGGCACGTTCCGGCAGAGCTCCCTCCACACAGCACCATTTCATACCCTCTCAGCCTTTTTGACATCAACAACAACAACCCTTTAAGAATCCCACCTTTCACGCTGCTCATGTCGTACATCCAGAAGGCACAGTCAGGCACGTTCCGACAGAGCTCCACGCAGCTGTCAGGCTTCTCAGGGCCCTCCCCCGTGTCCTGCACCAACAGATGGCCCCCCACCACATACTCCTCCTCCTCCTGCTCCACCACCAGTACCTGCTCCTCCGCCCCCCCTGCTGCCACTGCCCCCGCTGCCGCTGCTCCTCCTCTTCCTGCCCCTGCTCCCGCTCCCATCCCTCCGCCAACCATCCCCCCTCCTGCTCCTGCCGCACCTCCTGCCCCCCCTGCTCCTCCTGCTGCCCCAAGACGGTGCCTCACCCTGCCTTTGCCAGCAGCAGCAGCAGCAGCAGCAGCAGCAGCAGCACCGCTGGCGTTACCAGCAGCGGCGGCAGCGATAGCGGCAGCAGCGGAGGCGTTGACGAGGTAGGTGCGGACGACGCGAGGGGGCCTGCGAGGCTGGATGGGGTGGTCCCAGAACATGCCCTCCGTGGGGAACTCGCAGGAGAGGTCGGCCGGACACATGTGCCCCAGTCCCCCGATTTCATCTGAGTAAGAGGAGTTGAAAGGAATGGCAGCATAGAGGAGAAGAAGAAGTATGGGATTAACTTGAGAACCAGCTGGTCGGGATGATCCCACGACAGCAGCAGAGGAGGCGTTGACGACGCAAGAGCCGAGCGAGCAGTCGAGAAGCAGCCGGAAGGGGGTGGTGGTCCCAGAACATGCCCTCTGTGGGGCACTCGCAGGGCAGGTAGGGCGGAAACTTACAGAGCAGCAGCACCGCAAGGAGGTAGAGGAGAAAGAGGCAGGTGACTCGACGCAGCGAGCAGCACGCGCGGAGAGCCACAAACCAGATGGATGGCTGCACCTCTGGCCGCCTCGCTGCCCTCAGCTACTCACCCACCCACTCCACCCCACCCCCAGCCATCCACCACGCCCTTTTTCATTTCCCCCATCCCCCCGTCCCCCATTCCCCCACAGCACCCTCCCTCCTCCCCGCATCCCCACGCCAACAGGAGAACCCACATTGAGCATTAGGCTTATAACGCGGATGATGGGATATTAAAGAAGCAGGGTTAACGCGGATGCTGTATCCATTGAAATATGAAGTTGGCTTTCGTAGGTTGGGTGAGGTCGGCAAGACAGCAGAAATGAGGATGGCATAGCAAGGTTGGGTAGGTGGGAAGGGAGTGATTGACTGGAATCGGAGGAACGCAGAAAAGGCAATCAGCAAAAAGAAAAAGTTGGTGGTGAAAGCAGCAGAAGAAGGGGGGGTTGGTAGTGAAAGAAGCAAGAGCAGGGGGGGTCGGTAGTGAAAGCAGCAGGAGCAGGGGGGGTTGGTTCGTGAAAGCACCTTTTTCCACAGTCTTCGCCTGTCGCGTGCATCCATCACCGCTTGCAACGGTCAAACGAAGAAGCAGCAGGATGAAACGGTCAGTCGAGTATTGAAAATGGATAGTCGAGGCTGTAGAGCTGGAAAAGTAACTTGAGAGCCACACGCCGTGCTGCTGCTACCGCGACGAAACAACAACAACTAGCCAGGTAGCCGGCTCGATTAACGGTCAGGCAGCTGACACGATGGATGGATCCATTAGGGGTCAAGTGTATACTGTGGCCGACAAAATGGCTATTTTGAAGGTCAACACGTCAGCACAGTCAACGTGAACGTTACGATGCAGTCAGCTCAGCTTAGCTGGAATCTACATTGTAGTCGACGGGTGCACTCAGGTGGACCCTGAAACGCTGTGCTTCGTAGCACCATTGCGGCATGGAACCGATCAGCTCCTCGAAACCCCAAGACTACCTAAGTTTAGCATTCTAAGGAAGTCAGTTGCTATGAATCCGGCGACTCCCTGATCAGATGATGTGAATCCTACAGCTAATGTTGGTCTGAAGTGCAGTCAAAGCTTGACCGCGACAGTGGGAGGGAGCGTTGCTGGATCGCTCCTCCGGCCGAATCGCCAGTCACGGAAAGCACCAGATGGTTCTTAAATTTCTCAGCATCGTACCGCTTTACAGCGACATTGAGCAGCGAGCTAAGCCAACATCACTGGAACCATTGAAAGGTTTCTTGACAAAGATGAACAAGCGCTCCACATAAGACATTCATCGCAGTTTGTCCAGCAGTCAGTCACTTCATTTTGCAGAGAACAACGACGAGCCCTTGGTTTCTTCTTGCGTGCTCTTGCACGGGTTGAACGAAATTTCTGTTCTGGGTTACCCTTTTGCTTGAGTTCGTGCGCTCTCTCGTTAAAGATTCACTCGCGCACGAACTCTACCAGGCTTCTCGCAGTCTCTGTGGTTGTGGTTGGTCGAATCTTCAACCAGGTGCGGGTCTTCGCCAATTGACTACCAAACCTCTGACAAAACCGTGCGAAAAGAGCAGCAGAAGCTAGCGAATTCAACCGCTCTCGCGAGTTCTCGCCAACGCAAGTGACCCTTCCCTTTCCTCCCTCTGCCATCAAGCCAGCCGTTGAATTCCATGGTCCGACACGATTAGGTCACAGGGAAGTGCACGAGTCGGTGCTGCTCTCGAGCCCCACTGCTAATAACCGCCACGGTGCTGCTACGTCATTTTCAATTTCAGAGATGCTGCATCGGCAGTTCTAAACACGAAAAATCAGAAGGCATTCGTTTTTCTGACGTGCGCCGGACCGAAGGCTTCGCGAATGAGCCATGATGATTCGTCTTTCTCCTGTGACCACTTGAGATATCTCTATTCTGTGCATTTGCGCGGCGATCGCCTCTCGAGACGTCTCAAATCGTGTCGATCTCTCTGCAGGCGAGGAACGTAGCGTCCGATCCGCGAGACACGTGATCCACTTACTCACGGGAGACTTACAGAAGCAATTTCCAGCTATTAGTTACGCCCGAGTCAAACTGGTAGCTGCTGGTCGCTGCCTCGTGTAGTCTCTGATATAGTGAGAAGTGCAAGTTTCCAGAATAGGGTGTTACATATTTGCAAGACCTGACCATCAGTTTTCGATTCCAAAAAATCACCAGTTCGATCAAATTACGGCCTTCTAGAGGGCTTCTTCCGCTGCTAATAACGAGAGCTGCGATTCTCGGATCCTCGAGACAGTTGGTCATTCTTTTCTCTCAAGAAAAGGCAGTTGTTGAAGAATGGACGGGTTTCGAAGATTCGCGGAGAAGCTGATCAACGATCCGCTTAATCGTCTGCAAGGCGGCTCAGGAGGAGGATTTTACGACCAAGTATGTCACGAACTCCACCGGATTCATTCAGTCATGTTATAACATCTTGTCAGAACCTACCCGCACTTCAAGCAATGCCTTTTTTATTCTTTGCGTCTGGAAATTTTGGTTGAAAATTGATTTTCCTAGCCCTGTAAATGACTTCTTATCACAATTGTTGTAACATCCTCCGCGTCACTCCCGGTGTATTCACAGGAGCCACCATCGCCTGCAGCAGCAGCCACCAGTCGCAGACGGCCATGGGGACCCAACGGCCCTTCCAGCGGTGCTGCCAGTGCCAGCGGCAGCAGCAACGGCGGCAGCAGGAGCGGCAACAGGGGCGGGATAACCTTCGGAGGAGGGGGGCTGAATCTAGGCGGAATTGGAGGGATCGGGGGGATTGGGGGAATTGGAGGGTTGGGAATTGGGAACGCTGGTGCGGATGGTGGTGGTAGCAGCAGTGGCGGTGTTAATATCGGTGGTGGTGGTGGCGGTGGTGGTGGAAGCTTCAAAAGTTTTGGAGCTGGAGGGTTCATGGGGGGGCCTGGTGGGTTCTTAGGAACTGGAACAGGCGGAGGGGCCTCTTTTTTCAAGAACATCCAACGGTCCTTATCCATAGCCGCGCCTGATCGTGGCCGTCCGCCTCCCGCCCCCACCCCTCGCGTCCCCTCCTCCCAGTCCGCCACGTACGAATCTCCCCCTATCCGCCCCCAGCCTCCCCCTTCTTATGCCACTGCGATTGGGGGAAGATCATCAGGCGGAGCAACAGAGCTTCATATAACGCTGGACGAGATTCGGTTTGAGAACCAGAGCAGCAGCAGCAGCACGGGCGGATTTGGGGCAATTGCCAGTGGTATTAGTGGTAGTGGCAGCGGTGGTGGTGGTCATGGTAGTGGTGGGGACGGTCGTTCTAGTAGCACTGCTATCGTCCGCACCCAATCTGCCTCCTCCCCTGCCTCCCCAGGTTTCAGCGTCCTCTCTCTCTTCACCTCCCCGCCTCAAACCCACCACCACAACAACCATCTCAACCATCACCAGCACCAGCAACAGCAGTCGCGTCTGTCTCAGCCCTCCCCCCGCACCACCACTGCTGCTGACGTCATCTCCTTCTTCACATCCCCCTTCTCCCTCGGCCCCTCCGCCTCCCCCACGCCTGCCCCCCGCCAAGGCTCGGGGGGAGGCGCTTCCCCCCTCCGCAGGTCGTTACCAGGAGGGGTGGTATCCCCTGCACTCTCTGGGGGCGGGGGAGTGGGAGTGGGGGGAATTGGAGGGCTGTGGGCTATGGTGACGCGGACGAGCAGCAGTGGGATTGGAGGGGGAGGAGGCGGGTTGGATGACGTGGCCGAGTCCCTGCCCTTATCTGCCACGTCATCAATGAACACGTCACTGGGGATCCTAGCTGGCATGTCGTCGCTGCGACCCGTGCAAGCAGAGCAGGCAGAGCCGTTAGATGCAAGATTTTTCGAGGAGGTGAGTGTTAGGGGGGGGAGGAGGGAGAGAGGGGAGAGGGGAGGGAGGGGGTGGGCGTTGGTGTCTTTTGTGCGCTTACAATGTCTCAATCAACACACACACACACACACACACACAACACACACACACACACACACACAAACACACACACACACACACACGCGCGCGCGCGCACACACACACACACACGCACACACACACACACACACACACACACACACACACACACACACACACACACACACACACACCTCTCTCTCCTTGTTATCCGCGCTACAGGACTTTGACCCTGTCCGATGTGCGTTGGAGGAGCTTCCAGACGAACCCCTCTCGTTGCAACACCTCGGAACACAGGTGCTTAACTTGGGTTCTTGTGCGTCCGTATGTAGTAACTTGGCTTCCCTCGCTTTCTCCTCTGAAAGGCCAACCAAACCAAACACGCACATGCTCTGCCCATTCGTAAGCCTCATCAGGCAATCAGCCTTTTTTGAAAAGGCTGATTCTTAAGTTTCCTGCCTGCTATGATTTTGCTGTGATTCCTCAAACATAGCTCTGGTGCTGACGTGGCATCTGTTGCTGACGTGGCATCTGGCAGTGTGGCAAGCGGCAGCTGCAGCTGGATGAGGTGTCGGAACAGCTGGCGACGCAAGTGATGAGTCACCACGAGGAAATGGGTGCGTGCTGCAGCGCTGCTGCTGGGTGCTGCCGGGTGTTTCAGGGTGCTGTTGTCGGGTATTGCGTGGTGCTGCAGGGTGCTGCTGGGATGTTGGCAGTTGCTTCTGTATGGTGCAGAGGATGCCGCTGGGTGCTGCTGTGCACGTGTTGGCTACACCATAACAACCATATTCCCCTTGGTTGTGATCAAGCCTGATACCCAACCCCCCTGCCAGCCCCATTCCTCTCGCCCTCCAGTGCAAGGTGTGAGTGAGCCTCATTGCGGAGCTTGGGTGCCTGCCGTCGTTTCACTCCTTCCATTTTCCCTGCCAACCCCCTGCCACGCCAACATCCCTCCTCCTCTCCTCCCGCCCGCCCCACAGTGCAAGGAATGAACCTCTTTGCGGAGCTCGAGCGGGACCTGCAAGTGCTCTATGTGATATGCAGGGTGAGTGAGTGAGTGAGAGTGAGAAAGTGAGCAATAAACTAAAACAGCGTTGACTTTGTTTAAAAGTAGCTTTCTCATGTGCAGTTTCCTGTCCGACTTTTTTACGCAATTTAGTTACAGCATCAAAAATAGCTTCTGGTGAGTGAGTGAGTGAGAAATTGAGTGAGTGAGTGGTGACAGGCAGCATTTAGTTTGTAGCCTGTCCTTGCTAACTTCTCCCTCCAATACGGTCCGTGCAAATCCCCCACACACTTTCCGTCTCCCCGTGCCTTTCTCTCTCTCCCGCTTCTCTAAACACACACTGGCTGCTGGACGGTGCTTGCGACAACTCGCTCTTCCCCTTCTTCCCCTTCCCCACCTTTTTTCCCCTTTCTCTCCTATCACGGAACACGTGTGTTGGATGTTGAACAGAGCGCGCAAGGACGTTTCACAGAAACCTCTTTTCCTCTTCTCCTCCCCCCTTTCAGAACACGCGGCGGCTGCTGAACAGTGCGCGTAAGGACATATCAAAGAACCTCGTGGTGTCCAACAACGTGCAGAAGAAACGCATGGCCACTGTGAGTGCAGCGAGGGGAAGCGTCAATGCACAAATGGGTGGGTGGGGAAGGATGGGGTGGGTGGGTGGGGATCCGTATCCTTTTCCCCGCACGCCCTGCTGCAATATCTCCTGCAGCAAGGGAGCCCTGCTGCAATATCTCTCTCCCCTCCCCTTCCTCCCCTTCCCCCCTTTTCTTTTTGACCCCCGAGAATGATTCCCGTGCTGCCGCACATGCAGCAGGTAGCGCGCGTGCATGAAGGCACTTGAATCCTCATATCTCTATATCGCTCTGTACCCGTCGTTTGTGGTTAATCTTTTCACCAGAGCATGATTCCAGTGTTGCAGCACATGCAGCAGATAGCGCAAATGAGGGCGCGCCTGCAGCAGCTGGTGGAGGGCGCCCACTACCCCGCCGCCCTGCAGCTGACGCCCCTTGCTTGCCCCCCTTCCCCTTTACATCCCTCTGTACACCTTTGAATCCCACTCTATGCGACTTCCCAGAGCATGATCCCAGTGTTGCAGCACATGCAGCAGATAGCACGGATGAAGGCGCGCCTGCAGCAGCTGGTGGAGGGCGCCCACTACCCCACTGCGCTGCAGCTCCAGCTGCTGATTGAAAGGCAGAAAGAACCCTAACGTCCCTTGCTGTATGCGCTGTCTGTCTGTCTCCACCCCTGCCCGGAACCCCAGAGCATGATCCCAGTGTTGCAGCACATGCAGCAGATAGCACGGATGAAGGCGCGGCTACAGCAGCTCGTGGAGGGTGGCCACTACCCCGCCGCGCTGCAGCTGTGCTCGCGCTGCCTCGTGCTCGTGGAGCAGAGCAGAGCGCTGTGGGCCATTGGGGACATGAGCAGCAGCCTTGAGGTGAGTTTGGTGGAGGGGGAGGAGGGGGGGCTGAGGTAGGGATGGGAAGGGAGGGTAGGGCTGGGAAGGGATGGGAAGGGCAGACAACAGGTTGCCCCGCCGCGCTGCAGCTGTGCTCGCGCTGCCTCGTGCTCGTGGAGCAGAGCTGGTCGCTGTGGGCCATTGGGGACATGAGCAGCAGCCTCGAGGTGAGGGGGAATGGGATGGGTAGGGAGGGATGAGGAGGGGTGTGGAGAGAGGGATAGGGAGAAAGGGAGGGTATAGGGAGACAGGAGGTTTCCCCGGCGCCCTGCAGCTGTGCTCGCGCTGCCTCGTGCTCGTGGAGCGGAGCAGATCATTGTGGGCCATATGAGACATGAGCAGCTGCCTTGAGGTGAGGCATTCAGAGGGTTGTTGGTGGTGGTGGGTGGGAAGGGAGGGGTGGATGACGAAGGAGACGGGAGATTGCCTTGCATTGTTACCTGCATTGCATTGCAGATGGATACAATGCTATCTCCACTGCATCCCTCTGCATCCCTCTGCAACCCGTATCCTCGCCGCTCTGCAGCTGTGCACTCCACCGTTACCGTGTCCCACGTTAACCCACTCCAACCCACTCCACCCCTCTGCACTCCAGGGCTGGCTGGCTCGAGTGGTGGATGAGGTCGACGCCATTCTCTTCACCGTGTTGTGCTCTTCATGGCACCCCATTCCACCCCTTTGCACTCCATTGTACTCCTTCAGGGCTGGCTGGCGCGAGTGGTGGATGAGGTGGACGCCATTCTCTTCACAGTCTGCCGTCGCTACAACCCCACCGCCTATGCCACGGTCAGTAACCCCTCGCCACCAACCATATTCTCCTAGGCCTGGTACCAGCCGGCAGGCTGCTATCTCTGGCAGACAAAGGTGTGCGATGCGGTGCAGAAGAGCAGTCAAGGTGCACTGCTGATCTCTTCCTCTCTGCTCGTTTGCTCCCCCACAATTGTCCCTCTGGTGCTGGACTCGTATCGCATGTGGTGATGACTTTTGAGGCAAGTCTTTTGAGGCGCCTCAAGACTCGTATGTGGTGATGAACGGAACGGATTGCCATGTGGCGCCCTGGAGGAGAAGGTGCAATGCAATGTGGTGTGGTGTGGTGCATGAGGTCACTACTGAAAGCCATGATGTGCTCAGACACCACCGCCATGAGGAGACGGATGTGCAAGGCAAGCTTCCTTCTTCCTTCCCCCCTATCTCCATCAGGTGCTGGATTCATACGCACTGATGAACGGACTGCCTGCCTGCCCTGCCCTGGCGGCGGAGAAGGTTCACAACTTCCCCCCCCAGGCGGTGGTGTCCAAGCTGAGACCCGCCCGCTGCTCTTCATTCGCTTTCCCCCCTTTTCTCGCCCCCCAGGTGCTCGACTCGTACGCGGTGATGAACGGGCTACCAGCCCTGGCGGAGAAGGTGCACAACTTCTTCTCCCAGGCGGTGGTGTCCGAGACGTATGACATCCTGCTGCAGTTTGTCGAGCAGGTGGGTGGGTTGGGTGGGTGGGGGGTTGGGTTGGGTGGATGGGCTGTGTAGCAGCAGCGGTTGACACACACACACACCAACTTCTTCTCCCAGGCGGTGGTCTCCGAGACGTATGACATCCTGCTGCAGTTCGTGGAGCAGGTGGGTGGGTGGGTGGGGATTGGGCGGTGGCAATATATGTGTGGGTATGTACGAGTGTGTGAGAGAAGGTGCACAACGTTTTCTCCCCGGTTGTGGTGTCTGAGACGTACGACATCCTGCTGCAGTTCGTGGAGCAGGTGGGTGGGTGGGTGGGCCATGGGTTTGTACTTGGCGCTATTGAAAAGATCACTTGTAGCACTTCTTCTTCTCCCAGGCTGTGGTGTCTGAGACGTACGACATCCTGCTGCAGTTCGTGGAGCAGGTGAGGGTGGGTTGGTGTTTGGGTAGTAGCCAATATGTGCGTCCCTGCATGTGCGAGTGTATGCTTGTGGTGTCTGAGACGTATGACATCCTGCTGCAGTTCGTGAGATGGGTGGCGAGTGGGCGAGTGGGTGGGTGGGTGGGTGGGTGGGTGAGTAGGTGGGTGGGTCGTGGGATGCGCACACAACTACTTTTCCCAGGCAGTCGTCTCCGAGTCGTACGACATCCTGCTGCAGTTCGTGGAGCAGGTGGGCGTGAGGGAGGGTGGGTGGGTTGGGGGGTCGTTGAGTTGTTGAGGCAACGTGTGTGTGCTCATGTAAGAGAGCGTGCTTGTGGTGTCCGAGACGTACGATATCCTGCTGCAGTTCGTGGAGCAGGTGGGCGTGAGGGTGGGGTGGGCGGGGTGGGTGAAATGGGTGTTGGTTAGTTGCAATGTGCGTGTGAGTGTGTATGTATGCATGATGAGACAGTGGTGTCCGAGACGTACGATATCCTGCTGCAGTTCGTGGAGCAGGTGGGTGGGGTGGGGTGGGTGTTGCGCAGTAGCAACATGTATGTGGGGAGTGTGTAGGTGCATGCATGTATCAGTGTGTAAGTGCATGCATGCATGCATCGGTTGTCACCCACCCATTGCCTCATTGCTCACATACTGTCTTGCCCTTCTTGTTGTGCTTGTGCAGGGAAGCACTGAAGACGACGCCAGGAGAAGCAGGTATGCTGTGCTGCTGCCTGCTCCCTCTGTTACATCCATTCCGCACAAAGCAGCAGCCACAAATGGTTCTCCTTTGAGGCAAATCGCCTCTCTTCTCAACCTCTCATGCTTGCGCCTTTTAACTTTGCACCTTCTATCCCTTTTATGCTCTTCTCCCCTTCAAAACAGGACGGCATACAGTGAATTATGCGGGCAGCTGTCGGACCGATTCTTCTTCCTCTGCCTCATCCGCACCATGGAGCTCGTTTTCGAGCTCATGTGCTCTCACCACGTCATGATGACTGCTCACCACCCTCTTCTCAAGACGGTGAGTCGCATTGCCCGCTGCAAGCCACTGCTCAAAATGACATGGATGGGAAATTCACGTCAACATGACGTGGATGACGAGCTCATGTGTCTTTTGAGCTCGTGATCCACGTCATGTTGACGTGAATTTCCCATACATGCTCTTTTCTCTTCCATTTTTTTCACACACTCCGCTCCTCTTGCTCATTTGAGTGTGCCCCAAGGTACTGCATCAAGAAAGCAGTTTCCTTGCTTGTTGTCCTCTCTGCTCTTTCCACAGGTATCCGCTGCTGCTCCTCCCACTGTTTCCCCCGCTGCTCCTCCCGCTGCTCCCCCTGCTGCTCCTCATGCTGCTCCTCCCTCCTCTGGTTCGACCGCGCCCCAAGACCCTGTATCAGCGAACCCTATCGCCCAAACCACCAATCCATCCACGCCTCCTTCCTCCTCCTCTCAACCATCGAAGCTTGAGCCAGCGAATGCAAGCAGCAGCAAGACTGGCAGTAAGGGTGCAGCAGAGAGGGGTGGTGGGGAGAGCAGGGCGAGTGGGGAGAGCAGGGCGAGTGGGGAGAGCAGGGCGAGTGGGGAGAGCAGGGCGAGTGGGGAGAGCAGGGCGAGTGGGGAGAGCAGGGCGAGTGGGGAGAGCAGGGCGAGTGGGGAGAGCAGGCCAAGTGTGGAGAGCAGTGCTGCTCCGGACCGGTTTGAAGACTCGCTGTGCTTACCAGCTGCACAGGCTGTTGTGTTTGACGTCCTGGACGAGGCACATTCCAGCACAGCACAGCCGCATCCAAGCACGCCTGGCGTTGTCTCAAGCACACAGGCGACTGCTAATGCTGCCACTGCTGCTGCTGCTGCGCCTGGCGCCAGTGGCAGCAGTGGTGCCAGTGGCAGCAACAGCGTCGCACCCAGCAGTGCTGCAGCACCCACCAACAGTGATGGTGGTTTCAGTGATAGAGTGGTGGGTGCTAGTGGCAGTGGCGGTGAGCATTGGGACTTTCTGCAAGACGTGCAAGATGATGTTGACCGCATGGAAGGGCGCGGGGGAGGGGCAGAAAGGGGAGTTGCTGTGGGCGAGAGAGGAAGAGACGGAGAAGGAGGTGATAGGGAAAGAAGGGGAGGCAGAAGCAAGCTGGAGCAGAAAGTGCCAGTTGAAAGGGCGCCGCCACTAGCATGGTCTATCAAGGGGAAAGAACCTGCTACTGATGGCCCTCCTGCTGCTGCTACTGCTCCTGCTGCAGCTGATGCTGCTGGTTCTTCTGCTTCTGCTACTGCTGCTGCCTCTGCTATCCCTGCTTCAACTTCTCTCCCTCCTGCCACTCCTGCCAGTCTAACCAGCGCCACCGCAGGGCCATCAGCAGCCAATGAGCTGATGCCAGCTGTCCCGTCTCCGGCCAGTGAGCTGACGCCAGCTGTGCGGGAGGCGGCAGCAGCAGCAGTGAGGGGTGCGCTGGAGAAGGGCAGGAAGACGGTGTGGGAGCTGGCTGCTCGAAGGGTGGCGGCTCTGCTCTCTGCTCCTCCTGTGTGCTCCGGGACCTCTGAGCAGTTCCTGCAGGTGCGTGCTTCTGTTTCCATATCTCTCTTCCTCACTCAGAGTGAATCCGGCAGCAGTGAGGGGCGCGCTAGAGAAGCGCTCTCACCTGCAGGGACTTCTGAGCAGTTTCTGCAGGTGGGAGCCTCTCTCTTTCTCTGTACCTCTCTGTCTGTCTTTTTCCGAGAGTTCGAGGGTCATCAACAGCACGAGGCCGGAAGACGGTGTGGGAGCTGGTTTCTCGCCGCGTGGCGGCTCTGCTGTCTGCTCCAGTTCGTGCAGGTGCGTGCTTGTGCTTCTCTTCTGTCTGTCTCTGATTCATGTCAATACAGGAAGGCAGTGTGTGAGCTGGCTTCTTGCCGCATGGCCAAGAGGAACCTAAGTGGGGCCAAGAGGAACCTAACTGGGGCCAAGAGGAACCTAACTGGGGCCAAGAGGAACCTAAGTGGGGCCAAGAGGAACCTAACTGGGGCCAAGAGGAACCTAACTGGGGCCAAGAGGAACCTAACTGGGGCCAAGAGGAACCTAACTGGGGCCAAGAGGAACCTAACTGGGGCCAAGAGGAACCTAACTGGGGCCAAGAGGAACCTAAGTGGGGCCAAGAGGAACCTAACTGGGGCCAAGAGGAACCTAACTGGGGCCAAGAGGAACCTAAGTGGGGCCAAGAGGAACCTAACTGGGGCCAAGAGGAACCTAACTGGGGCCAAGAGGAACCTAAGTGGGGCCAAGAGGAACCTAACTGGGGCCAAGAGGAACCTAACTGGGGCCAAGAGGAACCTAACTGGGGCCAAGAGGAACCTAAGTGGGGCCAAGAGTAACCTAACTGGGGCCAAGAGGAACCTAACTGGGGCCAAGAGGAACCTAACTGGGGCCAAGAGGAACCTAAGTGGGGCCAAGAGGAACCTAACTGGGGCCAAGAGGAACCTAACTGGGGCCAAGAGGAACCTAACTGGGGCCAAGAGGAACCTAACTGGGGCCAAGAGGAACCTAACTGGGGCCAAGAGGAACCTAACTGGGGCCAAGAGGAACCTAACTGGGGCCAAGAGGAACCTAACTGGGGCCAAGAGGAACCTAACTGGGGCCAAGAGGAACCTAACTGGGGCCAAGAGGAACCTAACTGGGGCCAAGAGGAACCTAAGTGGGGCCAAGAGGAACCTAACTGGGGCGAAGAGGAAACTAACTGGGGCCAAGAGGAACCTAAGTGGGGCCAAGAGGAACCTAACTGGGGCCAAGAGGAACCTAACTGGGGCCAAGAGGAACCTAACTGGGGCCAAGAGGAACCTAAGTGGGGCCAAGAGGAACCTAACTGGGGCCAAGAGGAACCTAACTGGGGCCAAGAGGAACCTAAGTGGGGCCAAGAGGAACCTAACTGGGGCCAAGAGGAAACCTAAGTGGGGTCAAGAGGAACCTAACTCAGGCCAGGAGGAACCTAAGTGGGGCCAAGAGGAACCTAACTGGGGCCAAGAGGAACCTAACTGGGGCCAAGAGGAACCTAAGTGGGGCCAAGAGGAACCTAACTGGGGCCAGGAGGAACCTAAGTGGGGCCAAGAGGAACCTAACTGGGGCCAAGAGGAACCTAACTGGGCCCACTTGGAGTTGGCTTTTCGCCGCATGGCCAAGAGGCACTCACCATTCACCTTCTGGGTTCTGCTGCCTCCCCACCCACCCTCGACCACAGATCCTGTGCCTGGTTGAAGACTTTGTGCTGGCGGGGGAGGCGTTTACTCAAGCGGAGGCGGGGAGCCTGAGGGCCAAGATGGGCCGGCAGTGCGACCAGTTCTTCCGGAACTACCACCGCCAGGCACTGGAGGTGAGTGAGTGAGGAAGTGAGGGAGTGAGTGGGTGAGAGTGTGTGAGAGTGATTAAGAGATTGAGTTAGTGAGTGAATGAGCGAGTGAGATGGCAGTTATGCTTCTGCGTATACGAGAGTCCACTGCCCTCCTCACCTGTGCAAGCCCCCGAGGTCTGGTATCTCAACTCCTCCCGCCCCTCCCTCTCTTGCGAAACCCGTCACACTTTGTTCTGCTGCTGCAGGTGCAGCGTATGATGGTGGATCGGGAAACATGGCAGCCATTGCCCCCGTCCTCCCTGCAAGCCCCCGAGGTACAACATCTCATCTCCTCCCTCTCTACTGTCTCTGCCCTCTCTACTCTCCCACCCTGCTGCAGGTGCTGCGTATGATGGTGGAGCGAGAGACATGGCAGCCCCTTCCCCCCTCCTCCCTGCAAGCCCCCGAGGTGCAACATCTCATCTCCTCCCGCTCCACCCTCGCCCGCACGCCCGCCAAAATGCTCACCTCATCCTCTCCCAGCGACTCTGCTCTTGCTGCGGCAGGAGGAGCAGGAGGAGCGGGAGGAGCAGGAACGGGTGTGGGTGGGTTCGGAAGGGAGGGAGGCGCAGAGGCAGGGCGCGTGTGGGATTTCAGCCATTGGATGCAACTGGACCAGCCTTTCAACGTGGAGAATGTTAGAGGTGGAAGGGAGCAGCTAGATGCTGCTAGTGGGAGAGGGAGAGGGGTGGGTGGAGGGGTAGGAAGGGGAGGAAGAGGGGTGAACAGCGGTGGAGTGGGGTGGGATGGGCCGCAGGGGATGTTAAGGGAGTTGGTGGTGGTGTCGCAGGGAGGGATGGGAGGAGTGGCACGGGAGAGAGCGCGGGAGAGAGATAGGGAGATGCTGCGAGATAGATTTATGGATATGGAGCGAGAGAGGGAGAGGGAGAGAGAGAGGGAGAGGGAAAAGGAGCAAGAGAGAGGAAGGATGAGTCCACATTCAGTGTATCAGAGCACAGGAGGGGCATATGGAGCAGGGGTTTCTTCTGGGGGAGGTGGATATGGGGCAGGTAGGTTTGGGAGCGCAGCAGAGGGGGTGAATGAGCTTCGGCAGTACAGCTCTGAGCGAGTAGCTCCAAGAAATGCCGCCCCTACTTTTACTGGCCCTGGTGCTGCTGCTGCTGCTGGTGATGCTGCTGGTGGCGGCGGTGGTACCTGGGGTAGTGGGTATGATCTGAAGAGTAATAGCTACACCTACAGCAGAGGTGGTGGTGGTGCTGTTGCTGCTGATAGCCCTTCTGGTGTAGCTGCTGTTAGTCCTACCGGTGTTGCTGCTGTTTGTAGCGACCCTACTGCTGCTGCTGTGGGTCGTGCCAGTAGCATCATGAAAGGGGTTGGGAGCGGTTTGATGAGGATGCGAGAGGAAGGGGAAGGAGTGGAGCAGGAGGAGGAGGAGGAAGAGGAAGAGGAAGAGGAAGAGGAGGAGGAGAGTGAGGAATTGCTAGCTGATTATATTGATGAGGATGGTGAGGGGGAGGAGGAGGGAGGGAGAGAGCAGGAGAGAGGGAGCAGAGGCGGAGGCAGAGGAGGAGAGAGAGGCAAAGACGGAGTGCCTAGCAGCAAGAGCAGCAGCAGCAGCGTGCAGAGAAGCAGGAGCGGGGGACGAGGAGGAGGAGGAGGAAGAGGAGGAAAAGGGGCAGGGGGGGGCAAGGCAGGAGGGTCAGGAGGCGGAGGAGGAATAGGAAAGGGAGAAGGAGGGAGGGGAGGGGTGCAGAGGAGTGGGACAACAAGGATATACTCCCCAGCACCACCATCCTCGTTATTGCCAGACTCTCTACTAGGCCGCTCACAGAGTGATGGCAGGCTGGGGGGCCAGGGGAGGAGGCGGGCTGGCAGTGGGAAGGCGGGAGGTGGAGGGATGGGCGTTGATAAAAGCAAGGGGGGGAAGGGGGTGAAGGCAGGAAAGGGGGAGGAGCAAGACTTTGCTGCCACTGCATCTGCTCTTGGTGCTGTCAGGTGGGATTTTTCATGCAATGCTATGCCGCTCCATGCCGTGCCGTGTCGTGTCATACCGTGCCGTGCCATGCCATGCCGTGCCATGCCATGCCATGCAATGCGGTGTCATGCCATGCAATGCCGTGTCATGCCATGCTATGCCGTGCCATGCCTTGCTGTGCCATGGCCACCCATTTCCACCCAAATCCCTTCCTTCCCCACTCCTCCCTGCTGCCGCCCTCCCCATGCTGCCCTTCTCATGCTGCCGCCCTCCCCATGCTGCCCTTCTCATGCTGCCGCCCTCCCCATGCTGCCCTTCTCATGCTGCCGCCCCACCTTGCTGCCCTTCCCTTGCCGCCCTCCTCCTGCCGCCCTCCCCCTGCCGTCCCCACCCTACCGCTCTCCTTCTCCCGCACGGCAGGTTGATGGACTATCAGGTCACTCTGCTGTTCTCTCTCGGACCCATCTCTGCTGACGTCATCATGGTAAGCTCTGGGCCAGGCGGACAGCATGCTGAGCCGGGCGGCATGCTGAGCCGGGCGGCATGCTGAGCCGGGCGGCATGCTGAGTCAGGCGGCATACTGAGCCGTGCGGGCGGGTGGCATGCTGAGAAGCGCACTGTAGCATGATCAGCCGTTTGCATTGTTTCGTACCTTCCTTCCTCTATCTCATCAGTCTTCCGCATCTTCGGCCATTGAGCGAGCGGCTTCGACATTCCCCATCTTCCATCCATCCTCTCCCTTACCCCTTTCCCCCTTGTTCTCTTCTCTCTCTCACCTGTCAGTCCGTGTGGCAGCTATTCGACCTCTATCTCATCACAGTCTTTCTCATCTTCGGCCATCGGGAAGCCTTCACTTATTACTCTCTTTCCACCCCTATTTCCCCCACCCTCTTACCTCCCTCCCCCTCCCCATTTCAGTCCGTGTGGCAGCTATTCGACCTCTATCTCATCACAGTCTTTCGCATCTTCGGCCATCGGGAGGCCTTTGCTGCCCTGCGATCCGCCGACCCTGCTGCCGCCCACTGTGAGTCCCCGCTGCGCCCACTCTTTCACACTCTCATGGCGTTGCCCCCCCTCTCTTTCACACTCTCGTGGGGCTGCCCCCTCCCCTCTTTCACACTCTTCCTTTCTCATCTCCGTTCGCCCTTCACTACTTTCACCCCCTTTCTTCCTCTCGCTGCATCTGTTCTGTTCCTTCCTCCTTTACTGGCACAGTGCTATCCCCCAAGCTCCGTGCCGTGCTCACCAAGATCCTGCACAAGTTTGAAGCCATGGGGCTGCGCCCTCCCCTTACCTCCTTCCCACTCTCCCTCTTCCCATCTCGCTTCCCATGATTCACCCCCTTCCCTTCTCCCTGCTATCAACACACAGTGCTATCCCCCAAGCTCCGTGCCGTGCTAACGAAAATCCTGCACAAGTTTGAAGCCATGGGCCTGCGCCCTCTCTCCCCGCCCTCCTTCTCCGACTCTGCTGCCTCCGCTGCTGCCTCCGCTGCTGCTTCTGCTGCTGCTGCAGCTGCCGCCTCATCTCCTGAATCAACCATAGGAGCATCTGCTGGTGGTGCTGCTGGTGGTGCGGCTAGGGGTGCTGGTGCTGGTGCTGGTGCTACGGGTGGCGGAGAGGGCAATGGGGGTGTGGCAGGGCGGCCAAGTTTGTTTGATGGCAAGACAGGCACCAGGGTGCTCATCTCCTCCTCCAACTTCTACGCTCTCAGGGTGAGTGTATCTTGAAACAGGCCTCTAACTTCCAGGCCTCTAACTTCTAACTTGTGCTGGCCTGCCTCTAACCACTACTGCTGTCTGGGTGAGTAATGAGTTTGACCTAGAAGTAGATATAATTTGATTTGATATGACTACCAACAGATGATCCCAACTACTTTTTCTCCTGCACCTTCTCACTCTCCCTCTCCTCGTCAACCTCTCTCAGCAACCTCCCCCCCTCACACACCGCGGCTAGTAGGTGCGGTGTGAGGCGATTAAGTCACTCCTGTGGTTGACGCCTGTGGTGCAGGTAGTGTGACGCTGGTTCCCCTCCCACCTCCCTCCCCTCTCCTCCCCCTCTTCTCACCCACTCCTCCTTCCATCTCCCACCAACGCCAGAAGCATTCTGTGGCGATCGAGTCACTACTGTGGCTTGGCTCTCCCACGTGGTGCAGGCAGCACAGCAGCTCTTCCTCTCGCACCTATCCTTCGAGCACACCAACCCCACCTTCCACACTCCTGCCTCAACCCCCCCCCCCCTTTCACACCGTCTCTTCACCCTCCCACCAACGCCAGGAGCGATGTGTGGCAATCGAGTCACTACTGTGGCTCTCCCACGTGGTGCAGGCAGCACGCCAGCGCTTCCTCTCCCACCTGCCCAAGGCTTCGTGGCCGCTGCTTGAGTCCTACACCTCCGAAACTGTGAGTCACTCACTCTACATACTGCTCCCAAACTCCTAGATCTCATAGCATTGTATGTATATTCCTGGTGAGCTCTGTGAGCATGTGATGACAGCAGCCGTTCTTTCGTGTCCCATGTCTCCGCTTGTCTCCCACATACCTCTCTCCCCCCACTCAATCGTCTCATCTCCCCTCAGCTGGAGGTGGTACCAGAGCTCTGTGAGCATGTCATGAGAAGACCCTTTCAAACCCGCCGCATGTCCCCTTCTGTTCTCCCCCATCGCGTTATCACCTCGCAGTTGGAGGTGGTACCAGAGCTCTGTGAGCATGTCATGAGAACAGCTGCTCGATTGCTCATCAACTTCACCAGGTGTGCTCTCTGACAGGTCTTAAGAGCACCTTGTTTGAAACCTCACAAAATTTGCTCGATTGCTGTGCCGTGCTCATCAACTTCACCAGATACGCATTGTATTGCGTTTTGAGACGTCTCAAAACTTCACCAGAAAAGCTTTCAAGCAGGTTTCAAAAGCTCCTTCTGCCCTTGCAAACCCAATTTCCATGCATGGGCTGGTGTTAATTTGTTCAAAAGCTGTCCTCCCGTCTTTTTTCCCCGCTGCTCTCCCTTCACCATGCCTGCCTCTCTCCCGTCCCTTATGTTGTCTCCTTGGCTTCCCCAGCTACGCAGACAAGATCGCAGCTGGGAGATGGGAGTCCCACGACGTCACGTCCTACCACAGCCCGTATGTGCATGTGTGATGGATGCACGTGCACATGCCCATGCACGTGCACATGCCCATGCATGTGCACATGCACATCCGCTTTCATGTTTTGAGACTTCTCAAGATTGCAGCAGGGAGATGGGAGTTCCACGATGTCACGTCCTACCACAGCCCATACGTTCTTGTGTTATGGATGCACATGCTCATGCAATGCACATGCCCATTCACTTGCCCATGCACATGCACGTGCAAATCTCGAGATGTATGGGAGTCCCACGATTTCTTGTCCTACCACAGCCCGTACGTTCTTGTGTTTATGCCACATGCGTTTTCTCCTCATTGGGTAGATACGTACGTACCATACATGCATGCATTCAGGATCATGCATTTTCATTCATGCATAATGCATGCATGCATCCGTTATCCCTCCCTCCATTCCATTCCCGGTTCTCACACCAACTACATGGATGCACTATTGTCGGAGTTTCGCATCTGACAATGTCCTTCTTTCCCCTCACCCTATCTAATCGTCCCCTGGCCCAATCCCCTCCTCCACCTCCCAATCACTTCAGCTACGTGGATGCTCTGTTGTCGGAGTTCCGTCTCCTGCTATCTCCCTCTTCCCCGCTCCACTCGTTCCCTGCTTCAATCCCCCTCTCCGGTCTCTCCCTTCTATCCCTACACCCCCCCCCTCTCCATCTCACACTCACTTCAGCTACGTGGATGCACTATTGTCGGAGTTCCGTCTCCTGTTGCAGCGACTCAACCACCTGGGCATCCCAGTCCAGGTATATGCACACGCTTCCCATCCAAGCACCTATAGGTTACAGCCCCCTCCACACGGAAATCTTAGAAGAGGTGAGACGATGTTTGAGGTGCCTCCTGTTGCAGCAACTCGACCACCTTGGCATCCCAGTTCAGGTAATGTTGATTCTCACATCCCCATCCTCCTCCTCATCTTGCTTGATTGTTTGCTTGTGTGTGTGTGTGTGTGCGCGCGCGCGCGTGCGTGCGTGCGTGCGTGCGTGCGTGCGTGTGTGGGTGTGTGTGTGCGCGCGCACGTGTTTCCAAGGGGGGCGTTCAGTCCGTTTGATAAGAAACACCTGTTCTCCGGTCTGTTTTACGCTGCTGTCATTCCATTGGCACTATTTCCACAGGTGCAGCAGCAGCTGGTGCAGTTTGCAATGGAAACAGTAGCAGGCGTGCTTGTGGAGGGCATCTGTGTGATCTGAGTCACCTCGTTCCCTGATATTCTGTCTGCCTGTACTGTGTCAGTTTGTTTAATTTCCACAGGTGCAGCAGCAGCTGGTGCAGTTCACTATGGAAGCAGTGGCAGACGTGCTCGTGGAGGGCGCCTCTCTCCTGTCATTCGAGGCCTTAACTGTGTCCCACTACCCCCCTGCAATCACTGCCTGTGCTGCTGTCCTTGTCATGATGTCACATTCGCAGGTGCTGCACCAGCTGGTGCAGTTAACAATGGAAGCAGTGGCAGAGGGCGTTAGAATGGTCCTTTGCCCCGTGTGCTATGCTTACTGCCTGCACTATGCTTGTGTTGTGTGTCCAACCCGCAGGTGCAGCATCAGCTGGTGCAGTTTGCAATGGAAGCTGTAGCGGACGTGCTTGTGGAGGGCTTCTCGCGAGTCAAGCGCTGCTCTAATGAAGGGCGTGCGCTCATGTCTCTCGACTTGCAGGTTCGCTTTCACTCTCACCCAGGTTCCTTCACTCCCATAATGACTCAAAAGTCACCTCAGATGCTGTAGCCAGCCACATGCTCATGGTCGAATTTTCCCAAGTCTAACTCCAGAGGTGCTCCAAGGAAGGAAGAGCACTAATGCCTGTTGCAGGTACCCAGATTTTGTTTTTTTTTTTTTAATATATAATTGTTATTTTATTTTACCATTTAGGGTCATTATGACCTCGTGGTCTTTGCACTGCATGTGCTAAATTGAGTTCTCTGCTAGCACACTGGCCTTTGTTATGAGGCACCTTAAAAGTGCATGCACTTCAGGTACTAAATTGCATCCACTTACTTACTGCTCACCTAATTAAGAAACTGATCCATTCCTTGCCATTCGTTGGTTTTTTCTGCCCTGCCCGTCCCCCACCAGACACTGATCAACGGCTTGCAGCAGCTCACAGGGCGCCGCCCGGACATGCAGATAGTTGACACGTACATCAAGGTGAGAGGGCGGGCACGTACATCAAGGTGAGAGGGCGGGCACGTACATCAAGGTGAGAGGGCGGGCACGTACATCAAGGTGAGCACAGGTATTAGGGGAGTCAAGTTGTCAGAGAGCATCACGTATTCGTTTTGCTCCAGGCTGCGACATCTTTAGGTATGAACTGCTACATGTTTATGCTTTGGTTGATGTATTTATTAGATATACTGGAAGGAGGGTTTGTTGGGTGTTGTCCTCCCAACAACAAGACGTGGTTGGTCAAGCTTGGTCTTGGAAATTGGCCCTTGGCACTTTGGGTGCCATTTCCCAACCAAGTGGTTCCAGCACTAGTGAATGTACATGTGATGTGAAGGTGAGAGCATTCGACCCACTACACCTCTCAGCCAATCATTGTTGACATATTGCCCACTTTTCTGCTGCCACTGTTGCCACATCCCCACCCCTTATACCTCTGTGGGATTTGAGTGGACTAGAAATACTTTCTGCTTCCACACTTGACCCAGCTCATCCCATCACCATACCACCTACTCCCACTGCCCTTCTACCACCTTGGCAGGCATCCTACCTGCCTGAGCCAGAGTACCTCTACTGGGCGACTTTTATGTCAGCTCAAAACAACACCCTCCAACCCCACACCCCCCCCTTCCCCACCTCAACCCTTCCCCCCGCTGCTCCTCCCCACAGGCCTTTTACCTGCCTGAGACAGAGTACCTCTACTGGGCGCTCAGCCATCCTGTGAGTGACCGTGCAACCATGTAACAATCCAACAACATAGCAGTACATCAATGTGCTATTGTTACAAGGTAACAACGTGATCATGTATACTGCCTGATTCTAGACTTGTTTTGGCCTTGTGCCGTGCCATCTGTTCCTTCCTTCCAGGAGCTCTTTTCTTGGGACGTCTCAAAAAAAAAAAAAAAAATCTCGTGTACTCCTGTTTGCCCGCCTGCCCGCTGATGTCTACCTCTGTGCCGTGCTTTTCGCCCTTCCTTTTGAGTCGACTGTTTTTTGAGTCGACTCAAAACATGCGGTGCCGTGCTTTCTACCCCTGCTTGCAGGAGAGTATTCCCAAGCGCAGGTGGTGTAGCTCATCAACGGTCAGCCTGGTGGCATAGCAATAATAAACTGCCTGCTATTCTCCCTGATATAGACTGCCTGCTAATGCTAGATGTTTTTTGCCTCTATGCCTTGCCATTCCGTTCCGTGCGATCCGTTCCCCACACTTCAGGAGTATTCACGAGCTCAAGTCGTTTCGCTGATCAACCTGGTGGCCGTGATGAAGGGGTGGAGGAGGAAGACTCGCGTGGACCTCATTGACCGGATTGAGGGGCAGGAGATCAGATGAGCATGAGTGGAGGGGGGGGGCATTCATACATGTGAAACGGTGGAGGAGGAAGACCCGCGTTGACTTGATTGACTGGATTGAGGGGCAGGAGATCAGATGAGCGCTGGGGGGGCGCAATCTATACACGTGTGAAGGGGTGGCAGAGAGGAAGGACTGGAGAAGGACTTGCATTGACCTGATTGACCGGAAAGAGGGTAGATGAGCATGCAGAGTGCGAGGAGGGATGAGCAGGGGTACAAGAATTCGCATTGGGATGGCTATGGTGAAGAAACGGAGGAGGAAGACTTGCACTGACCTGATTGAGTAGACGAATGGGAAGTGGACGGATTGTGGGGATGTGAAGACGTGGGGATGAGGCGAAAGATATCAAGACAGGTGCAGGGGCTAGTGGAGTGGAGGTGGACGGATAGAGGGGATGGGGCAACAGGGAATTTAAACGGGGCACGAGGCAGGGGCAAGGAGGAAGACTCGTGTTGACATTATTCAGCAGATCGAGGGGGGGTGTGGCGGGCGGAGGGGGGAACTCGCTTTGACCCCATTCACTCCGTGAGGTGATGTACCCATCCGTTGACTGACAGAATGGTGACTGTTTGACTGACTGACTGACTGACTGACTGATTGACTGAATGGCAGACTGACTGCTGACAGTCGAGCATGGCACTGCTTTTTTAGGGCATTTCTTCAGACTGTTCTGGCAAGGGTGAGGTGGAGTGGAGAAGGAGAGGGGGGTGGAGAGGAAGTGGTTGAGAGGAAGAGGTGGGGAGGGGGACGGTCAGGGAGATTACAGACAGGCTGGCTGGCTGGCTGGCTGGCTGGCTGGCCTTTGGTGAAACCTTACTGACGGATGTATTCTGAGACTGCTCGAGTTTGATTTCTGAGAATGTCTGAAGGTGCAATGCGCCCTGGGAGTTGATCATTGGGAAGGAAGGGGACTGCAAAGGGCGGATTACAGCTGGAGTTCCACTCAACCACCAAAGGGGTGTCCTCTTGATTTCTGGAGTGGTGCTGGTGCCTGTGCGTTCAAGTGCTGCTGGAGAGGAATTCATTCGTCGAGAGCTGTTCGTGAAGTTCACTTCATTTTTTCCTTTTGAGAATTCTCAATAGTTGGATTGCGGTGGCTTCACTTCATTTCTTCTCCTCCCTTCCTGCACGAGGGGCACTGATCATCACCAACACCAGCAGGTTTGTTCCCTCTCGGCACACGCTCTGCTCTCCACCCTCCGCACAGCTTTCTGGTGTTATGCTGTCTGCTTCCTACCTGTTCCCGACCCCTCTTCCCGTTCTTCACTCTCACCCTGCACGTACTTTTGAAGCGCTTCAAAAGCAGTTTCGCCCCCTCTCGGCACACGCCTCTGCTCTCCACCCTCTGCACTCCTTTCTGGCGTTCTTCTGTCCACTCCCTACCTGTTCTTGACCCCTCTGCTCGTTCTTTACTTTCCCACCCTGCCCACACCATCCGTTGCGGTTAACCCCTTCAGCTGCCCCTCTTCCCACTCCAGTCTTCCCTGCCCCCCTGTGTCTCCTCTGTTCTCCAACTTCCCCATCACCTCTTCTCTATCACCTTTTCTGTCTTTGCTGTGCGTAGCTAGTAGAACTACGGGTCATCATTCAAATGGCAGGTCATTGTTTATCCTATATTGAAATGAAATCACTAATTGCCGCTTCGAAACGGTTCTGATGGTTTTTTATTGCCGTGCGTGTTGCAGATGGAGTGCTGTACAGTGCTGTAGCTGTTGTACCATACATAGATGGTTCCAGAGCATATGTACCGCATGCCGGGGCTTTTGCAACTTAGTAGTGTAGGTATGGTGTGCTTTGCGTCTAGCAACCACAGCAAAATCTACCCATGCCCCTCGTCGGAAGGGCGGAGGTCTGTCATGAGTCAATAAACTCTTCTGGCTCACTTGATAAATACCGGCATATCTTGGAAAGGCTTCACTTCTCATCCTACAAACCATAATGCGTGTGATGGAGGCAAATTTTCACCTGTATTGTGGAATGATGCATGCAGTATGGCCTACCTGCTGTACTTGCACCATACGGTGAGCAAATCTAGCTCGTGTTTCTAGGTGATGAAGCATACTTCATTACTGTACCAAATTCGTCCGTCCAAGTAACGGTGGGTAGCTTGTGACAGGAAAACGAAGTTGTAGCACCCAGGTAACTTAAATGAGCTGAGACACAACTTGCCACACTGCAGGTGAGTTGATTCAGACACTAATGTTGTAGGGATGTAGACAAATACACTTCACCTACCTACCGGTAATCTTAATTCTTTTGGAAAAGCACCTTGATCGTGAGCAAAAATCACCCCAAAAAGGCTACATGACAAAAACACAGGCAGATATGGCATGTCATGGTACAAACACACGCCCTGCAGAGCCAGCGCCGTAAATCCATTTATTACTTAATGGAAACAAAGCACCGGCAGTTGAACAGCGTTAATAGTAACCCCACTCCACAACACTACTGTGCAGATTACGGCATGCGCTGCATACAATTCCTACCAAAAGCGCGACATAGAAGATCCATTGGAGTGGTGGTGGTAACCAGCTCTACCACCTCCTTCCCCATCCTCGTCACTGGACTCCTCTCCCTCAAACTCGTCAGACAGGGATGCAACAACCTGCAGGAGAGAGGAGGAGAAGTTGGAGACAGAGTGGATGCCGTGAAGTGGTCACAAGGTCTACCTACTCCTCTGTCGATTTTACTTTTGAAATTTCTCAAAAGTAAGATCCACATTGAAGTGGTAACAAGGTTTACCTACTCCTGCGCGTTATAAGAATGAGCGAGGGAAGAAGCAGGCACCATATACCGGTGACTACGAGGGGCCAGTATAGCGCACAGAACAATGCGCAATGGGCACTACACAAAGCATTCTCGTGTGGCGAAGCAGGTACAGAAGCCACATGTCTTATCTTTGCTGTTTTGGTCTCCTTGCGTGCTGTGCTGCTGCATTCGGTACCCCCATATTGTCGCACTCTTCACTCGGCACGTTCTAGCATATAGCCTTGCTGCACTACACGGCCGCATCACTTCCCCTCACCTTTATTGTTCCGGCAAGTTTCCACGCGTGCTGCTGCAAATGGTACCCCCGTCTCGTTGTGCTCTTCACACGGCACGTTCTGGCAAAAAACCTCACTGCACTGCCGCCGCCGCTGCCGCTGCCACTGCCACTGCTGTTGCCACAGCCACCGCTGCTCCTGCTTGGCAACCCACACCCATCTACTGCATCACGCCCGTCCACAGCCTCGCATCCTGCTTTACACGCCCTGCCAGCTGCGGCAGAAGAACCACCAGGCACGCTGGCTACACGAGAAGCTCCAGTTCCCGTTCCCCTTCCAGAAGCAACAGCACCTACACCCATGCCTGTACTATTATTCCCTAGGGTAGCAATACCACCCCTGCCCTTATTTTTGCCCCGGGAAAACTGAGAAAACGAGAGAGTGGCTGTGGCTAGTGATGGTGCATCCAAGGGGGTGGAGGGAGTAGTAGCTTGAGGAGGAGGTGTGGGGGCGGAATTGGGTGTCCATGCCACCATGCTGCATTCTTTACACAGTACCCGGTTGGACTGTAAAGAGGATAGTGTAGAGCCTGGATGGAAGGGGTTATAAGGAAGGTAAAAAGAAGAAATGCGAGGAGAGAACACTTTTTTTTGAGATTCAACTATTTCCCAGCGAAGGAAGAAGCAAGGAAGCAGGAGCCAAGACATGAAATGAGCTGCTGATAAATGGTGTGGTGTGTCAGCGACCTAAGGTAAGTAAGCAGCATATTATCAGCGATTCATGTGAAGAAGTCGAAATCCTGACGTATATGCCGGCTTGAAGCAAGGACTACTCACCCTGTGCACACCGAGAAACTAACTCTTGCCACAACGGCGTCTGTCTCTCCTGCACCTCCCCTCCAAACCGGCCCTTCCCACCCCTGCTCTCTTGGGCCTCGGCAGCAGGCACGGAACCGAGGCAAGCAGCGAGGTGCGTCACCCAGTCAGGTTCGGCAGCAGCTGCAATGTCCCTCCAGTGGGAGCAGACAGCAGAGGCTCGGGCAAGCGAGAGAGGGTCAAGGTGAGAGAAGAGGAGGTGCAGGATGTCAGAGGGGAGAGGAGGGAGAGGAGGGAGAAGAGGGAGAGTAGAAGTGATGGAGCATGTTTGAGAGGTGGGGAGCAGAGCGACCATACTAGAGCGTTTTTCAAAGTTCAAGGGCTGCAAACCCTGTTTGGTGCTTCCATTAAAAACCCTAATTGGTGTTTCTTGATTCTCCTCCTCGTCATTCTCTCTCTCTTCCTCTTCCTCCTCTTCGACTGCATTCTTGGATTTCTTCTCTGCCCGAGCAAGCATGACGCAGAGGCGCTTGTACTCGCTGGTAACCGCCTGCTTGCGCTGACGTGGCAGCGCCGCCTGACACGCCTGGATGAGCTGGCGCGCTGCATACCTGTGCAGAGCGCCGTCCATGCTGGCAACAAGGAAATACATGGGAGGCGTGCGTAAATGGAGTTGTTCCCAATGATTATACGCCACTGTACCAGGAGTTTTTGGTAATGGCTTGTTGCGGGGAAAGGAAGCGAAGGTGCAATTTGTTTCCTCACAGTTCTCAAAAACCAGCTCGTTATGCATGACTGTGCCAGGGGAGGTTGGCAATGGCTTGTTGAGCGGGGTAGCAGAGGTACGACGGCACGGGCTTGGGAGGGTGGGAGTAGAATTATGAGAGAAATATTTCGAAGTCAAATAAAAATCCTTTACCAGGGGAGGTTGGCAATGGCTTGCTGAGCGAGGGAGTAGAGGTGCGACTGCACTGGCTTGGGAGAGAGGGAGTAGCAGAGGCGGAGCAGGAGAGAGAGCTCGCGACATGCTTCAGAGTAGTCTCTCCTGCGGACATGCATGCATGGAATGTGCATGTGTGCAAGCAAGCACGCAGCATGGTCGCATGCCCGCGGTGTGAGCACATGTGCAAAGAGAATGAAGGACATTATGCACACGTAAAAAGGGGAGGGGAGGAGGTGACTTTTGAGTCGACTCAAAAGTCACCTCTGTGAGCACATGTGCAAAGAGAATGAAGGACATTTTGCACACGTACACAGGGGAGGGGAGGAAGCTCATTGCACTTGTAGTCACACGTGCACTCACTCATGCATGCATGGATGTGAAAATGCATGCATGGATGTGCACATGCATGCATGGGACGCTGACATGGAAAAATACAACGAGAAACCCCCCCACACACAAAGGCATATACGCAAAGAGAGGGAAAAAGCAAACGCTTGTGGATTGCTTGGACATCATACATGTCTGCGAGCTTCAATCTCACCGTTGATTCAAGCCACCCTCTAAATCAAGCAATGACAGACGTTCTTCCGAGAGAGCAAAAGGGTCCCCAATAGAGCTCTCTGCTCCTCCTCTGGCTCCTCCTCTGGGCCTATTCTTGCCATCTTTCCTTTTCCCTTGGTTCCTGGGCTGCTTGGAATGAGACATGGAAGGATCTAAAACGCCTCGAAGCGCTGGGTTGTGTGGGCGTGTGTGGAGACGGTGGGGCGAGGGGTTCTGATTGTGCAATTCTCACTCGTGCTGTTGTGCTGCAACATTGGCGGGAGGAGGAGGAGAGGGAAGGAAACGAGGGATAAACGCGGTGAAGATTGCCAAGGGATATGCAACGAGGTGACTTGTGAGGTTATTTTCGAATGGACTCAGTCGAGGCACGGGTAAACGAGGTGAAGACAGGCACGGAAGAATGGATTTGTTACGAAAGCAAGGAGGCAAAAAAAGAGAGGAAAACCAAGTGATGACGGGACGACTATGCGACACTGCCACTTCGCATGCATTTTTATGAGAGGCGACGGACATGGACAGATTACTGTCAGTAGCAGGAAAACGAACCACGGTTTGAAGACTACGATTCCAGCCTTACAAGTTACTCGATTTGTCTATTAGCGCCGAATTCAACCACCTTCATGCGTATAGTGTGTGCCATCCGCTCAGCCTGAATTTGAACCATCCGCTCTCAGCTACTTGAGGGAAATCAGCTCGTTTTTGGAAGTGGATGAAGGGGAAGGCCTATCAAGGAGGGCATTTTCCCTTATTGATGAATTGGGGTGGTTTGCAAGTTTGCCTGCTGCTTAAAAAATGGTCGGAACGTCTAGGTTGGGTACACGCCACCAAGTCACCCGTTTCACTGCCCTGAGCACAAATGGATGCTCCAACCAGCTGCCCGAACGTTTTCCTCACAGGGACAGCGAGACTTTTCAGGGCTGCTCATAAAAGTATTGTTACCCCCTAAATTTAGCGAAACCTGTGACAGTCTCTGTTGGGGTTCGCGCACCCTAAGTACAAAAACCCACCACCATTAGCTCCATGAGTTATCTTCTGATAAGTTCCACATACAGAGATTAGTAGGTTTCGCTGGCAGGCTGTTAGGTTCTATCGGCACAGGCTAGGATAACTTCAGGCATTAGAGGATTCTCCGTTTTTTACCAGTCCCCTTCTCCTGCGGAAGCTTATGAGAATGACATCGCTATTATCATTTTTAGGTAGTTGATGTCCGGAAACGGTTTCTCGTGCTGTTTTACGTCCGTCCTGTCATTCTCTGTGACATTCCTTAGGGACCTGTAAGTGCTGAGCACACGAAGTTCGGATCTAAATATACCGCTTAACAAGATGCGTCTTCGTTTCGCCATGGTCTGCGCATCGAATCAGAACCGTAGCATGGAATCGCATGCGATTCTTAAACGAGAAGGGTTCGATGTCAGCTCTTATGGTACCGGCAGTAACGTCAAGCTCCCCGGACCAAGTATACGAGAACCCAATGTCTACAAATTTGGCACGCCGTACAAATACATGTTTGAGGAGCTTCAAGGCAAAGACCCTGAGCTGTAAGTGAAACAGTTTGCTCATTTCGAAATACATGGAACCTAAACCTTTTGCAAGCTTCTGCACGTCTAGGGTTCACATATTTGCAGTCGAAATATTTATTCGTTCGCTTGCCGAGTGTGTCTAAAATATTGTTCTCTCAGGTATAAAAGGAATGGCATATTAAGAATGCTGAAACGGAATCTTGCGGTCAAGGAAGCTCCCCAAAAGTGGCAGGACAATGCTGCTGACGGACCCTTCGATGTCGTGATTACATTCGAGGAGCGAGTTTTTGACATGGTCATTGAAGGTAAGGAGTGTTAAAAATCTACGCGGATTTGTGACATGCAGCTTCAGACTTCAGGCGTTAAGGTCTCAAGTCGTGCAAATGATTACATTTTTTTTTGTCACCTTGACTCACTTCACTTTCATTTTCTGCAGCATGCAGCTTGCTCGCTCCTTTTCTCGTTCGCCCTCTCCCCACCATCGCTGTCTGTGGCTTTTCTGCATACGCTGTCACTTGTGCTTTGTCACTCATGGACTCTTGCACTCACTCGAGCGCTTTTCCTCCCTCACGCACACACACGCACACATGCACGCACACACACGCACACATGCACGCACACACACCATATTCATCAATGCACTCACATACGTCATGGTTACACCCACTCATGTAGACACGCCCATACATGCATGCACAGATGTGCTGACACACAGACAGTCAAAGGCACGTCCACGCACTCACTCATTCATTTAACTTTGAAGAGTTCATCCATTATCAGCAACGTCAATATTCCTATTTGCACTTTCAGTAGCCCCCATCCGTTTGCAGGGTCTTGAACAAAAAATTCAGCAGGAGTATAAACAACTGGTCATTATTGTTTTTGGAGAAGCTTCAGTACTTTACCATAGCTTGTGCATGAAATTCCTCTGCAGGGAGGAAATATTAAGTTTTTTGTGAGCTAGGGTGTAATTTTGCTGTTGATTTCTAAGACATCAGAAAATATCTACTGATCCAGAATTGTGCCATTCCTGTGCTCATCTTGTGGTACTGTGTCTTGCAGACGTGTTTGCTCGGGAGCGTACCCTACATCAAGCAGCATTGGTCATCAACCTTGAAGTTAGAGATACGCACGAAGAAGCAGCATCTGGCGCAGAAGCGGCTCTACGACTTTGTAGGATGGTGAGGCCAATCAGGGAGCACATCTGTCAGTACGTTGAGGAAACATGGATCCATGTTTCGAAACAACGGGTATATCTCCAAGCAGATTGTGTACATGTAATGCCTTTTTACAAGGTCATAGTGCACATGCTTAAGAAGCAGAAGCATTCAGCAGATGTGCACTTCACCAACAACACTTGAGCGAGACCCAGGCTCCCACGACTGTTTTCTCTACTAACGTGGCCAGTGCTACCTGGTGTGCCCCCCTCATTTTTTTGCAGTTGGAAGACCTCACAAGTTGGGAGGATGAAGTTGAGGTGGTCATGAGAAGATTTAGAAAACAATATAAGCAGGATCTGGTGTACAACATAGTGTTTTATTGATACCTGCTAACGTCATTCTCGGTGGTGAAAGCCTCGGTCCCTTGATGCAGCGAGACAGCCTTCCGGGTAACCACTGCTGGCGAAGCCTACTGCTCTGAAAAAGCAACCTCTGACTTTGATAAACGGCTTCGCCACATTTCGGCGAAGACAAAGTTGGACTTCGCTACAGTAAATGTCTTACAATTTTGGATTGCGATTTGGATCCGCTGTCCTCCTAGTTACTGTTTGATGGATCTGAAGTGCATTTCTTGAAACCCTAGTTTACCTCAATCGCGTGCTGCCACGTGGCAATCTTGATGCTATTATTCTAGACATAAGTTGTCAGTTGAAACTGAAGGCGACTCGAAATTATCAAGAAATAATAAAAAAAAAATTGTAGTCCAAAACGCGCTGCGCGGATTAAATAATATAACAACGGCAACAGCATGGATGCTTCGCAAGCTGCCAATCATGATGCTGGAACCAAGTGCTATCAAGCCGTACCTAAGGAAGAAAGCAGCTTGCCGAGTCGAGCCGGCGGGACGAGAGACTTAACGCGTGTCGCTGACATAAATGATGCAGTGCCAACGAACACCGGAGATTTCGGTTCAGTACCAGCTCGAGAAAATACAAACGCGGGAGCAAAACCTTCGCGAGCCGAATCAGATGTTTCAGAACGCCGTTTCGCTAGGGTTAACTCCGCTTCTCAAGACGTTCCTGCAGCTGCAACTTATTTCGCCGTGCCAGATGGCGCTGCTGCCGCGAGCCAAAGCAGATGGCCGCCGGTATCGTCGTCTCCGTCGACTTTTCCGTCACCTTTTCCGTCGACGTTTTCACCGGCCAGGCTGTCGTCCCCGTCTCCATGGGCCGCTTCCGCTTCCCCCTGGCGCTCCCCCTCCCGCTGGCTTTCCCCTTCTCCGTGGAACTCCCCTTCCCCGTGGCCGTCCCCCTTGCGCCACGCGCAGTTTGCGGTTCCCGCCACGCGGAAGACTCCGCCGATCGGCCCGGATTATCAGGCGGATATTCCGGAACCGCTTTCCTCTCCACACCGTCTGATGCCCGCTGAAGAAAGCATCTGGAAGATCGCTCCGGAAGATGGCGGATGCGGCGAGGTCGGGGTTTGCTGCGAAGAAGGCACGGGTGATGCTGAGCTGGCATGGGAAGCGAAGTGGCTCGGCACGCAGGTTTGGCCGGACCTAGCCCGGTCCAGGAGGGTCGGGAGAGGCGCAGGCAAGGGGAACCCGTACCTGAGGCTCGGAGGGACGTTGGCTGCTTCGGCGGGAGGCAAGGTGAACTGGCACGTGCCTCGGGGTATGCTTGGCGCGGCGGATCATGATGGTGACAATAAAGGCGGTGGCACTAACGAAGATGCTGGTATTATCGATGGCGAGTTAGTGTTGGAGGGAGGAGAGAGAGGTGATAGCGTTGCTGCTGCTGCTGTTGCTGATATTAGCGTGAATGATTCTCACGGTAATATCGATGGCGGCTCCGCTTCTGCTCCAGGCGATTGCGACGTGGCTTCTAAAGTCGCGACAGATAGTGTCGCAGCGAGCAATCTCACGTTTCGTGACTCGACGTCGCCAGGAGCTGGAGCCTCGTCGCACGCCACCCAAGGAGTCGCAGGGGTTGTCGCACAGAACTGTAGCGAAATCGCCGGTTCCGTCGCATCATCCGTGGCGACTCAGGAGGCCGAAGCCGTCGCTCAACCTGCTGCTGCGGTCTCACAACCCATGTCCGCATCACTCGGCCATCTCGACGAACCAGTACCCGCCACGTGGCAACAGCAAGAGCATCATCATCATCATCATTATCATCAGCAGCAGCAGCAGGAGCAGTCGAGCACACTACCAAACCACCACCACCACCACCACCACCACCACCACCATCACCACCCCCTTTCCCCTCAAGACCCCCGTTTCCCCTCTCAGCGCCAGCCTTCCCGCGCGATCCACAACCTCCCCCCCCGCGACCTGCTGCGCGTTCCGCCGGGCGCTTGCGCGGCGTGCGGGGCGGACAAGGCGGGGTCCGCGGACTGCGTGCGCGCGCACTGCCACGAGGCGGACGAAGACCTAGAGGCGGAGCTGGGGCCCGCCGCGTATCACGCGCTGGGGCTGGCGGACATGGGGGAGAAGGTGGCGGAGGGGTGGAGCCCCGAGGAAATAGAGCTTTTCCTGACTATTGTCGAACTTTACCCGCAGAGCAAGGGTCTAGACTTCTGGGGACCCCTAAAACGGGCGTTTGCGTCGGCTGGAGGGGCGGAGGCGGAGGCTGCGGGGGAGGCTGCGGGGGAGGGCGCCGGGGAGGGCGCGGGGAAAGGTGGGGGGATTCTAGCGGGGATGGGGATGTGCGCGGAGGGGCGGCGGAGGAGGCGCGTGCGGAGTGTAAAGGAGCTGGTGAGCTTCTATTTCAATGTGTTTGTGCTGAGGAGGCGAGCCCTGCAGAATAGGATTCCGGGGATGGAGGCCGATTCCGATGATGATGAGACAGAATTGGTGGTGGAAGAGGAGGAGGAGGGGGATGAGGGGGAGGATGGGAGAGTGCATGGAAAGGGGTTGATTTTGGGTCAGCAGGTACAGGAGGTAGGAGAGGGAAGGGTGGTGGGGGAAGGTGAGGGGGATGAGGAGGAGGATGATGAGGATGATGAGGATGATGGGGAGGATGATGATGAGGAGGAGGAGGAAGAGGATGAGGAAGAGGAGGAGGAGGGGGGTGGAGAGGAGGAGATGAGAGGGGGGTTTGTTGAGTATGGAGTGAGAATCCAGGGTTTTGGTGCGGTAGAGAGTGGTGATGCAGTGGAAGTGGTGGTGGAAGAGGAGGATGAGGAGGATGAGGAGGAAGAAGAGGAGGAGGGGGATGATGAGAGAGGGGAGGAGGACGGCTTGTGCGATTATGGGGGTGGGGGATTTGAAATGCAGGGACCAATGGGGATTAGAGGAGGGGAAGTGGGGGAGGAGGAGGAGGAGGAAGGAGATGATGATGAAGATGAGGAAGACGAGCGTGTGAGTGGGGATGAAGAGGAGGAGGAAGATGATGAGGAGGAAGAGAAGGGAGATGAGGAGGGAGAGGGAGACGAGCAGGCGATGCGGCAGTATGGAGGAGTGCAGGGGAGGAAGAGGCGGCATGTGCTCATCACCATGAATGGTTCCGTACTGGCTCGTCCCGTTGCTGCTGCTGCTGGGGGGGCAGGGTGGGAGGACGGGGCAGTGGACCGGGCAGGAGACGGGGAAACTACAGTGGTGAGCGGCGAGACGGTTGTGGGAGTGGAGCGAGCAGTAGGAGGGGAGCAGGCGGATATGCAGCTACAGGGGAGGTCTAGAGGAGAAGAGGCGGGCACACAGCAGATGAACCGGGACTTGAAGGCGATTGATGGTTCAAGTGGACATGATGGGAATCGGTTTTCGGGTCAGCCCTCCCTTCACTCCTCTGGTCGGCCCTCGGGTCAGTTCAAAGCTCCAGCCGATCGTCCGCACAGGGTGAAGGTGAAGCGTGTGCATGGGAACACGGTCACGTCAGCAGCACATGTTGACACGTCAGTAGCGCAATTCCACTCGATACCTGCAGAAGGTTCCAGGAAACGCGCTAGAGAGGAAGTGGATCTTCCAGCAGCATCAGCAGCAGCAACAGAAAACGCAGCGGATCAGTACACGTTTGACAATACTGCTAATCTTTCAGGCTGCTCCCCCGCAAACTCTCCTGCTCTTCCATCCACTGCTGCACACACAGATCCGTCCACACTCACATACGCCTCCGCACCTTCTCAGAAGCAGCACGTGTATGCTTCGAGCTCCCCTGGCGGTCTCATGCACTCAGGTGCTTCTGCAGCTGCTGACTCGTGGATCATCAGCCACAGCCCCAGTCCCAGCCCTGCACACAAGCCCACATCACCAGCAGGAGGAGGAGGAGGAGGAGGAGGAGGAGGAGGAGGAGGAGGAGGAGGAGGAGGAGGAGGAGGAGGAGGAGGAGGAGGAGGAGGAGGAGGAGGAGGAGGAGGAGTGAGTGGCGGGAGCAGCCTTTGCAACAGCTTCGGTGGGTGCAGCAGCAGCAGCGGTGGGTTCGGTGGTGCCTCATTTGGTTCGGTCGCTCCGGGCCTGTTCGGGGCAGGTTCGGAGCTGTACGGGCCTCCGTTGAGCCCGTTCCCGCACCTGTCCTCCTTCCCGTCGCCCTCTCTGCCCTCCTCCTTCCCCTCTCCGTCCCTCACTCTCCCCTCCCCTTCCTACACCATGTCTCCAACCCCGTACACGCTAGCAGCAGCGCCGTATAGCTCACCTGCTCACCATATAGCTGCTACACCCAATGTGTTGTCTCCAGCCGCTGATATACCAGTGCCCGATACAAACGCACATGTTACCGCTTCGGATGTTACCGCTTCAAATGTTACAGCTCCGAGTGTTACAGCTCTGGGTTACTGTGTGGGGCAGGGAATTTCGAGGGAAGAAGTTGCAGTTGGGAATGCTGGTCGCGATGAGGGGGCTGCTGGTGCCGGAGAGAGGCTAGGGAGCGAGAGTAGCAGGCAGGTGGACGAGTGGATGGATGTAGAGATGGGTACAGATGCAGAGGCAGGGCGAGAAGCGCCAACAGCAGGCGCTGCTGACGTGGCTGCTGCCAGTGTGGCAAACGTCTATGCTTGTGATGCGAGCAGAGGGGTGGATAACCTCGGGATTGTACCTGCTGCTGCATCCCTAGGTGCAGGTGCAGGTGTAAATGTTCCTCCCAGCAGTGCTCGCAGCCCTGTAGGGCTCGAGTCGCCGGATTTGGCCTTGGCTAGCATGGGAAGCTAAGTTGATAGCATGTGGGCGGCGGAGAAAAGAGAGGAGAGTATTGTATAGGAGATATTATGGAGTGGAGTGGAGTAGAAAGGAGGCAGATATTATGGCGCATAGAACGTTGTTTATGTTGGGCTGAGATAGCCCCTTAGGATCTTTTCAGGGGAGAACTCTGGGTAGGACAATTGTAATAGCGGAAGCTTTTAGTGAAGTAATTGTGAACCACCTTGCGCTAGTATGTGAGGGCAAAGTAGATTAATTATAACAGGAAAGTACAAGAATATATAGTGGTGTAAGGAATATCAAAGGATACGGTTATAACTACTTTTACTGTTGCTGTTGCGGTTCGATACAGTACGACTCGGGCAACTGCTCTGTAACGAGTCAGTTGTATGTCCTTAACTGTCGCGCTGTACTTGTCGGGTCAAAGGTCAGCGACCTTTGACCTTCGCGTAACCTCCAGCAACCTCTTCAACCCCCGAGGGTTGACTCGCGGGTGCTTCGGTGTAGTTTGCCTCGCTTCTGATGCGGTGTTTTCGACACGACTGAAGCGCTTAGGTCTTATTGTTTCCAACACTCCCCTTCGCTTCTGGAGTGTCGCTGCTGGTGACGTGGCCCTGTCCAGTCAGCAGCATGCAATACTCGAACTTTTGCTTTCCGAGTTTCTTGGTCAAGTAGTCAGCTGCCATCTCGGATGTGGGGCAGTATGACAGCTCGAGTCTCCCCTTCTCGATCTCGTCCTTCACGAAGAAGTAACGTAGGGCAATATGTTTCGTCCTGTTCGCGAAGCCGTTCTTGTTGGCGATGCGAATTGCTGACTGGTTGTCGCAGAACACGTTAAAGTTGGGTAACTCGGCTAACTTCGCTTCTTCCAGTAGCTCGCGAAGATAGAGTCCTTCTTTGGTGGCTGAGCAGAGTGCGATATATTCTGCTTCAGCTGAAGATAGCGCGATTAACTCCTGCTTGCTTGACTGCCAGGAGATAGGACCGATAGGCTCGAGGCGGTAGACGTAGCCGGTGCGTGAGCGTCTGTTGTCAGTGTCGCCGGCGTGATCGGCATCGACGTAGCCGATTAGCTTGGTTGGTGTAGCTGCGTTCTTGTGATAAGTTAAGCCGATCATTGCGGTGCTGATAAAGTAGTGCAGAGCGCGGTCAAGTTCCGCCAGGTGTTCTGCTTCAGGCTTCTTGAGATAAGTGGCGAGCTGGCTTGCGGAGTAGGATAGGTCGGGTCGGCAAGTGACGGCTGCGAAGAGAAGGCAACCTAGCTTCCTCTGATAGTTGCGTATGCCGGCGGATTTAAGTGGGGTAGATTCCTTATCGGCTCCTGTCGTGTAGCGGTATGGTGTTGAAATCGCGGCTGGCGTAATTCCGAATCGTTTGGCGATGGCGTCGGCGTACTTTTCGGCGCTGAGGTAGATCGCGTCGTTATCTTCTCGAATGTTAAGTCCGAGATACTGTGTGACGGTAGATGAGACAGTGAGGGTGAGATCCTTCTGTAGCTCCCCTTCGAACCAGGTGGTGATGCTGTCGGTAGAGCCGATGTAGAGAAGATCGTCCACGTAGACAATTAGCAAGATGTAGTCGCTGTTCTTCGTGAGGCGGTACATGCCCTGATCGTGCGGGAGTTGTTTGAAGCCGATGCGGATGAGACGAGTATGCAGGTACTGCTGCCACAGTCGCGGTGCCTGCTTGATCCCGTAAAGCGATTTTAGTAGCTGGCAGACGTGCGTGGAATTTGTGTTGGAGCCGTGCGGTAGTTCCACGAAAATCTCTGCATCGACCGGTGCGTAGAGAAAAGCGTTTGCGACGTCGATTTGGCGCAGTTTCTTTTTCTTCATAGCGGCGATGGCGAGAAGAATTCGAAGTGAAGTGTGGCGGCTGACCGGAGCGAAGGTTTCGGTGAAGTCTCGTCCATGTTCCTGGTCAAAGCCGCGAACGACCCATCGTGCTTTAAACTTGTCGATGGTGCCGTCGGCCTTCGTCTTCACACGGAAGACCCATTTCCCGGTAAGAATGGTCTTGTTTCGCGCTACACCGATGGGAACGACTTTCCAGGTGTTGCGTTCCTCTAATGCCTTCAGCTCCTTGTCCATGGCTTCGCGCCATTTTTCCTTATGCTCCCCCCCCAGAGCCTGCTGAACTGTCGCAGGCTCCTTAGGAATGTTGACGCCGTGGACCGCGGTGACGAGACCAAGGATTTGGAGTCCGCTCTGTGTGTAGCGGGGGAGTGTGGTGTCCTCGGGATAGACTGCTTCGTCTCCAGTTTCTGGATCGGGTGCGAAGTTGGGCCCTATGCGTTCTGCTTCGTTGGTGTTGACTTCAGCAGGTGTAACGTAACCGTTGTCGGCGAAGTGGTAGTAAGTTTCGGCGTTGACGCTTTCGCGAGGGTTTTCTTCGTCCATCGGTACGTCCACTGAGCAGTAGGGAAGAGGTCCGGCTTCTTCCGAGGCTCCTTCCACATTCTGCTCGTCCCAGTCAGCTTCGTCTTCTGTCGAAGCGAAGGCTCGATCGCCACGGAAGCCGCCTGTGGGGTCTCGATTTTCGTCCAGGTTGGCAAGGTACGTTGGCAGTGTGAGTCGTTCGTAGAAAATCACGTCACGTGCTGCTACTGTTTCTTTGCTGTTGATATCGAAGATCTTCCATGCGTTGTAATGTTTTTCGATGCCCAGGTGTAGTCCCCACTGTGCGCGTTGGGAGAATCGGCCGGCTCGTGCAGATGGGGGTCGGTACTGTACCATGCAGCCGAAGACTCGTAACATTTTTGTGCTGCCCAGTTTTCCTGTCCACAGCAGATGCGGTGATGTGTTGTTCGGGAGTGACGACGAAGAAAGCAAGTTGTGCAGCATCACGGCGTGGTCCATTGCTTCGGGCCACTGGTGGTTGGGTAGCCGCATGCCACGTAACAGTTTGCGCATGGTGTTCTGCAGAGTCCTGTTCATCCTTTCTGCTACACCCTGCTGTTGATGGGCGTAGGGAAGGGAGATGAGTCTCTTGATTCCCTTCTCCGCCAGGTACTGCTTGAATCGCTGTGACGAGTATTCTCCTCCTCCGTCTGATTGGAAGCTTTTGAGTTTAGCTCCCGATTCCCGTTCTGCTGCTGGAAGCCATGCCACGAAAGCCTCGAAAGCCATGTCGCGACTTGGTAAGTTTAGGTGCCAGACGTAGCGTGTAGCGGCGTCGATGAAGGTGATGGTGTAGTTATACGCGTTTTGTCCGGGTTCGCGGTTGTACAAGATGTCGCTGTATACTTTCTCGAGTGGTGCATATGCAGGTGCGCTTGGGTTGTGATGCGAAACGAAGGGCTGATGCGGTAAGTCAGCTTCGGGGCAGGTGAAGCATGTTCCTCGAGCTCGCTGAAGTTCTCTGCCGTCTGTTAAAAGCAGAGAGTCCTTGTCGAGTACTCCTGCTCGAATTGTGTTGTTTAACACAGTGTTGCTTGGGTGTCCCATTCTTGCGTGCCAGATTTCTTCGTTGGCGCGATGACCGGGTGAGCGCTGATACATGTCGGAGTTGGAGTAGAGACCGGTGGTGAAGTTGGGACTGTGATGAAATTCTCGTGGTGCTGGCTGAAGCTGTTGTGCAGGTGTTGGTGGTGCATCGTCGTTGAAGAGCGCCGTCGTTGAAGGACCGGCGACTGGTGTCGTCGTTGTCGCTGTTGCTGTTGTTGTCTCTGCTGCTGCCGACGTTGTCTCTGCTGCTGCCGACGTTGTCTCTGCTGCTGCCGACGTTGTCTCTGCTGCTGCCGATTGTTGAATCGCTGCTAATGCTCTTGTTCTCTCTGTTTCAGGAATGGTATGTGAATACCAGAAGCCGCCTGGACTGAAGTCGGGGTCAAGATCCGGAGGGTGTGTCCAGTTGGTAAAGTTGACTATGGCGTCACTGTCAGCGGTGCCGAGATCAGGAACGAAGTCCAAGACGAAGACGTTGTTTTTAAGGATTGCCTTCCCGATGTAAAGACCTCCTCTCCCGTGGTACAGCTTGAATTCTTGGGTAGTGCTGTCTGCTTCGAGGTGGATGCCTTTCGCCATCAACTGACTCACACTGAGAAGGTTGTATCCGAGGCCTTCTGCGATTAAAACTTTGGACATTTGCAGAATGACGTTTGTCTCCCGTGACTGAAGTTGTACAATTCCTTGTCGTCGTGTGTACAGGTTTTGATTATTGGCGACGGTGATGACGACCTCTCGTTGAAGCTGATACTCTCTCTGTACGAAGCGTCCCGAAGAACACATGTGTTGTCCGCAGCAACTGTCCAAGAACCACGTGTCTTTTCCGGATGGCTCGTTTTGGGCGATGGCAGCGTATGTCGGATTTGGTTGAAGTGCTTCGCGACGAGGTGTGGTGTTGTCGAGTTGTTCTTCCGGTGAGTAATGAGGTGGTGAATCCATGACGCAAGAGTCACTTAGTCTTGCCATGCAGCTAACGATGTTTCTTGCTCCTTGCGCAGGTTGTCCCGTTGAGGTTGTTGAAGCTTGGATCTGGGTCGTTGGATTTGCTTGCGTTGACGCAATTTGACTGCTTGAAGGTCGAAGGTGTCGTTGCGGGGTCGTTGACTGTTGACGATTCGGGCAGTGCGTGCGCGGGTGCCCTGAAGTCTTGCAGATGTGACAGAAGGGAGGTACTGGCTTCGGCTGTTGTTGTCTGTTGCTGTAGTTGTTGTGTCGTCGTTGGGTGTGAAATGCGAACTCTGACGTTGTCGTCTTCTTCCTGTGTCGTTCTTCTTGCAGATCCATGTCCTGCTGTTCGGCGTGGATTTCGGCGCAGAGTGCTGCCTCAGAAATTCGTCCGTGGGCTCGGAGGATGGCCTTTGTTGCGCGCCACTGAGGGCCGAGGCCACCGATGATGACCGTCACGAAGGCGTCCTCAGAGATTGATCCTCCACATCGAAGAAGCTTGTCGCGCAGTTCGCGACATCGACTGATATATGCCATTCCTTTCTCTCCTGGTTTCATCTCAACTGTTGTCAGCTGCGCCATTAACCTGCTCTGGTTTACACTGTCTGTTGCTTGATACAGGCTCTTCAGATGGTTGTACGCGAGCTCCGCCGAGTTGCCGAAGGCCCGGTAGGACCGAATGTTCTGCTGTTGGGTTGGTGTTAAGTTCCTCAGTAGGATCGTATACGCCATCATCGATTGATATGTGTACTGCTGCTTCTCATACTGTGTGCCGTTTGCTGGATATTGCAGGGACCCGTCGAAGAAGCCAAGTATCTGCGCGCCCTCCATCATCAACTCGAACTCAAAGGACCAGGTGAAGAAGTCCTTTCCGTCGAATGGTCTTGACGTCTGAAGCTTCAAAACGTGTGCGAATTGCGACTGTACTTGTAACGCGTCCAGTGATTTGTCTTGTGCAGGCGAAGACTGCGGCATGAAGCTGATTGACCCGCGTTCGTACGGGGCGAAGGTAGGTTGCTGCTGTTGATTTCCGCGCGCGTATGACGACCCATCAAGGCTCATGGGTGTCACTCCGTTGTTGCTGTTGTGTGTCTGTGCAGGTCCCGACTGCTGGTGCTGCTCGTAGAAGGACATGAAGGAGAAAAACTTCTCCATCATGCTCTGGTCAAAGCCCGTGGGGCGATTTGTGAGAGTCTCGGTGGACGTTCCCCTAGGTCTTGTTGCTGTGCCTTCCTCTGTCTGCAGGCCAGAGGCAGGAGGTGGTGTAGGAGTAGTCCCCGGGGAGCCATTAGAAGAGCTCCTCTCCTTGTTTGTTGCCATGTCTTGTAATGTCTTTGAATTGAAGAGGTAGAATTTCCCCTGACCGCTCTCATACCATGTTGGGCTGAGATAGCCCCTTAGGATCTTTTCAGGGGAGAACTCTGGGTAGGACAATTGTAATAGCGGAAGCTTTTAGTGAAGTAATTGTGAACCACCTTGCGCTAGTATGTGAGGGCAAAGTAGATTAATTATAACAGGAAAGTACAAGAATATATAGTGGTGTAAGGAATATCAAAGGATACGGTTATAACTACTTTTACTGTTGCTGTTGCGGTTCGATACAGTACGACTCGGGCAACTGCTCTGTAACGAGTCAGTTGTATGTCCTTAACTGTCGCGCTGTACTTGTCGGGTCAAAGGTCAGCGACCTTTGACCTTCGCGTAACCTCCAGCAACCTCTTCAACCCCCGAGGGTTGACTCGCGGGTGCTTCGGTGTAGTTTGCCTCGCTTCTGATGCGGTGTTTTCGACACGACTGAAGCGCTTAGGTCTTATTGTTTCCAACAGTTTAGTCTAGGCTTACACAAAGAATATTTTACTGCATGCTACCTTAAGCCATGACCCTATATTAACGATACATTACTAGTACACCCCTGTGTATACAGCAATAAGCACTTCGTGTATATTTTAGTTAATAATGTATTATTTATCGTTTCGTTCTTGTATATATTTGCTGTTGCGACAAGAGAAAATTCCGTGCACAAATGCGAGATAGGTATCGAAGCTGCTATTAGTATCCATTCACTCCCCCTCCACTTCGCCTCAGCCTCCATACACCAGCTGGAGTTATCTAGGCCCTTACCAAATCCAGTTCCTAACCGTTGAACCTGCCTGGTCAATCTCGGCGGAGACAGGTGTTCCCCGTGCATACTCCTTCCAGTGACAATTATTATCGATCATTGTTTTATCTTTTTGCTTACCCGTGTCTCTGAGAGGTCATGTGGCTTGAAACGAGGAGTATGACGGTACATTAGCCTCACCAGCCTTCACGTTAGTACAGTTTTACGCTTTTTATCCCCGTTAGTGCCACATTGTGTGCTCCCGCGAGCAGTAAGAGTGGGCTATACACGTTACACACGTCACCGATATGGCATCGGCGAAAGCAATCGCTACTCGCCCTGCGATCAAATCCGGCTCCGATGGCGGATTCGGGGGGAACTGCGGCGGCTTTAGCTCCGCGGATCGCGCGGCCAAGGCGGGGAATCGCGCGCAGTTAGCGTCGGTGTTCCGCGCGTACGGCCGCCTGCGCGCGGCTCTGCAGCGGCGGAGAGGCGACGGCGGGGAGCCGCCGGGCGCGGATAAAGACATTCAGGCGGCGTTCTTCGCGATGCTGGACGCGGCTCAAGGTGAGGAAATAGGTTTCGGGAATTGGGGTTGGGTACGGGATAGGGTACTGTATAGAAAACGGTAGAGAAAGCGGGATAGGGTAATGGATAGCTTTGGGAACAGGGGGGGAAGGCGTTGGGGAAGAGCCGATGGACATCCAGGTGGCGTTCTTCGCGATGCTGGACGCGGCTCAAGGTGAGGGGCTGGATGCGGTACATGGTCGGTTATAAGGTATGTGACAGGGGACGGGATAGAGTGCGGGATAGGGTAGGGCACACCGAACGGCATAGCGAACGGGATAGCGCAAAATATGGATTTTTCAATGTGTCTAGATACCGTTAGGGTAGAGTATGGCATGGTGTACGGCATAGGGAAGTAGGCGTTGGGAGGGAGGCGGTGGCGGATAGAGAGACGCAGGAGGCCGCGTTCTTGGCGATGCTAAGGAGGGTAGCAGCAGGCCTCATCCCCCGCTATGCGTTGGGAGAGTGGCGTCTTAAGGAGTGGTGGGATATGGTACTTTGTTAGTTCGGCTGGGGTACGCGTCCCTCCCCTCCCCTCCTCCTTCCTCTTTTCCCTCTCCGCTCCCAGGCTGCATCAGCGTGCGGAGGGTAGCAGCAGGCCTCATCCCCCGCTATGCGCGCTTCTGCCCCTCGGGATTGCCGGACGCGGCACAGACGCTCATGCAGCTGGCGGACTGGTGCGTGGCGGAGCTGCTGCAGCGCCAGGGGGAAGCGGGGGAGGGGGGAGCGGGGGGAGCGGGGGAGGGGAGAGGCGCACAGGGGGAAGGGGCGGAGGGGAAAGCCGGGCAGGGGGAAGGGGGAGTGCAGGGGCTGCAGGAGTCAGGGGCGCGTGAGAAAGAAGGTGGAGGGGAAACAGGAGGAGGAACAGCAAAGGAAGAAGAAGGGTCGGGTATGGAAGTACACACGACTGCTGCTCCTGCTGTCGCTGCTGCCCCTGCTGCAGGGGATGGTGCAGGTGCAGCAGGTTGCAGTGCAAGGGGGGACGCTGGTACAGGAGAAGCAACAGCAGCAGCTGAAGCAGCAGCAGCAGCTGGTGGTGGTGGTGGTAGTGCCAGCTCCACCACCAAAACCACGTCTTCCTCCTCAGCAAAAGCAGCATGCCGGCGTAATCTAGGCCCGCCGCCCGACGACACCAAGGTCATCATGGCGACGGTGCGGTCGGCATTCCTCGGCCTGGCGTCCATCCTGGCTGTAGCGGCGGCTGCAGCGTCCGCTACAGCCCCCTCCTCCCGCACCTCTGCTCCTGCGTACCTCTCCTCTGCTGTGTCTCGGGATGTGGCCCGGTTCCTCCTGTCACATCTGCACCCGGATTGCATTCTGCCCCTGCCTCCCTTTCATGGTCCTGATTCAGCAGCAGCTGCGGCTGCTACCACCACTGCTCTTGCTGGTGATGCTGGTGGTGTTGCTGGTGGCGATGTCACTGCTCCTTCCTCTGTTACCGATCTGAGTGGAAGGCCTTTAACAGGAGATGGAGCGGCGACAGCAGCAGCATCGGCTGAGGGGAAACGGGGGGTTTCCCCTGAAGGTGGCTCTTTGTTTGATACAGAAAGGAACCGAACGGGCGGCAGCAGCACCGCAGTAGGGTTACCACCAGACCTAGGTTCGGAGGACGGAGGTCTGGAGCTGACCTCTGGTCCGGAGCTAGCCTCGGTAAAGCAAATCGTGGCAGCGGCGGTGGTTCGGGCGATGCAATTACAGCCAGAGGCAATGCTGGGGGCGGCGATAGAACAGGCACGGACGGGGGGGTGTGGAGGGGTTGGGAGGGGTGGTGGTGAGAGGCAGAGGGGTAAACAGGCGATCTCGTTTCTGCTGCAGGTGACTGCTGCTCGGGAGGTGGTGAGTGGGGAGGGGGAGTGGGAGTGTAAGGAAGGCAGGAAGGGTAAGAGGGCAAAGGTGAGTGAGAAAGAGGAGAAAGAGACGGAAAGGAAGAAGGAAAAGGAGAAGAAGACCAAGGATGAATTGGGGGATGAAGGGATGGAGATGAAGGAAGGAGATGAGAAAGACGACAAGAGAAGAGGAGAGGAGGGAGGAGAGAGAGGTGCAGCAGCAGCAGGTGAGAGTGAGAAGGGGGCTCGTGGTGTTGATGGTGATGAAGGTAATGAGGGGAGTGGTCTGAGGAAGGAGAAGTTGGGGAAAGCAGAGGCGGAGGAGAAAGTGGAGGAAGAGGCAGAGGGCAGTACACCAAAGAAGGTGTGTCCCCCACAAAGGCAGAGGGAAGAGAAGGATGAAGAGAGGGAGGAAAGGGAGGGGAGGGAGGAAAGGGAAGGGAGGGAGGAAAAGGAGGGGAGAGAGGAGTTCGGGCTACAAGGAGAGACGGGCAAGGAGGAGAGTGCCAGGAACAAGCGGAAGAGAGCGCAGGAGCAGTCCAGCATGGCGTTCCAAGCCTTGGATGGACGTCCGGAGTCGCTTCGGTGGCTAGCTGCGGTGCTGCAGCAGGTTCGGCGGAGTGGTTCGGCAGCAATAGACTCGCTTGGAGATGCCTGGAACCCTCTTCAGACGCTGCTAGGTGCTCTCAGAGATGCTAGTGCTGCCTCTGCTGCTTCCGCTGCTGCGGCGGCAGCGGCAGCGGCAGCAGCGGCTGCGGCTACTGCAATGGCTTCTGCTGGTGCTGGTTCTGGTGGTAGTGGAGGTGTTAAGACTGGTGGTGGGGACAGGGGCGAGGGAGAAAGGGACGAGAGGGGAGGAGGGGGGAAGGAGGCGCAGCAGAGGGAAACAGAGAGGGGTGGGGCGGCAGGAGGAGCAGGAGTAGTAGCTGCGTCAGGTGTTGCGTCAGGTGCTGGCTCAGGTGTATCTGGGTGGTCGTGGGATGGGGAGGTGTTTACTGTGACGCGGTTTCTGGAGCTCACCTTCTGCTCCGAGGCAGGGGCGCCTGTACCGGTGGAGGGCGTATCTGGGGAAGGTCACAGGACGTTTCTGCGGTCCCTCTTTGAGAAATTTGGGCCCGTGGATGAGGTGGTGGTGGTGGCGGGCGGCGGGGTAGGTGGGACTGGGGTAGGTGCATCTGGGAGTGGTTTTGGAGCGGGTGTTGGTGGAGGGGAGGAGCGGGATGGGTTGGGGGGAGGGGGAGGCGCAGGGGGGAGAGGAGGGGTAGGAAGGGGAGGAGGGGGCGGGGGAAGGGAGCAGGGATTGCCGGTGCATGTGGTTGTAACGATGGTGACTGTCCGCGAGGCGGTGAGGGCGAGGGAGGGGCTGAATGGGGTGGTGCTGTGGGGGAGGAGGCTGCATGTGCGCTTTGGGGATGGACCAGGGGGGGTGTTACCCGGGGGAGGGTTACCTGGTGGGGGTATTCCTGGTGGGGGAGGGTTGATGTTGGCACGAGAGCGAGGAGAGATGGGGATGGATGGGAGGGATCGCGATCGAGATAGCCTGCGGGAGTTAGGGCATAGAGAGGGTGGCATGAGACAAACTGGGTTCTCTCCCAGTCTCACGGCCGGCTCGCCTCTTGGTCTGGTTACCAGTAACCGCAGGGCCTTGGGGTTACCTATAGGTGCAGCTGCAGCTGCGGCCGCCGCTGCTGCCGCGGCTGGTAGGGGTTTAGGGTTAGGGTTTTTGGGGGCGCACTTGGGGGGGTTTGGAGGGGGGGGGGTGGGATGGGCGGAGAGAGAGGGGTGGAGATGGGTCGAGCGGGCACGCCTCCTCTTCCTCTGCCTCCCTCTGCTGCTGCGGCTGCGGCTGCTAGTGGTAGTGGTTCTGAGGCTCCGCCGCCCGCTTCTCGGCTGCATGTGTGGGTGGGCGGCGTGAACAGTGCGAGCGCCAAGGAGAGCCTGCTGCAGCGGTTGGCATCTGCCGGAGTCCCGCCGCCCGCCCACGTGTCGGTCCTAGTCAGCGCCAGCGCGCTGCTCCTGGAATTCAGGAGGCAGGAGGATGCCAACATGGCTCTGATGTTCTTAAAACGAGGGGTGGTGCCAGTGCCGGCGGCAGCAGCAGGAGGGACAGCAGGGGGAGGAGAGGGGGATGGTGGAGGGGAGAGTGGGTATGTTCGTGGTGCCACTCCTGCTGGTTCTGCTTCTGCTGATGGTCATGCTGCTGGTGATGGCGGTGGAGAGAGTGGATTGGCGGGTGGATTTAGAAGAGGGGGAAGCAGAGAGAGAGGTTACTCTGTAACCAAGACTCCTCTGCCTGCTGCAGCAGCAGCAGGATCACCATCACCATCACCCTCACCAGCAGCAGCATCTACTGCCGGTCCTGCTGGTGGTGGTTTCGGGGGGTTCTCAGGCCCTCACTCTCATTCCTCCGCTGCTGCTGCGGCGGCGGCAGCCGCGTCTGCTGCTGCTGCTGCGGCTCTATCCCCTGTTATCCGCGGCTCAGGATCCGGTATTCCCTCTGCAACAGCCACCACCACACCATCAGCAGCAACAGCAGCAGGAGCAGCAGCAGCAGCAGCAACAGCAGGCACGCCAGCAGCACTGTCAGCACCAGGAGCAGCAGGGGTGGGGGGGTTTACTCCCACCCACACAACAACCCAGCAGGCTCTAGCAGCGGCTGTAGCGGCAGCAGCAGCCAACACCCCTGGCGCGCAGGCTGTAGCGGCAGCAGCAGCAGCCGCGTCAGGGATGACGTCAGCGCTGGTGGTGGGCGGCCCGTCTGCCGCCCGGCACCTGTGGGTGGGGAAGATCGATCCGACGGTCCCCGAGCACGAGATCTTGTCGGCGTTTGCGCAGTACGGCGAGATCGCCAGCTGGCGCTTTGTGAAGCCGCCAAGTCAGCAGGAGGCAGGAGCAGGAGCAGGAGGAGCAGGAGGAGCAGGAGGAGCAGGAGGAGCAGGAGGAGCAGGAGGAGCAGGTGCAGGGTCTGGGGTAGGGGCTGCTGGGGCTGCTGGGTCTGCTGGTACTGGTGGTGCTGCTGCTGCTGCTGCTGCTGGCGCTGGCGGTGGTGGTGGTGGTGGTTTCAGTGGTGGGGAGAGTGAAGGAGGAAGCTCGGGAGCAGGAGGGGCGGCGGAGGGAGGGAGGGGTCAGTCTGGGACTGCTGCTCTTGTGTCGGCGTTTATTGATTTTCGGTCGGCCGAGTCGGCTATTCTGGCCCGGTCGCGACTCAACGGGGCGCGATATGGCTGCTCCAACATCCAGGTGTGCCTCAACCTCTGTGGCTGTGGCTGTGCCTGTGTGCTCTTTGAAAACATGTGATTCAGTGTGTTGCATTTCGATTTGTCTCTTGGTGCACTTTTGATTCGATTCCATTCCACCCCCTGTCGTTGCCTGCTCCTGCTCTGCCCACTTCATGCCTTCATCTCTCCCCCCTTGCCTCCCCCTCCTCCTTGATCAGGTGGAGTTCAAGCATGCAGCATCACGGGCAGCACCCTCTACCCAACACGCCTCCCTCTCCCACCTGCACCACCTGCATGCCCTCTCCTCCCCTGCAGCCCGCCTCATGCCCCTCGCTTTCCTCCCCATCCCAGGCCTCCCCTCCCGCCTTCCCTTCACCCCCGCTGCCGCCCACACTCTCGCCGCCCAATCTGCCGCCGCCCACACCCTTGCCGCTCAGTCCGCTGCCAGCCTCAGGTTCCTCCGAAGCATGGGCGCAGGCTTGGGCGGAGGCTTGGGCGCAGGTTCGGTGCCGGACCTGGGGATAGGTTCGGGAGGCAGTGTGGTGGGGGTGGGTGAGGGTGGGGTGAGAGAGCGGGATCACGATGGGGGAGGTGCAGGTGCGGCAGGAGGAGCAGCAGGTGCGGGCGCAGGTTTGGCAGCAGGCTCGGCAGGAATAGGAGGAGCTGGGGCAGGGGCAGGAGGAGGAGCGGGAGGAGCAGGAGCAGGAGCAGGAGCAGGAGCAGGAGCAGGAGTGGTATACGGAACAGGAGGGAAGGAGCGGGTCCCAACTACCACTCTTTGGATGGGCATATCAGAGCAAGCCATCTCCACCCACTCCGCAGCCAGTGCAGCAGCAGCCATGGCTGCGTTCAGCCTGTCTGAATCGGAGCTGCAGGGGATTTTCACGGCTGCTGCGGCGGGCAGGGGATATGTGACGCGCGTGAGGAGTGCGAGATCCATGAGGGGCCCATGCCGGTTCATCGAGTTTGACCGCGTGGAGGCGGCTGCTACGGCGCTGAGGAACATCGTGGCGTCTGAGAGATTTGATTCAGCAGTCCAAGTGCAGTTCAGGTGAGCTGAAGGCTTGTCATATGGAGTTGCGCAGTGTGGAGTCCATGAGGGGTCTGTGTGCCACTTCATTGAGTTTGACCGCGTCGAGGCGGCTGCTACTGCACTGAGCAACATTGTGGCTTCGGAGTGGTTTGACTCTGCAGTTCAGGTGAGCAATTCAAAGCGGTAGGGAAGATGCGTGGAAAACCCGCTACTAAGAGGTGGAAGGAGGTCGTGAAGATTCTGTCTGAAGGGACAAAGGCAGACATTGAAGCGCTGATGAAGGAAAGCAAGAAAGTGGTTAGAAAAAGTGGGATGTTGAGGCAGGGCTGGGCGGGGCGAGCAAGGGGCGAGCAGGGGGGCGAGCAGAAAGTTCAGCCCCCTGCTCGCCCCCCTGCTCGCCCCCCTGCTCGCCCCCCTGCTCGCCCCTTGCTCGCCCCCTTGCTCGCCCCGCCCAGCTCTGCCTCTACTCATCCCCCCTTTCCTAACCACTTTCTTGCTTTCCTTAATCAGCGCTTCGATGTCTGCCTCCGTCTTCTCAGACGGAATCTTCACGACCTTCTTCCAGCTCTTAGTAGCGGGTTTTCCACGCAGCTTCAAAATCCCCTTTGCACGCCGTCTTCCTCGTCCAGTCCCTTCCTCACCCTTCCCAACCGTGTCCCCCTTCTTCCTTCTTGCTCCTTCCTTGTTCCTTCTTTCTTCCTGTCCCTCTCCACCAGCAACTCTGCTATGTCGTTGCAGCAAGCAGAGCAGCAGCAGATCGCTGCAGGGAACATTGCTGCCGCTGCAGCAGCTGCTGCTGCGGCGGCCGCCGCTGCTGTTTCAGGCGCTGCTTCTGCTTCAACTGCTGGCGCTGTTTCTGGTGCCAGTGGCGGTGGTAGTGCCGCTGGTGCTGGTTCTGGTGGTGGTGTTGGTGCTGGTGGTGGTGGTAACAATGTAACAGAGGAAAGTGCACCGAGACTCACTGCAAGTGGCAGCAGCAGCAGATGGGACATTCGCGAACCCTCTCATCCCCATCCCCATATCCCCTCCTCCCATTCACACTCATCCGCCTCCCATCCACACATTCCCCCTTCCCATCTTCACACACCCTCTTCCTCCACCTCTCTCCCACCCCACCCTTCTCATCTCGTGGGTTCTACCAGAGGCAGAGGGGCATGTGTGGTTACAGGTGTAACGCCAGATGTAACAGGAGGTGTGATGGCAGATGTAACAGCAGGTGTAACGACTGGTGCTGAGGCAGCTGACGGAGGAGGGGCGAGTTTTGAGATACCTCGGAAGTGGGACAGTGCACGGGTGGGAGATGACTTTGCTGGTGGCATGGGTGCAGCAGGTGGGATGGCAGGGGCAGGAGCAACAGCAGCAGGAGCAGGAGTGGCAGCAGCGGGAGCATCACCGATTGGAACAGGTTTTGCATCTCTTCCTCCTCCTCCTCCCCCTCCCCTACCTCCTCCGCCTCTCTCTCCCCCTCCATCTGCCATTGTTCCACTCCCTCCCACTGCAGCCCCTGTCACGCCTCTCCCGCCTCTCCCCCCCCCCGCATCGTCTCTCCCCCTCACAGACTCAACAGACAGGGCAGGCTTGTTGGGGGCTGCAGGGGAAGGAGAGGGGAGAGGAGGAAGAGGAGAGGGTGGAAGAGCAGGAGAAGGGGGAGCGGTTGCAGTGGGTGGTGGAGTGGGTCCTGTAGGTATGGGTATGGGTATGGAGGGTATGGGAGAACAGGAGGGTATGGGGGCACACGAGGGCATGGGAGCAGCACAGGAGGAGACAGACATGGATTTTGACGATGACGATGGTGCCACTATAAAGCACATGTCTGTGCCTCTGCCTGTGCCTGCGCCTGTGTCTGCGCCGGTGCATGCGCTTGTGTCTGTGCCTCACACTGCTGCTGCTGCTGCTGCCCAGCCTCCTGTCTTGCAACCCTCCCCTCCTCGCTTCCCTACTGTACCGCTATCACCCACCGCTCCTACTCCCCCGTCTCTTCCTCCTCCCCCCCTGCCCCCGCCCCCACCCCCTCAAGAGCCTCCTGTTGCTCCTCCTGGGCCCCCTCCCCTTCCACCTCCTCTTCCTCCCTCGTCCTCCGCTTTACCAACGTCAGCTGTTGCTGCCAGTGATGCTGCTGTTGCTGGTGGTATTGCTGCTGCTTCTGCTGGTGGTGTTGTCTCTACTGGTGTTAGCGCTGCTAATCTTGGTGCTGCTGGTGTTGGTGTTGCCTCGTCGCACGCGGAAAGGAGGGCGGAGAGGGAGGAAGGGCGAGAAGCGGACAGGAGCGAGCCAGCGAAGGACAGGTCGACAGCTGGTGTGAGCGAGGAAAGGCGAGGAGAAGGGGAGAAGGCGGACGAGCTTCAGCAGCAGCAGCAGCAGCAGCAGCAGCAGATGGTGTTGCAGGAGTTGCAGGCGCAGAGGCAGCAGCAGCAGCAGCTGCAGCTGTCGCTGCTTCCGCGCTTTGCGCTGTGCAAGAGTGGGGTGATGTACTGCCACGTGGCTGCTTCCAGGCAGCAGATCAGAGGCAGTCGTTATGACCCGGCTCTCACAGCAGGCCAGCACGAGCCACTCGGGTGAGTTCCGCTTAGGTGTGTTGTTATGTAAGGGCGGGGTGATGTACTGCCACGTGGCCACTGGCTTCCAGGCAGCAAATCAGTGGCAGTCGTTATGACCCCGCGCTCACAGCAGGCCAGCACGAGCCACTCGGGTGAGTTCCTAGCTGTGTTTTGTTCTGTGCTGCGCGGTGCGGTGCGGTGCGGTGTGGTGCTGCTTTGCCCTGTGCAAGGGCGGGGTGATGTACTGCCACGCGGCTGCTTCTAGGCAGCAGATTCGAGGCAGCCGTTATGACCCGTCGCTCACTGCAGGCCGGGACGAGCCACTCGGGTATGTTATGCTGTGCTGTGCTGTTCCCCGCTGTATGTTATGCTGTGCTGTGCTGTGCTGTTCCCCGCTGTATGTCATGCTGTGCTGTGCTGTGCTGTTCCCCGCTGTATGTTATGCTGTGCTGTGCTGTGCTTTGCTGTTCCCCGCTGTATGTCATGCTGTGCTGTGCTGTGCTGTGCTGCTCTGGGCTGGGCCATACTGTGCTGTGCAAAAAGCTTCCTTCCCTCATGCGCACGCACACACGCTCATTGTGCACTGCTTTTTGCCTTGTGTGGTCCCTATTCCCCATTATTTTCCCAGGTGGCCTGATAAGCTGGATGTGACAAAGCGGGCAGATTTCCGGGCAGTGCGAAACACTTTCAATGCCTGCCCCAGCTCTCGAGTAAGCCTTATCTACTGCGTGGGTTTTTCCTCGCCATGTTCCTCGCCTTATGGTTTAAAAGCCCTTTGTTAACCATAAATTCGCAAAGCACGTTTCAGCGCAACATTTTCATGAAGGCGCACAGCTTTTGAGGCGCCTTTCAAAGGCGCACAGCTTTTAAGGCGCCTTTTGAGGCACAGCCCCATCTTTATGCAACGGATCTTTATTCCGGCACAGCACAGCCCCATCTTTAAGCATCCGATCTTTATTCTGGCACAGCACAGCCCCATCTTTATGCATCCGATCTTTATTCCGGCACAGCACAGCCCCATCTTTATGCATCTGATCTTTATTCCGGCACATCACAGCCCCGTCTTTATGCATCCGATCTTTATTCCGGCACAGCACAGCCCCGTCTTTATGCATCCGATCTTTATTCCGGCACAGCACAGCCCCATCTTTATGCATCCGATCTTTATTCCGGGACAGCACAGCCCCATCTTTATGCATCCGATCTTTATTCCGGCACAGCACAGCCCCATCTTTATGCATCCGATCTTTATTCCGGCACAGCACAGCCCCATCTTTATGCATCCGATCTTTATTCCGGCACAGCACAGCCCCATCTTTATGCATCCGATCTTTATTCCGGCACAGCACAACCCCATCTTTATGCATCCGATCTTTATTCCGGCACAGCTCAGCCCCATCTTTATGCATCCGATCTTTATTCCGGCACAGCACAGCCCCATCTTTATGCATCCGATCTTTATTCCGGCACAGCACAGCCCCATCTTTATGCATCCGATCTTTATTCCGGTACAGCACAGGCCCGTCTTTATTTCATGTTCATCTCATGCTCTCTGACCCCGCTCCTCCCATCCGTTCTTCTTTCTTTTCTTTTTATTTTCTTCTCTTTTCTTGTTCTCGCTTCTTCTTGTCCCTGTTTGTGTGCATCAGAGGGAGGTGTGCCTTCTCGTCCCTCTGCCCTCTGCATCCTCTGCTGCTCGCTCGACCGACGCTGCAGGCCCGTCATCTGGGGTGAGTGACTCATGAAGCCAAAATTCCATGTGCCTGTTACTTTTGCCCGTGCAAGTTGCAGCCAGCATGCCTTGCAGTCAGCTGTCGCTTAGCATAACATACCCAGCCAGCCAGCCAGCCAGCCGAGTCCAAGTAAGCCAGCTCTCTTGCAACTGTCACTGTCACTGCGGTTCAACTCAACTTAGCCAGCCTTCAAGAGTGACTTGGACTTGTTGCCAACACACACACACACACACACACACACACACACACACACACACACACACACACACACACACACACACACACACACACACACACACACACACACACACACACACACACACACACACACACACACACACACACACACACACTCTCACACACACACAGAGTTCAAGTGCATTGTGGACTATCTGCGTGATTACAAGTGTTGTTTTGAGACGTCTCTTGTGCATTGTGGACTATCTTTTATCACGTGACTTGACTTGTAGCCAAACACACAGTTCAAGTGCATGGTGGACTAGCTGCAGCAGAAGGAGCTTCCTCCTCTTATTCTTCTCCGCATCCTCTCCCATTCTCGCGTTGCCCCCTCTCTTCACGTGCCCACAGTTCACGCGCATGGTGGACTATCTGCGGCAGAAGGAGCTTCCTCTTGCCGGATCTGAAAGAACCTGTCCCCCCTCTCTTGTTCTCCCCGTGACTCCCCCCTTGCCCCCCACTTCCCCCTTTCTTTGATTCCCACAGTTCACGCGCATGGTGGACTATCTGCGGCAGAAGGAGCGTGCTGGGGTGGTGAAGATCCCTCCGGCCAATGGCGTGTGGCCACGTATGCTCTACGTGCTGCCGTGGTCCCGGGAGATGTGTGACCTGCTGGGGGTTAGCACTGAATCCCCTGAGTGCCTGCTTGGTCTCATTCTCCCAGCTGTACCGCTCCCCGCCCATTGATCAACCCTCGCTTGATCGCACTCAACCGCTGTGAACCTGAGTAAACTATACGTGCCGCTGTGGTCCCGGGAGATGTGTGACCTGCTGGGGGTTAGAACCGATTTCCCTGATTGCCTTCTCGGGCTCGTACTCCCAGCCGTGCCACTCCCTGCTCACTGAGCGAACCTCACTCAACCGCTTTCAACCGCAATCAACCGCATTCGGCCGCTGTGAATCTGGATCAAGTCTGCGTGCTGCCGTGGTCCGGGGAGATGTGCGATCTGCTGGGAGTCACCACTGAATCGCCTGATTGCCTTCTTGGCCTCACCCTCCCAGCTGCTGTTCCTCTCCCAGCTAACTGATCAAACCACACTCGACCGTACTCAACCGCACTCGACCGCGCTGAATCTTATTCAACCGCTGTCTATGCTAGTGAACTCGTGGTCCGGGGAGATGTGCGTTCCGCTGGGATTTACCACTGAATCACCTGATTCCCTTCTTTTGAGACGTCTCAAGAATCGCCTGATTGCCTCATGCACCTAGCTGCTGTTCCTCTCCCTCCCTGCCCATTGATCAGTCAAGCACACTCACTCGATGTCAAACTATATGCATGCTATATTTGTGTAGGCTGTAGTGGGGTAGCCAATATGGGGAACAACCCTTTAAGGGTTAGATACTTGTACCCAACTCTCATTCAATGCATCCATTCCTGCTTCTAGATTCTAACATGGTTTCAGAGCAGTAGGTCCGTAGGACCGTTTTTTTTCGGGCCCACCCTTCGCTAGTGACCGTCTGCGGTTACCGTGCTGCCCCACGCCCTGTTCTGCGTCTGCCCTGCCTTGCCTTGCCGTGAGAGGCCCTAGAGCCCGTGCGCGGCCCCTGCCCTTGCCGTGCGCCGCCCCAGAGCCCGCGCACCGCCCCTGCCTGCCCGTCGCGCCGCCCTAGAGCCCGCGCGCTGCCCCTGCCTGCCCGTCGCGCCGCCCCAGAGCCTGCGCGCGGCCCCTGCCTGCCCGTCGCGCCGCCCCAGAGCCTGCGCGCGGCCCCTGCCCTTGCCGTGCGCCGCCCCAGAGCCCGCGCGCCCCTCCTGCCTGCCCGTCGCGCCGCCCTAGAGCCCGTCGCGCCGCCCTAGAGCCCGTGCGCTGCCCCTGCCTGCCCGTCGCGCCGCCCCAGAGCCTGCGCGCGGCCCCTGCCCTTGCCGTGCGCCGCCCCAGAGCCCGCGCACGGCCCCTGCCTGCCCGTCGCGCCGCCCCAGAGCCTGCGTGCGGCCCCTGCCTGCTCGTCGCGCCGCCCCAGAGCCCGCGCACGGCCCCTGCCTGCCCGTCGCGCCGCCCCAGAGCCTGCGCGCGGCCCCTGCCTGCCCGTCGCGCCGCCCCAGAGCCCGCGCACGGCCCCTGCCTGCCCGTCGCGCCGCCCCAGAGCCTGCGCACGGCCCCTGCCTGCCCGTCGCGCCGCCCCAGAGCCCGCGCACGGCCCGTGCCCTTGCCGTGCGCCGCCCCAGAGCCCGCGCGCCGCTGTTGCCTTCCCGTCGCGCCGCCCCAGAGCCTGCGCGCGGCCCCTGCCCTTGCCGTGCGCCGCCCCAGAGCCCGCGCGCCGCCCCTGCCTGCCCGCCAGGTCGCTGTCGTGGCCCCGCCCTATCGCTGTCGCGGCCCCGCCCTGCAGCAGCCGACGCGGCCCCGCCACGCCGCCGACGCGGCCCCGCCAGGTCGCTGTCGCGGCCCCGCCCTGCCGCCGACGCGGCCCCGCCTGGCCCCGCCCTGCCGCCGACACGGCCCCGCCCTGCAGGAGCTGCCGTCGCCCTGCCCTGTCGTTATCGTGGCCCCAGCCCTGCAGCTGACGCGGCCCTCCTCTATAGCCGCTTTTGCGGCCCAGCCGTCGCCGTCGTCGTACGCCTACCCTGCCGCTGCCAGCCGAGCGCCGGCCCTGCTCGCTCGGCGAGCGCCTGCCCTTCCCGCCACTGGTGAGCACCTGCCCTACCGCGCTTCCCGCGCGCCTGCCTTGTTAGCGCGCTGCCGCGCCATCTGCCTGCCTGCCTGCCTGCCTGCCGGCCTGTCTGCCTGCCTGCCTGCCGTGCCTGCCCTGCCCGCGCTGCTACTGCTGCTACTTCTGTTACCGCTGCTAGGCTGCTGCTGCTGCTACTGCTGCTACTACTGCTGCTGCTGCTACTGGCGGTGGCCAGATGCAGCTCCAGCGACGTCCGCGCGAGTCTCTCACGCCCCAGCAGCTTAGTGAGTGGTACGCTAATTGGGGTTGTGGCGGTAGCCGTCGTGGCTGTCGCCTTGGAGCTGGTCAGTCGGGAGCGTCTGGCAGTGGCCAGCTGCAACTGCAGCTGCATCCGCGTGAGACACTTATGCCCCAGCAGCTTCATGAGTGGTACGCTCAGAGTAGAGGGTCTCGGAGTACCGTTCGCTGCCCGTACGTCATTCGCACAGGTGCTCGGGCTGGTCAGGCTTGCGGGACACTTGGTCACACACAGTCCCACTGCTTCGCCAGTCTGAGCGACAGCTGGCGTACCGAGTTTGGCGACGCGGCTGAGCTCCCCACCTGGCTGGAGCTGCTTAGGCAGAGGGTAGATATCTTTGCTCTTGACTATAAAGCTATTCTCACTGCCATGTATGCGTTGCCTACTAGTGCTGACGGTGCCTGTTACCTGTGCGTACCGCCTGACCCAGGTATAGAGCCTGCTGCTCTAGGTGCTGGTGAGGCTGCTGCTCTAGGTGCTAGTGCGTCTCCTGCTCTAGGTGCTGGTGAGTCTACTGCTCCAGGTGCTGGTGAGTCTGCTCTCTCTGGTACTGCGCCTGCTGAGGCCTTGTACACCTTCACGCTTGACTCAGGTGCTTCCCGCTCCTTCTTTCGCGACAGCACCACCCTCACGCCGCTCAGTCGGCCGGTTGCAGTCTCCCTGGCAGACCCCTCTGGGGGTCCAGTCCTTGCGCACTCCTCCACGGTCCTGCCGTGTCCGGCGGTCCCGTCTGGCTCCCTGTCAGGTCTTCACCTCCCCTCGTTCTCTACGAACTTGGTGAGTGGTGCTGACCTCCAGGACCAGTGGGTTGACCAGTTCACTCCTGGAGGTCAGCGCGTGACCCACTGTACGTGCTCCCGGACGGGCCGGCACCTGGCCACGTTTACCCGTGCGCCTGGCTCGAGTCTGTACACACTGACTACTGTGTCCCCTCAGGTCGCTGCGTCTGCGTCTGCGTCAGGTCAGCTAGCGGCCCCCTGCTCGTGTCGCGCTTTGTCGCACCAGACCCTCCTTTGGCACCACCGTCTTGGTCACCCCTCGGTGCAGCGCCTTCGTAGCATGCACCGCCGGGTCCTTGTCTCTGGTCTTCCCAGGGTTCTCCCTCCCCTTCCAGCCTCGCCTGCTCCTCCCTGTCTTCCCTGTGTCGAGGGGCGGCAGCGCGCCGCTCCTCACTCCTCCTCGTTTCCCCCGACGACTGCTCCCCTGCAGACCCTGCACATGGACGTGTGGGGCCCAGCCCGCGTCACTGGACAGGGCCGCGAGCGGTACTTTCTGCTGGTTGTCGACGACTACTTGCGTTACACCACGGTCTTCCCCTTGCGCACCAAGGGTGAGGTCCCTGATGTTTTGATCCCTTGGATCCGCGCTGCCCGTCTCCAGCTCCGCGAGCGGTTCGGGACGGAGTTTCCCGTCCTGCGTCTGCACTTTGACAGAGGTGGGGAGTTTTCCTCCGACCTTCTGCAGAGCTTTTGTCGTGGGGAGGGCATTCGCCAGACGTTCACGCTTTCGGCCTCTCCGCAGCAGAATGGGGTTGCTGAGCGCCACATTGGCTTGGTCATGGAGGTCGCTCGTACCTCCATGGTCCATGCGGCTGCCCCCCATTTTCTGTGGTCGTTTGCGGTCCGCTACGCCGCCCATCAGCTCAACCTCTGGCCCCGTGTCTCCTTGCCGGAGACCTCGCCCACACTGCGGTGGACGGGGGAGGTTGGCGATGCGTCGGTGTTCCGGGTCTGGGGTTCTCGTGCCTTTGTCCGCAATACCACCGCGGACAAGCTCTCCGCCCGCGCTGTTCCCTGTGTCTTCCTTGGCTTTGTCCCTGACGCGCCTGGTTGGCAGTTTTACCACCCCACCTCGCGCCGTGTCTTCCCCTCTCAGGACGTCACGTTCGACGAGTCGGTTCCCTTTTACCGTCTCTTCCCCTACCGCACTGCCCCTCTCCCCCCCCCGCCGCTCTTCCTCGCTCCAGGTGCTCCCCAGGTAGACCCCCTCCCCGCTCCCGGTCCTGCTCCTTCAGGTGTGTCTCAGGTAGACCCTCCTCCCTTCCCTGCGCTGGTTGAGGTCACTGGTGACTCAGGTCCTGCTGAGGGTGGTCCTGCTCGGGGTGCTGCTTCTGGGGGTGCTGAGCCTGGGGGTGCGGAGCCTGGGGGTGCTGAGCCTGGGGGTGAGGAGTCTGGGGGTGCTGAGCCTGGGGGTACTGCGTCTGGGGGTGCTGCACCTGGGGGCACCGGGGCGTCTGGTGAGCTGTCTCCCTGGAGCGACCGTCTCCGTAGCCGCTCCGCTGGTGCCTCGCCGCTGCCCTCTCGTCGTCGTCTCCCTCTCTCCCCACAGCAGCTGCGTGAGTGGTACGTTAGCCGTCAGGGTCGAGCTGCTGGAGCTGGGGGCCCTGCTGCGGGAGGCGCTGGTGTTGGAGGCACTAGAGCCAGCGCTGTCCCTGGGGGTGCGGAGCCTGGGGGTGCAGAGCCTCAGTGTGAGGAGCCTGGGAGTGCTGAGTCTGGGGGTGCTGAGCCTGTGCGTGAGGAGCCTGGGGGTGCTGAGTCTGGGGGTGCGGCGCCTGAGGGTACTGAGACTGCTGGTGCGCGGTCTCCTTGGAGTGGCCGCCTTCGTCCGCGTGTGCCTCTCACCTCACAGCAGCTGCACGACTGGTACGGTCGCCGTCAGGTTCGCGCTGCTGGAGCTCGGGGCTCTGCCGCTGGAGGTGCTTCTGCTGACGCCACTGGAGCTGGGAGTGGTGCTGGTACTTTGTCTACTGGAGGTGCTGGAGTTGCTGGTCCCGGAGGTGCTC